AGCATGTCGAGGTTGAAAAGCGAGTCGCTCGCGCCTACGAGGGTCGTCACTTTGCCATGCTCCGACAGGTCCGCATCCGCGAGCAGCAGGAGGCTTCACAAAGGGACATGGAGCGTCGCCACAACCACGTGCGCCAGCAGCTGGACCACGAGATCGATCTTGAGCTTCTCGGCACCTTAAGCGACGGCCAGGTGTCGGGATCCAAGGGCGCAAGGAGGCGAAAGGGCGGCCGAGACGCAGACGACGTCGACGAGCTTCTCCGGGACGGCGACGAGGACGACGCCGACAGCGACGACGTCGCACTCGCCGATATTGCCGCCCGCACCAACGGTTCGCGCGCCAACATCATCAAGCTCAAGCGCAGCAAAGGCAAGCTCTTAGCCGCCGGCGGCAAGAGACGTAGGCTCGATGCTAGCGGCGCGGCTTCGTCGCCTGCACCTGGATCCGATGCCGACTCCACGCTGGCGGATCTCAATGCTGCCTTTGATGCCGACGAATCTGCATTTGCCTCGCGTCAGGCTTCGCCGATCGCAGACGACGCCAGCTTCGCTCTCGACCTAGACGCGGCGGGCAAGGTCCCCATCGACTCTCGTCGCGCACAGCAGCTCGAGGACGCCCACCGACGCATCTGGACAACCATTGCCAAGCGCGACGTTCCCAAGGTCTATCGTACGGTGCTCCAGAGCGCATCGAGCAAAGTCATGTACTGGCGCCGTCTTTCGAGCGTCGTTCAGCGCGAGGCCAAGCGAGGCGCCGCCCGCAACAACAAGACGGTCAAGGACGTCCAGCTACGCGCCCGCAGAGTCATGCGCGAGGTTCTCGTCTTCTGGAAGAGGAACGAGAAGGAAGAGCGCGAGCTCCGCAAGAAGGCCGAGAGGGAGGCGCTCGAAAAGGCGAAGAAGGAAGAGGAGATGCGCGAGGCCAAGCGCCAAGCTCGCAAGCTCAACTTCCTCATCTCGCAGACCGAGCTCTACAGTCACTTCGTCGGCAGCAAACTCAAGACCGCCGAGGCCGAAGAGTCCGAGGAGACCGCAGGCAGCAGCAAGATCATCGATCCCAACGGCGTGCCTGCCATCGACCCGCACGCCGAGGTTGCCGATGCGGAAGCCAGGCTCGCCGAACTTGACGAGATCGACTTTGACGACGAGGACGAGAGCAACCTCCGTGCCCACGCTGCTCGCAACGCACAGGAAGCCGTGCGGCTTGCCAAGGAGAAGGCCCAGGCTTTCGACGTGGCTGCTGCGGAAGAGAGGAAGCGAAACGAGGCCTTGGCCCGCGAACGCGACGGGCTGGACGCCGGTCCAGGCAAGCAGATCGACGAAAAGGACCTCGGCAAGGCCTTTGACTCGGACGACATGAACTTCATGAACCCCACCTCCATGGGCGAGACCGAGATCAAGCAGCCCAAGATGCTCACCTGCCAGCTCAAGGAGTACCAGCTTAAAGGTCTCAACTGGCTCGCCAACCTCTACGAGCAAGGCATCAACGGCATCCTGGCCGACGAGATGGGTCTCGGCAAGACGGTGCAGTCGATTTCGCTCATGGCCTATCTCGCCGAGGTGCACGACATCTGGGGCCCCTTCCTCGTCATTGCGCCCGCTTCCACGCTGCACAACTGGCAGCAGGAGATTAGCAAGTTTGTGCCCTCGCTCAAGGCTCTGCCGTACTGGGGCAACGTCAAGGATCGCGCGGTGCTGCGCAAGTTCTGGAATCGCAAGCAGATCTCGTACAACCGCGATGCGCCTTTCCACGTCCTGGTCACGAGCTACCAGCTCGTCGTCTCGGACGAAAAGTACTTCCAGCGCGTCAAGTGGCAGTACATGATCCTCGACGAGGCACAGGCCATCAAGTCGTCCAGCAGTATTCGATGGAAGACGCTGCTCGGCTTCAATTGCCGAAACCGCCTGCTGCTCACGGGTACGCCCGTGCAGAACTCGATGCAGGAGCTCTGGGCGCTGCTCCACTTTATCATGCCCTCGCTCTTCGACTCGCACGACGAGTTTAGCGAGTGGTTCTCCAAGGACATCGAGAGCCACGCAGAGCAGAAGGGCACGCTCAACGAGCATCAGCTTCGACGTCTGCATATGATCATGAAGCCGTTCATGCTTCGCCGCATCAAGAAGAACGTTCAGAACGAGCTCGGCGACAAGATCGAGATTGACCTCTTCTGCGACCTCAGCGCGCGCCAGAAGATGCTCTACCGCGGCCTGCGAGCCAACATTTCGGTGGCCGAGCTCATGGACCGCGCCACCTCGAACGACGAGGCGGGCTTAAAGAGTCTGATGAATCTCGTCATGCAGTTCCGCAAGGTGTGCAACCATCCGGAGCTCTTTGAGCGTGCCGATGTGCGCGCGCCCTTCGCCTTTGCCGATTTCGCCCGATCGGGATCGCTGGCGCGCGAGGGCGACCTGTTGAATCTGCCGCACTCTACCACTTCGCTGATCGAGCTGCAGCTGCCGAAGCTGCTCGTGAGGGAAGGCGGCCTCTGCGACATGCCTGGTCACGAGAGTCGCAAGGGCTTCGACACGGGCTATCTGCAGAATCTGCTCAACATCTGGCGTGCGCCTCATGTGTACGAATCGCTGCAGCGAAAGGACTCGGCCTTTGCTTCGTTGCCGCTCATCGGCGTCTCGGCGTCCGACGCCGAAAGAGCCGTGCATAGCAGCGGCATCAAGCGCATCTTGGCTGCTGCGGCCGAAGAACGCCGCTGGCGCTCCATCGAGGCGTTTGCAAGCGACGACGACTTTGCTGCGGCGTCACTGCGCCCCATGGGCAAGGTGCTGCGACCGGTACCGAGCACCTCGGGCCGGGCGCCATCGTTGCTGATGCCCCTGGAGGAAGTTGCGGCCGACTACCGACGCCACTCGTATCTGGCGAAGGACTCGGCGCGCGCGGTGGTTGCGCCAGCCGTGGCTCCGCCGATCCGACTGTACAGCAACGACGGACCGTTCATGCAGTCGCAGGACCGATTCACGCAGGATCCGCAGGTGTCTGCCACGTTATTCGGACTTTCGCCGGAGGGACGCGAGTCGGTGCAGCGCGTGGAAGAGCTGGAGCGCGATCTGCCGGATGTGCCGCCGCAGGGCGTGCTGCGCGACTCGTCGATCGACCAGCTGCCGTACAACGGCATGCAGGTGCCGCAGATGAACAAGCTGATCATCGACTCGAGCAAGCTGGCCAAGCTGGACGTGCTGCTGCGCGAACTCAAGGCGAACGGCCACCGCGTGCTGATCTACTTCCAGATGACGAGGATGATCGACCTGATGGAGGAGTACCTGATCTACCGACAGTACAAGTACCTGCGTCTGGACGGTGCGTCCAAGATCTCGGATCGCCGAGACATGGTGACCGACTGGCAGACCAAGCCGGAGCTGTTCATCTTCCTGCTCTCGACGCGTGCGGGTGGTCTGGGCATCAATCTCACGGCGGCCGACACGGTGATCTTTTACGACCACGACTGGAACCCGTCAAACGACCAGCAGGCGATGGACCGAGCGCATCGTCTGGGCCAGACGAAGCAGGTCACGGTGTACCGACTCATCACCAAGGGCACGATCGACGAGCGCATTGTGCGACTGGCGAGGAACAAGAAGGAGGTGCAGGATATTGTGGTGGGCAACAAGGCGTACAGCGAGACGGGCATGGCCAAGCCGCAGGAGATTGTGTCGCTGCTGCTGGACGACGACGAGCTGGCCGAGTCGATGCTGCGCAAGAAGCAGGCGGAGGAGGCGCAGACGGCGCAGGACAAGGCGGATTCGGCTCGGGCCATGGTGGCCAAGCGTCGGCTCAACAAGGACCGCGCTGCGGCGGCGGCGCAATCGCCTGCGCCGTCGGCCGGGCTGCAGTGGTCGCTGGAGGAGGACGAGGACGACTTCTTTGGCGCGCGTCCGCCGAGCAAGGCCGAGACGGATACTGCCGAGACTACGCCGCAGCCGCCCAGCCGAAAGCGCGGTGGACCGAGCAAGCGCGGACGTGCGAGCGAAGCGTCGGAACGCATGACGCCGCTCGAGCTGGACGGAGACGCGTCGATGGCGGGCACCGAGGGAGCGTCTTCGCCGCTCAAAGGAAAGCGGAAGGCCAAGAGTCACCGCAAGAAGACGGTCGACGAGCTCGCCGGTGTCGACCTCTAAGCTGGTGAGCGGCGAGGTTGTGTTTCATCGTAGGCTAATTAATCTCTTGGCAGTGTGCACTCGCGAGCGTGAAGTGCATTGTTCGAGGCTCACGTTGCGCGAGCTATGGCGGAAGGCTGCCTCGAAGTTTGATCTCGCGGTGCACGAAGGCTCTCGGTGTGCAGATAGGGGTTTCAGGTTGGGCATTACGGGTGGCTTGTGGCGCTGGGGATCTGCGCCGAGCGTGGATGCACGCGAGACCTTGGGACGCCCAAACGCCGCGCACCATGGCATAGCTCTCTCGCTTGCCTGCTCTTTCACTTTGCAGGATTCACACACTAGCCGATGGAAGAGGTGTTGGCGAGTTGAAGTCAGGCTCAAAGCATGTTGTCATCATGCGGGTTCTTAGTGTGACGTGCTAGGATGAGGTCGGCAATGGAATCAGCGGTGAAAAGGGAAGCTCATGCATCGAATTGGATCGCTCGTCTCGACAGTAACATGTCGTAGTTACGCTCATGGAGCTGGGAGTAGAGTAGACGCTGTCTCTACGGCTGGATCGGAAGAAGTCTTGTCCGCTCCCGGAGACCGAGACGGAGCAGACCGCAAGAGGGGACCGATTCGAACTTGAGCACGAGTGAGAGGGGGAAAGCAATGACGGCGAGATGCTGCGGGCGTGGGAAGTGAGGACACGAATGCATGAGGAGCAGAGGCCGTCTAGCTGGCCAACATCCAGGTCTCACCCTGCTCTGGACCGAGGAAAAAAAATCAAATCCGTGGTGCAAAAACCAATGCAGCGCGATACAGCCGACGGAACCGCCGTGCTGGCAGAGACAAAACCTGGCGCTGCTTTCACTCGTGTCTTGTCATCATCGACCATCGTGCACGCTCTAATCATGCGTCAATTGCAGCATTATTGGCGGATGTAGAAACTCGACCGAGAGAGAAAGAGAGACAAGGTCGAATGCACAACAGGGGCAAAGTGAGGGGTTGTTGCTGGCTGCGGGAGGAGAAGCGCACTTGGTTGCCAGGAACCGGTGGTGCTATGCGGAACGAATGCTCGGAGTGGCGCTCTGCTACTGCCGATGCACGGAAGGCATCGTCGACCGCCGCATCCTTACCTCGTGCGCGTGCACAGCTGATCAGCGTGCTCTCGAAATGGGAACGCTTTCCTGAGCCCGCACGACACACGTTTGAAAAGACGATACGGGCGGAGGTCGGAGAAGCGAGCGCGTGGTGCGTAGAGGATCGACCCGCTTCGCAGAGGTACTGTATTCGAGCGGAGTAGCACACATGGCGCTCAGGGTCGCGCAAACAGGGTTGCGAGTGCAAGCGAGGTGGGGCGCACATCCGCGTCGCGTGTGGGTGTCGGTGTGTGTGCCTGGCAGCGTCCCGCCAAGCGAGGCTCGTTGGATCTTCACAGCCCGTGACCGACACTTTGTCTTGGCCGACACGAGCATCCATCCTCGTACTGTGTCCATATCAGACAGCAGATGCAATGGATCATCGATGCCCTCGAATGCACCGAGGCCAGTTGCAGCTTCGGAGGTGAGGCAAAACGAGAGCGGGTGTGGATGAGCCAAAGGTGCATCCATCGGTCAACGCCCGAAGAGAGTGGGAACTCCACGACAGCTGAGCTCTGAAGCTCTCGAGCAGTGCCGCTTCGAGGCTCGCCGAGCTGCATCGATTTGGCCAGGGCATTGCATCTCGCTGGCGGTCGTAGCTCGGTGCAAGCCCCAGCTATTTCCAGTGCAATGCCATACGCTGCCCTAACGGAGTTGCATTTTCCAGCGCACGGCAGCTGTCAGCTGCGACTTCATGCGGAGCATCCGGCCGGATCCGCTTTTGTTCAAAGCAAAGCGTGCAGACGGTGCAGCTGTGCAGCCGCGCCTCGTTCGAGTTTTTCCCACACTGCTTTGGCCACGCGTCCAGATGCTGCTGCTCCCCCCGCGGTAAGTTTGCTGTAGCTCAACCCCACCACATCTGGGTCTCAACCACGCCCGCATTCAATAGCGTCTTCTCTCACAGAACTTTTGCCCTTCATGCCGCCAGCTCATCCGCCGTCGGCCGAGTCTGCATTGCTTTTCCAAAGATTTCCCGGGTCTGGCAAAGTCAGCATGCAAATCGATTCAGTGTCTAGCCCCTCCCTGCCTCTCTCAACCCAACAGTCGGCGCTAGCAACGCTACAGTACTCTATGCATGCTAGCCTTGCCAAATGCGCGCACAGGATTCGTCGATTTGCGTAAGGCCCATGACGACGATCGGCCGCACCAGCCCAGAGCAAAGTGCCAACCCGTGTCCGCGCTGCCTTTCCGCAAGCGTCCTCGGATGTACGCACCTCAGCCTAGTGCATCTTCTCAGACTGACTTCAAAAGCGAATGAGGGGACTTGCTATCGAGCAAGCAAGGTGGAAGTGAGCTCGCTGGTCGAGGCGTGCAGCGGGAGGACCACGTTTCAACACGCTAGTCTACTTTAGCAGGTGGGAGAAGGGGGTTGAGGCTGGATCATCGAATCGCCGCCTCGCCTCGCTCGGCCTTCGACCCTGAAGAGCTCGGATTCTAGCCCGTGGCCTTTTGAGTTGAGTGAAGCCCAAAAAATGCAGGGTGCGAATTTCTCGAAAACATGGCCATGCACCTGCCTCCTCTCCTCTCCTCTCCTCTGCGGCTCTGCTGCTCTGCTCTGCTTTCTCGGCGCTGGATGGCTGACAGTTTCGCTTCCACGACACACAGAGTCCCGCGCCTCGAACCTGAAATTCGCAATGCCTCTACGCCACGTTGATGGCACTGCCAGCAACTCGCAGCAACGATCTTGCATCGGATTCCTTCTTTTTGCCTGGTCGAAAGGAGGAGGCAACGGCCACATGTCGACAAAGAATACCGCAAAGCCCAGCTTGGCGTAGGGACCGTGCACTGTGAATGCGAATCGCAGCATCTCGCTCCATCTCAACTTGCTCTTCGTGAGACAGGCAGGCAAGCAATCTATCGCAACCACAGTACTCTCTGTATCAAGTCGCATCGCATGCGTATGGCTCGGTAAGAAGGTCACGGGAGAAGGAGCTCGTCTCGTCTCGTCTCGTGTCCGAGTCAAAGCAGAGTAGGGAGGGAGAGACACCTCGGCCAGCAGCCTCCCGCGGATTCGAATCGATGCGTTGGTTTTTCGACTTTTTTTTTTTTGTTGTCTCCCCCCTCTGGCTTGGGTCCTGGATCGATTTTTCCTGGCGTCGCGCAGGAAAAGGTGGCTTCGCATCCTGCCCTAATGAGGGCGCGTTCACACTGGCACCCTGCCAGTGTGACAGGGCCGTCGAGGCACTGCACCAGTCTGGTCAAATGCTCCCGGTTGCTCCGAGGCGTCGGTGGACCTCTCGGCCATGTCTCTGAACCGGACTCGCCGCCGCCTCGTGTGTTGCCTCGGATTGCCATGTGGGAGAAATTGAGCACGAGATTGCATTTTCGATGCGCCCCCGCTGGCAACGCAGCTGTCTCTCGCTTTCTTTTCTCACCGAAAACCAAGCGGTGGGCACCTCTCGATCGGTCCTCGCTCGCCCTGCCCATCCGTGCCCATCCGCTTCGAATCGCGTCGAGAGCATCTGGCGTGGTGGATTCATTTCCACTGCATCTGGCCTCTGTCGCCCTGCATCAGCCACTTGCTGCCGCTGCTCCCCGCTTGCCTGCCCTTGCCTTTTGGTGCCCATGGCGAGCTTTCGTGTTCCTGGCGGATTCCCTCTGCCCTTTCCTGGCGAGATGCACCCTGATTTTTTCCGCCGCCTCTCGCCTCTCGCTTGTCTTGTCGCTCTGCCTCTCCCTCTCCCTCTGCCTTGCCTCGGTCTGAATGAAAAGCCGGTCGCCGTGCTCTCCGCATCAGCTGCTTTGCTTTGCTTCGTTTTGGCCGTGTCTGCTGCCCGCGTTTGAATCCACAAATGCGTCTCTCTGGACCGCCATCGCCCCTTCGCTCTGGCTGCAGCGGCACCTGCAGGGCCCTCTCTCGCCCTCGTCCTCCTCTTCGTCTTGTAGTGCGACCCCCACGGAGCTCTGACTCTGCTGCTGCTGCTGCTGCTGCTGCTGCTGCTGCTGCTGCTGCTGCTGCTGCTGCTGCCTCCATTGATCGTGCACTGTGCCACTCTCTCTCTCGTAAACCGGTGCTTCTGATCCCGCTCCGCTTGTGCGTGCTGGTCCTGCTGCTGCTGATCCCCATCCGCTCGCGCTTTCCCCCGCTCCTCCTGGCCTGGCTCGCTCGCTCATTCGCTCCTCCAGTGCTGCCGTCCATCTTTGGCGGCATGACTGCGCTCAAAGTTCCGTCTCCGATCCACTCGCATCCCCTCGTTCCTACCGACTTGGGTGTGTGCTTGTTTGGCCCTGACCCGCAGATTCCCCCTCGTGTTCCTGCTCGTGCTCCTCCTCGTCCTGCTTTCCCGCTCCAAATCAACTCCGTCAACTTCCCTTTATAGATCCGTCCCTTCCCTGCCTCTTCCACCCCGACTTCCCTGGATGCCCCGCTCAACACCGTCTCCGCTCCTTCTCGGATAGCTGCCCCCAAAACACCATCCCTATCACCACCACCATCACCACTACCACCATCACGACCTCCTTGCCTATTCTCGCCTCCTGATCGCGCGCGTCCGCTCTTGCAGCTTCTACACACGACTTCATCTCGCTTGGTCGTCATCGATCGCCTCGCTCCGCTGCACCGAGCCCACACTCGACCTAACCGCGTCGCTCCTTCATGTCGGCTCGTCCAAGCCTACCAGCAGCCAGCATGACGTACGGAATGGCTCCTCCGATGCATCCGCATCACCTCTCTCACGCCGCCGACGCTACCTCATCGCTCCCACCTCAAAGCTACGCCGCCCACCAGCAGCAACAGCAACAGCAGCAACAATCGCAGCAGCAAATGAGCCAATACGGTGCCTCCCAGATGGGCTCCAACTTTGCCTACTCCCAGGGCTTTTACGGTCACCCCTCTCAGCACCATCCCAACGAGGTTCAATCCCAGCAGCACGCTTCGGCCTACTACTCGCATCCCACCTCGTCGCCACAGATGGACCCTAGCGCCCAGATGTACGCCGCCCACCAGATGAACCACCCCGACATGATGGCTGGCAGCCAGTTCCAGGGCCACCACCCTGACCTCCTCGCCCACCAGCACGGCTACGCCGCTCTCCAGGGCGCCGGCATCCGTCCCAAGCGCAAGCAGGTCAAGAACGCCTGCATCAACTGCCAGAAGGCATGCAAAAAGTGCGACGAGGGCCGCCCCTGTGGCCGCTGTGTCAAGTACGGCCTCGTTGACACCTGCCAGGACAGCGCCCGCAAGGAGAGGCGACGAGGCATCAAGCGCGGGCCATACAAGCGCAGGGCCACCACCGGTTCCCAGCCCACCAACCCCGCCCTCTCCGTCTCGGGACCCATGTCCTACGGCCGCGACGGCCACATCTCGCCCTCCAGCCGCAGCGACGGCATGCTCGCAGGCACGCCAGGCACCGAGTCCAGCTTCTCCAGCCCCGCTTTCGGCACACAGGCGCTCGCACCGCGCCCACCCATGCCGCTCCAGATGCCCAGCAACGGATGGCAGCCCAGCAACCCCAGCCCCATCGGCGACGACCGTGACGGCCTCCGCGCTCGATACGGCCAGTCGACGGCATCTAACCAGCAGTCCTACTACGGCTATGAGCAGGACGCCGCCCACCACGTCTACGACCGTAGCTCCTCAGCACCCGCCACGCAGCCTGGCTCCATGCTCAGCCCCATGGGCCGCTTCCCCAACTCGTCCACGCCCCAGTCGTCCACTTCGCAGCTCCCGAGCCTCGGCTCGCAGGCGTCGGCCAACGGCAGCTACCTCGGCGGCGTCTACGGCAGCGGCGCCGGCCGCATGGGCGCCATGAGCAACGGATCCACAGGCTCGCTCCTCAGCCCGCCGCTCCACTCGTCCGCCTCCAGCACGAGCTTCCTCTCGGCTTCGTCGGCACCCAACGGGCTTGCGCACCACCGACTGCACTCGGACAGCAGCCTGGCCACGCTCAGTTCCAACGGCGCGTCGAGCAGCACAATGTCGCCGCGCACACCGCTCAATGGACCGGGCTCTGAGCCGCCGCTGCTCTCGCCCTCGGGTAACAAGATGTCGGGCTTCGCCCCGCCTCAGCCCACCGTGCCGACGGCATCGGGCACGTTCCTCCAACAGGACACCTCGCGTCCGTTCCCGCTCAAGATGCCCAAGCCCGCCACTCGCGGTCGCTCGGGCACGGGCAGCTCGTACCTCGACCAGCCTCTGCAACAGCAGCAGCAAGGCTACTACGCCAACAACCTTGCGCCGATCAACGTCAAGCTGCCCATGCAGCACCAGCAGCAGTCGCAGCCGCAGCAGCAGCAGCAACAGCAGCAGCAGCCGCCACAGTTCGGTCGATCGAGCCCGTACATGGCGGTGCAGAGCCTGGATGACCGCAGGCAGTTCCTCAGCAACACCACGCCGCGCATGGACCTCTCGCCCAATGCGGGCATGATGCCCATCAAGTCGGAACGCGACGTTGGCGCGCCCCCGCCCGCTCCTGCCGGCTCGCTGGGTCTGGCGTAAGGATACCCGCATCTTCGCGCGTGAGCGCCATCCTCTTTCTTTCACTCTGTATTCTTTTGTACCCAACCTCAACTCTCTCTCCTCTTTTTTTGTTACGGATCGTAACGGTGTTTAGATATCCCCCGATGTGGAAATGGAATCGATGTGTCTATGTCATGCGGTGCGCTTGTGGATGTCGTGCATGGAGAAGCCCGTCTGGCGATCGACCGAGGCGAGGAAGAAGCCCATTCCCGTCCAGAACTGTTTCTGAACCTCGCTGCCCGTCCAGAAGGGGCACAGCGAAGTGTGGTCCAGACCGTCGATCTCGAATGTGTACCACCGATTCGGCGCAGGTTGAACGAGGTCCGTCTGCACGCTGTGGGTTCCATCGGGGTCGACTGCTTCGGCAGTGGCCTGGATGGCCTCAGAGGGCGGCAGGCTGGGGAGGAAGGATCGGAGGTCTTCCTCGGATGGCGTGACGAGGGGCGGATCGTCGCCCAACGCGCGCAGCGACGTCGAGAACGCAATGCGTGCAGCCGAAGTGGCCGAACCTAGCATCGACTTTGTCTTGCGCGCTTGCGTCGCAGGCACGGGGAGCAGCTCTTGATGCTCGGATCCCGCGACTGAGGGGCGGAGGTCTGTCGACTGGGGCCGTTTCTTGCGCGTGCCAAAGGGGAGTGAAGCGGGCATGCCGTTGAAGTGTGTGCATCGAGTCGGATCGCAGTCGAGCGGATGAAACTGCGATGCTAGCGGGACCACGCCGTCGTTCTGCCACCATGCCGATGATAGCTCCGCCACGCGTGCCTGCACGTCGTCACCATCGCTCTTCTCCGCAGCCGAGAGGAAGGATGGCGTAGGCTGCAGACGCGAGTAGTCGAAATGCCCAATCAGATGCGCGGTCAAGGTCAGCGGCGATAATGACCAGTACGTCTCGGGTCGGTGGTACGATGGTCCCGCCTCTATGCTGCTGGCTTCGGGGACCGTCATCCCGCCTGCATAAGATCGGTACCACGTTCTTCCCTCGCGCGAAGGGTCGATGTCGAGACCCCAACCGTCCTCGGCACGGTCTTGGTCGCGTTCGGCAAATGTACAGTCCCAAGGAGCACAATCGCGCCCTCCTGCCCAATCGCTCTTCCACAGCTGCTTGAGGAACTCGCGCACGCCCGAAGCCTCATCCTGCGTGGTCCAGTCCATCTTTGAGCCGGCTTGAGGAACCGCCGGGGTTTCCGGTGCTGGCGCGGCCGTGTCGGCGGCGATTTGGGAGCGACGGATGGCTTTGCGTCTGGCCGAGAAATGCCATGCGTCGGCATGCACGTCGAAGGGCAGATCGAGCCAGGCGGCAATGTGGATGAGCTTGCTGAGCATGTCACCGAACGAGAACATGCGCACCTTGGGATACGGTAGCGGCTCGCTGCCCAGGCTGTACACCAGCGGCGTACCCCTAAACGGCGATGATACCGACGTGACCGAGAGTACCAGGTCTTGAGCCTTCCACTTGCCAGCGTCACTGCTGGGAATGCCGAGGGCGGCATCGAAGAATCCCTGTCGCAGTAGCTGTTGCAGCTTCAAGATGGTGGGGCCTCCCAGGCTGTGTCCTAGAAAATGGGCTGGTAAGCCCGGTGTGTCGCTGCTGGGACCCCATGTCGGACACAGTGGCTGGGCGTAGTGGCGTCCGAAGCGCGAGTGGCGATGTTCGCGCGCATGCTCGGCGCCATAGTCGACCGTACCCCCGCGCAGCGCGTAGAAGAGCTCGCACGCTCGATCGTGCAGACTCGACACGGGCCCGATGGGCGCAAATACGACCGCGCGCGAAGAACCCAACCCCGACCGTCGTGAGCGTGGCGATGAAGGTGGCGAGGCTTGATCGACTAGCTGCTGGTGGCCGACTCCGAGGTAGGTGCGGAACTCGTTGCCCCACACCACGCTTTGCGCCGCCGACAGAAAACCCTCGCAGATGATTAGTGGCGGGATTGATGCTGCCCCGCTCGAATCGTCGCTGCCAGTAGAGGCATCTTGAACCGAGTCGGTCGAAGGAAGTGAAGAGGTGGAGGACGTGGCCGCAAAGGGCCAGAGTGTCGGCATGGACGCCGAATTATGTGTGTGGGTATAGAAGGTCGTCGAGTGGTGGTCGCAGCATACGTGCTATCGATGGGCCGCACGAATCTTCAGAGTATCAACATGGTGGTATGGAGGAACAAGACAGAGTCGTACGACCAAAGCACGCTTTGTTGGGTCAGGGGCAACATTCTAGACTCGGGAAGTTTGCATTGCCGAGAGGGCTCTTCGCACTGTTGCGTGTGAGGAACGGATGATCGCCAGCTGCTTCGCACGAGGAAGGCGTGCAGGATGGGCTGATTCGGACCAAAGAAGATCGGCGCGATGCCGCAGGCTCGGTTGAGCGGATCGAGCCGAGCCTTCCAGCTGCAGTTTTGAGCTGCGGTGCGCGCTTGGAGCGCTCTATTTGGCAGCTGCAGTGCCCGCTAAGCCTCCACACTGCCGAGCCAAGCCGAGACAAGCAGAACCCGAACAAATCCTACGGAACTCGGAAGGCCCCAGCCAACGTCGTTCCAGCCCTGTTCCTGACTCCCAAGCCTTGGCATACAAAGCAACGCATTATGTACTGCAGAGAACGGTGGGTTGATATCTGCGGCCATAGAACCTTGAAAGCACCGCATCCCGTCCGATCTGCGAAGTTAAGCAAGGTATCGCCTAGTCAGTACTGCGGTGGGGGACCACGCGGGAATCCTAGGTGCTGCAGTTCTTTTTTTCTACTCTTTCTCTTTTTGGGCTGGCCAGGACCTCTCGCTCGATGAACAGACACTCTCCCCGCGCCCGTTACAGGAGCTCGTATCAGATTGCAGTCAAAGCAAAGTCGTTGTTCAATCACGTCCTTATTGAATGGATGCAAGACTCGAAATGAGGAGGAATGTCCCTACCACCGCCTCCCTCCGACGTCCGGGCGCTTTGCAGCGAGATGGACGCCACCAGGTTCAAGTTGCGCAGGCAGCAGCAGGCCCAGCGCAGCAGACACCGGCGCAGATGCTTGTCAGCGTCGTTGCCAGAATTCACCGCACCAGGAGATTTGATCTTGGTCCCAGCGAGCGCCACGACAGCCCATTGGAAAAGGCAGCGGGTGACTCTATAAGCCAGGACCGTGAGGGTCTCAACACACACACGGAGAAAGAGGGGAATAGGGGAAGGAAGGGAGCGTATCGGGGAAGCAGCGCAGACAAAGCGGCGTCGCAAAGGTCGTTGATCGTTTGCGATGCATTGGCGGTACGTTACAGTTGATCGACATTCGGCCTTGGGTATCACGGGAAGCTCGGGGTATCGAGATGGACTTCAAATCCAATTAGTCGTCCTCCTTCTGGGGCGGAGGACCGCAAGGCTGCAGCATCTTTTCGGTGAGCTCGAACTTGACGCGCGCCTTGCATTCTCCGTCCGCCAGCGCCGAGTACGCCAACAAGGGCGGATGACCCACGATGGACGAGCTGGTGTCGCGCATTTGATGCGTGATCCACTCGCTGTTGCAGTCAAAAACACAGCAGAGGAGCGAAAAGACGATACGGTCAGCTCCTGACAGCCATGGAGCAGAGACACGAGAAGCAGAATGCAAGCAGCGGGTACTCACTACTTCTCGGTGTCGGCGTTGATGGTGCCGGTGTATCTGCTGTGCAGATGCTCCAGCTGTGAAGCCGCCGTGTATCGTAGATCCGACATGCTGGCGTATGACCTTGCCCGTGCGATGGACGATGTGGTGGGAGGAGGGCAAGGGTAGAGCAGCTCGGCCGTCGCACTTCAACTCCAACTGCGACCCGACCTTTTTTTATTCGCTTGCTCACCGCGCTCTCGATTGGCTGATCGACCCTCACGGCTTTTGTGAAGTCTGTCATCATGACAAATTACGGCCGTGCCACACACGGAAATTGAAATCGCCGATTGAGGGCAGACGCGTCTGATTTGCTGGACGTGACGCAGTGCCAGCTGCCTTATGCACTCCGACCCCTGGCTGCGATGGGCCTAGGAAATGGAACTGCAACGCGGGCGGAGACAGCCAACGCATGGCAGCCGGCAGAAACAACCAGACGACAATCCTACCCCTTGCCTTGCGGCTCGACCGTGTAGCTTAGCGCTTACAAACACTGGCTCGCACATGACAAGGCTGCTGTCGGCCAGCTTGGTGCGATTCCGATCCCAGCACCATTGTTACAAAGCCAAAGTGCCGGCAAGAGAGCGAGAGAAAAGAGAGAGGCCGAAGTGCGAAAATCGAGGCGAAGCGTGTCATGGCTCGGCGTTTTTGACAGCTGCACGCTGCATCTCGGCCATCAGTGCCGAGCCACATTTGGCTTGGCCGCACCATCCGCACTCGTCTCGTTCCGCAAGGGTCCCAGACGGTGCAGCGTCGCCTCGCCGAACTTCGGTGCTGCGCCTCGGGACGCTCAGCTCGTCATGCGTTCCTCCTGCCTCGGTGCCGTGCACCTGCTCAGCGCGTGCGTCCCCATGATCGACACCGCACGCCTTTGACTCAGGGTCCTACCTGCCCTCTTCGGCGAACAGGCTTGGGCTCCGTTCTCAGTGACCAAGCGCGCGACGACGTGCGCAACAGCGCCGAACGCGATGCATCGGATCAGCATGCCGCACTACACGCAGCTCCCTCGAGCCGTCTGTCTGGCTCATCACCGAGTTGTTGGCTAGCCGCAGGCAAAGCACAGTATCACGCTCGCAGCTGTCCGCACGAGCTGGCTCAGCCCCCGCGTATCAGGTGCAACGATCTTCGTTGCAGCTTCACCGTGCAGCCTCGCTGTAGTGCGTCGCCGGTCCTCTAGCCTGGATCGCTCGTTTCCATCCTTGCTTCGCTAGCGAGACCCCTCCCTGTCTCGCAGTCCTGAGCCTGCTGTGCCCGCGTCCAGAACACCTCGTCCATCCTCGACGACCTCCATCTTTACACTCCATCATCCTCACCAGGTCATCGCCTCCACCCTCCTCCATAACATAACGTGAGGCATCATGTCGTCTCAAGGCGCAGCTGCTGGTGGCGGCGGCGCCCACATGACCACCCTTTCCACCTCGCTCCTCGCCGCAGCATGCACAGCTGTCGTCGCCGCTTCCATCTTTGTGCTCGTCGCCCTCCGACGCTATCTGGCCGCCAAGAAGCGCAGATCCACCATGATCGCCCCCCAATCAGCTCCTGCGACCGCCCAGGCCATCTACACATCGCACCTCAAGTCCAAATCGATATCCACCGAGGACATCAGCGAGCCTCGCCTCCACTACGCTCCAGAACGTGCACACAAGGCCTCGTACGATCTCAGCAAGATGTCGCTCGCCCAAAAGACCGTCGTATCCATGCGTCAGCAGGGCTTCCTCCCGTCCAAGCCCTTCGCTTCGCCCAAGTTCCCCAAAGCCGCTCTGCTCTCGCCAAGGATGCAGCCTCCAGTCTCGGCCGATCTGCCCTCGCCACGCACACCAAAGTCTCCAGGCCTTACTGAGCTCGCCATGTCGCCGGGACCAAGCATCCTCCTCAAGCCCATGGCGTACGGTAAATCGCCCGTATCGCAAGTCAAGAGCCCCGCAGGAGCGACAAAGAAGCCGTCCCCAGAGCAGAAGAAGAAGCTCACGCGCAGCGCCGTGCCCTCCATGCTGCTCCGCAGCCTCGGCGTGTTGCCCGACTTCTCAGCTTCGACTTCGCAAGCGAAGAAGGCAGAGCCATCGGCGGATGAAGACAAGGAGATCATCGGTGACAGCAAACAACAGCAGGATCAGCAGCAAAGTAAGGAGGCCGACGAGCCTTCACTCACTCCCATCCTCGATCTCGGCATCGACTTTGGTAACGACGAGTCCTTCGAGCAGTCCCTCCAGCTACGCGGCAACTTCTCCTTCGACTCGGGCAGCACAAGTTGGCTCGACTCGTCAAAGCAGCAGCAGCAGCCCGACCTCGAAGCTCAGCAGCCTGCCAAGAAAAGTGCCGGTCTCGCCGGCCTTATCGAGGCTCTGTCACCACAATTGCCCGAGACTTCGACTCTGCCCGTGGGCCGCATCAGCCCGCCAAGTCGTCTCACTGGTTTGCCCTCACCCGCATCGTTCCGTTCGCATTTCCCCACTCCTCCGCCATCGGCAGGTCTCCCGCCAGCTCCAACCACTCCGTCCATGCACAAGGTCCCCTCGAGCAGCTCGCTGCAAAGCAAAGCCAGCAGAGCCACGGCTACTTCCGCTCAACCTTCCGCCGCCCAGTCTTTCCACAGCGCCGCCGACTCCATTGGCCAGCTCTGCATTGACATGTCCGCCGACGGCCCCGAAGACGAGGTGAACTCACCATCGTTCCACAGGCTCAGCCTCGGCTTCGGTCCACAGAAAAGCCCCTCGCAGGGCACTTTCAACAGCATCTTTGGTGGTCTGCGCAAGGCCCCTGTGCGAGGCGACGATATCGACCTCGAAGCGGCCAACTCTTCCACCGACGGTGCGTCGACGCTCCACTCGTCCTCGAGCGACGAACTCTCTTACAGCTCGTCGCAGACCAGCATGGATCTCGAGGCCAACACGAGCTTCGGCAAGGCGAACGTCGTTCCCGCTGCATGCGTTCCTCCTCTGCCCCCAATGCCCATCTCGCTTCAGCAGCTTGCCCAGGACAAGACACCGCAGGCCGAGTCGCAGCCTGTCTTTGCCGATGACTCGGCCACGCCTCGTCCGAGCCGTAAGCGGGCTTCGACGCTGGGAGCGCTCGACCAGCCCAAGCTCGCCATGCCGGATCTGATGCATCCTCGGGCCGCGCCGCTGCCCCCCACGGGTACTGCTGGCAAGATCGCAGAGCCGACGATCAACGTGGAGCCGGTGCAAGTGCACCGTGCAGAGCTCACCAAGCTCAAGGCCAAGTCGACCGATCACCTCCCTCTGAAGGCCAGCCCAAGGGGCGCGGCGACGATGAACTTCAAGAGCCCCTACCACCGAACGCTGATCCCCGACCCACCTATGGATGGCGCTCACCTCTCGCCGGGTCTGGGTGCGGACAGCCCGATCCTGGCGCAGCTCAGCCCCAAGCTGCTCGGTGGCTCGCCGGGCGCCAGCCCCAGGCCCAGCTTCACCGAGAGCCTCAAGGCCAGGCTGAGCCTCTCGCGCAAGTCGCTCACCAGCTCGCCCGGATACACTTCGCGCAACAGCACACCGCGTCTCGACACCATCAACCAGTTCCCCAAGCCCGGCAGCGATGGCTTGCACTCGTTCGCAGATGCCACGGCAGCCCACAGCCCCGCTGCCGCAGACGCGACGCCAAGGCTTACCGCTGGCAAGAGCGTCAAGGCTACAGCAAGGCCCGCTACCAGCCCTGTCGTGGGTCAGGCTGAGCAGGTCGGGCTTGGCTTCAGTCCTGCCATCTTGTTCAACGGACAGGAGATTGAGCCCACCAGGCCGCTGCGCTTCAAGAAGCCATCGTCGGCGGGCGGTCGTCTTGGCGGATCGCCCCAGCCGCAGCTCTCGCCCGGCTCTCCTTCGCCCATGCTCCACTCCGAGGGCATCTTTTCGCCCCTGGTCGACGGCATCGATGGCGGAGCGAGCCCAAGCGGCGAACGCATCGAGTTTGGCGTTTCGGAGCCACAGTGGACCGAGACTGTCAGCTCGCCACTCGAGCAGACCGAAGCCGTCAGTGCGGCTGGCACCCCCGTCGCTCAGACTCCCGCCATTGCGGACGACCTCGACAGCCCTGCGATGGACCACTCGACGCCGCGACCGAACTCGTCGTCGGATGCCGGCGTATTCGCCGAGGACGAAGAGGAGCTCGAGTACCTCTCGCACCGCGACAGCATGATCAGCGTGGCTGCGTCGACCATCAGCATGATGAGCAACAGCACGTGCATGTCCGACTCGATGGGCGATGAGATCGACATGGCTGCGGATCGCCGTGCCAAGCTGCTTGCCAGTGTACAGCAGAACGTGGCCAAGGCCAAAGCCAAGGACGCCAAGCGCGAGAGTCACGCGGCCACCCGCTTCCGCAAGTCGCACATGTCGCAAATGTCGCAGATGTCGCAGTCGTCGTCGCTGCGCAACATTCCCGAGGAGCTTTCAGGCAGTGCCTCGACGATGGGTCTCGGGCTCTTTGAGAGCGAGGAGGAAGACGCCAACGACGAGGAGAAGGAGAACCTCGCCGACAGTCCTCAGGGATACGGCCGCAAGAAGCCCGAGAACCTCGTCCTGATGCCTCAGCACGACAGCCGCCTCATTGGACCACTCACGCCGCCTCTGACACCCATCGATGCTACGACAGGTCAGAAGCAGTCTCGCCACGTGCCTACGCCTTCGACGAGCTCGGCGTCGTCAATGTCGTCGGCTGCATCGGTGCCCCGCCGCATGAGGCCGTCGCGTGGCCGACTGGCGCCTCTCGATGTGGGCGCCGCCAACCGGCTTTCGCCGTCGGGAGCTGAGCAGGGACGAGGCGGTGCCACATCGCCATCGTCGCTCAAGCTGCGCCCGCTGAGCTTGGCAGCGAGTCTGCACAGCGGCGACAGCAGCCCGATGAAGCGCTTTGAGCGACCTGCGTTCTCCCCGGCGCTGTCGGCCAACATCCCAAGTCCGGGACCGGTGCATATGTCGGCGATGAACGAGCGCTCGGCGCGATACAACGAAGAGGGCCGCAGCTCACGCAGCGTCACGTACCGCCAGGGCGGCGTGCTGCCCACGGTCAACTCCAAAGGCGCTCTCGACACGGGTCGGGCCGGACATGCAGAGCCGTCGCTGACGCATTCGGACAGCTCGACTTCGATGGGCTCGATGGCCTCATCGCTCGGATCGTTCTCGAGGATGGGCCACTTTCCGAGCCCCGTCCGCGCGAGCTTCTCCAACCAGGGCCTCGGCAAGGCCATGGGCATGAGGCCGATGATGATGGGTCGCAACAGCAACCTCGTCGACATGCCCGAGCTCACTACCTCGGCGAGCTCCCACAGCTTCGCCAGCAGCACGGGAGGCCGGCTGGGCTACAAGACCAGCGACCTCTCCGTCACCGCCATCTAGACACATTCACTTGGATTCACCCATCCCCCACATTCTTTCAGTTCTGTCTCTTTTGTACACTCTCTTGATTTGCAGGCGGTCGGCGCGCGATGAGGACATCACCGGGAGTTCCGCCGTCCGAGACGGTGGCTTCAACGGGATCAGTCGCTCTCGCGTCCGCCGCCCTGCCCCCCTTCCCAGCTCGGGAATCAGCCTCTCTTCTGCGCTCAGCCAGAGATCGATGGCGCCGTTCACATTCATTACTTTGCCATTGTACATTTGGGGTCAAGCACCCAATCTCTGCTGTATCATACGGACCATTCAATGCATTCATCCTACAGATCATACGTCTCGGCTGTTCTGGCAGTGTATCGTTCTGGGAGCGCCGGGGAGAGAGAGTGGGGGCGCGAAATGGGCTACTGTTAGAGCGATGTGGCCTACAGCTTGGAAGATGTGCACTCAGTTTTATCACGTGCCGCAAAATAGACCTCGGCCGAGCTTCGAGGTGGGCGAGAAATTCAGCCTGCAGCCCAAGTGCCTCGGTGAGGCTGCTCAGCCGACGACGTCGTTCCAGGCCGCTCTGTTTGTGGCCGCAGGTCAGCGATCCCAGATTGGGAGTGCGTGCTGCTGCCGCATTCGAAGCCGAAGCGCTCATTCTCAGAATTCGAAGACCGGACGAGACTGGTGTGCAGGCCCGAGTTTTGAGTGGGAGGCCAAGGTCGCGGCGAGCAAGCCCGAAATTTTCGCGCGGGTCCGAGTTGTGGCTAGCAGCCGTTGGGCTGCGCGACGCCGACAGTGGCCGCGGTCGTCATCACCGTCTGCTGCCGACTTCCACCTCCTCAAGACCCATCACCATCCCCCCATACATCTCCGTCAAAATGGTAGGTAGTCAGCACCAACATGCGTCGAATCGACACGCGCAGTCCAGCAGTACGCAGCATGAAGGGCATCCATGTCGCAGCACCACTTCAGACCGACCACAGAGCGAACGCAGACTCGACTTGGCGTTGCACAGCATGACCAGCATGGAACCGACAATGTTGATCCAGCATAGATACGCTCCGACATATATGGCAAAGTGCAGCAGCGCTTCATGTGGCACTGAAGGCGTCGCAGTCATCGGTAGCGATTGTACATCATGATCTCGCATACGACAAATCAGCTTGGCATGCAAAACACCGAGCTCAATATACGATGGACATCGCTATACAGCCCCAACGGCACAGCACGAACGCAACCGCTGCGATGCTGCAGCTCACTACTATCTGCTAGGCGCCAATCAATCGCCAAAGACACGCACGTATCTGAAAGTGCGACCCTCCGACGATCACTCGTCCCGCCACGGCATCTTTCCATCAACAAGTTCAGTCTCTTAGATACCGTTCGCAGCCATCATGCTACCGCACCGCCACCGCAGCCATCACCGCAGCTGAGACAACACCTCGCCACCTCAACACGTCCGACCTTCCCGACATGGCATGCCCTTCATACTGCTTCGACGACCTCGCACCCCAACGCCATCATGCACACACGCTTACACGTCTATCTCTCCGCTTCGCACCACCGTTGATGCCACCACCACCAATAGGTTGTTAAGACGTTCGAGCTTCAGTCGAAGTCCAAGGGTGACCTCACCAAGCAGCTCGAGGAGCTCAAGACCGAGCTGCTCAACCTGCGCGTCCAGAAGGTCGCCGGTGGTTCGTCGAGCAAGATCCTGCGCATCAACTCGCTGCGCAAGGACATCGCCCGCGTGCTCACTGTCATGAACCAGAAGCAGCGTGCCAACCTGCGCGAGTTCTACAAGGGCAAGAAGTACATCCCCCTCGACCTCCGCGCCAAGAAGACCCGCGCCATCCGCCGCAAGCTCAACCAGGTACGTACAGCGCACGCATTGTAGCGACAGCGACAGCAGCAGGCAGCAGACAGCATCAGGAGGAGTCAGCACGTTGGGTCCATGTGTCGAAGGTGGAGAATCGACAGGACACGTTGGCAGACAGACAGAAGCAGGCGGAAGGCCAACTTGGAGGTCATGTCAGCTGGATTTCTCCGGTCAGAGCCAGGACGGAAAACATGGCCCCACACACTATCAGCATCGCTTTTGGTTGGATTCAAGGCAGTGGCCTGCAGCATGGGAAGGACGAATAGGTTGGATGTGCATCCAGAGCCCAACGAATTGCCGATCATCCTAGACCAGCGCTGGTGAAAGGGACTCACGCATCCATCGACATTGAGCTGGCGAAAGCCCGCATTGCCTCTACTGCTGTCGCTGTTCGCACTCGCACCCAGTCCCTCAACGAACACGCCCCACTGACACTTGCGTCCTCGTTCCATCCTTTTACAGCACGAGCGCACCCGCATCACTGAGCGCCAGCACAAGCGCGAGGTGCACTTTGCCAACCGCAAGTTCGTCCTCAAGGCATAAATCTAGCGCCGTTCGTTTCCTCTTCTTCTTGCACACGATCCCCTTCTATGCAACTTGTGTATTAGCACCCCACCATCCACATCCTCGGCAAAAGCTTGCGGCCTTTGGCGTAAGCGTGTAGCCAACCCACACACCCCAAAATATTGATCACGCCCTCCGCATATGGAGCGTCGAATCGCCCCGAATTTCGTTCACCCTGCGTGCGTGTGCCGTGTACGTGGTGGATAGAAGCCTGGCTGGGTTTTGAGAAGGATTCCATGCGCAGAGTGAGTTGGTTCGAGCGCAGGGTTCGTGGCTAGAAAGACACACTCGAGACTCGATGCAGGCCCACCGTAGGCATTCTGGAGGCACACTGGAGGCACACTTCCGACACACAGGTGGGGTATTGATGCTTGGGAACGGGTGTATTTCACAGTGCGGATTGGAGGTGATTGATGCTTTGCTTGACACCGGACTTAGGCGCCACCACTATTCCAAAGGGTAAGCCAGAGCACGAGAGAGAGAGAGAGAGAGAGAGAGAGGATAGAGTAAGTCAGTACATGTCATCAATCTCCGGATGGGGCGAGCTTTGGGTGGAACTTACACGAGCTGTCGAGGATGCAAGATTGATGTGCGCAGAGAGGCAGGCATGACGGGTCAGATGGTGTGGGTGAGTGAGTGTGCTTCATGGTGTGGAAGATTGGTGAAAGTGGACTTACGATCGAGTGGATTGGGATGTGGATCTGTTGCGAAGCGAAGCGATGGCAAGATGACCGCGCGTGTGTGAGCGATGCGGATTCTTTGCAGTGTGAAAAGGTGCGTACGTACGAGCTTGACAAAGTAGCCGATGAATCCCATGACGACGAAGCCCATGCCGACCGCGCGGCAGATCTGGATGTACTCTGCAAGCATGCGAAGCCGCAAGAAGAAGGGGAAAGGGAGGCCAAAGTTAGTCGGACAGAAATCCTTCAAGACCGCAGAATGGATCCCTCCTGAACGCGGGTGTGCGTATGCCTTGTCTGCTCTGCTAGTTAGCACTACCGAGAGCAAGACAGGAGGAGAGAGGAAAGACGCACCTTTGCGGTTAGGCTTTGTGCATCGGTTGACAAAGTGGGTGCCTTCGCGGAAGAAGTTCTGCGGGATGTCGACGATCTCCTTGATGGTATCCGACATTGTTGCGGGATGTAGCTGTCGAGACGTATGCAGTAGGATGGTGGCGAAGCAATTGATGGAGCAGCAGGAGGCGCTTGCGATTAAGGTCTGGATTGAGCGCCGTGGCCATCTTCGCGCGGCCGTCGGGGGGCGCCACGTCGATTGGCTCAATCCGCCGCCCACGCACACTGCTTCTCCGCATCCCAGTCCGGCAGCCAAAGTGGCCCAACTCAACCCCGGTTTAGTTGCGAAGATGTAACAATCCCAAAAATCCACGGATCCGATGCAGGCTGCCCGGTTTTTTGCCTTGGAGCTGGAAGAAATTCCGCCTCGCTCGTCACTCTCACACTTTGTGTTGGCAACCACCATCTCTGACCAGCTCTGTCGCTCACCACAATGGCTTCGATGTTCCGCAGCAGCTTGCGGACGGCGCTTCGACCCGCCTCCGCCTCCACCTCTTCCGCCCTCGCCTCGACCAGCAAACTTCGTCTTCCATCGCTGCGATTCAACTCCACCTCGACCACCTCGACCGCCTCGCTCGAAGCCGAAGCCGCGCCGACCGAGGTGCAGGATGGGGCGACGGCGGTACGATACAGCTACTTTGTGCCGCGCGTAGGAAAGACGCTGGACAGTCTGCCCGTATATACGGATGTGCGCAACGGCGGCACACGCACCATGACCGAGGTGCGCAAGATCCAGGGCTCCGTACAGGACCTCAAGCTCGACCTCGAAGTGTTCCTCGCCGACACCTACGCACCCACCTACCCCGACTCGCCACTAAGCGTCAACAAGAAACCGCTCCGCCCAAAACCGGGCCGCAAACTCGTTGCCTCCGTAGCCAACCCGACGTACATCCAACCCGTCGCCCAGGGCAAGGTGACAAATGCAGGAAAACTCAAGATCCGTGGAAACCGCGTGCACGAAGTCAAGGCCTTCCTCGAATCAAGAGGCTTCTAAAAATCACTGTACCCTTTGCGCAATCCTCTCAACACCATTTCCGCATCATATACAACGGTGAAGAATGATGATACAATAGCTGAATTGAGGACGCGGCGAAAACTAATCGAATCCGGCACCCGAGCGCTGCTTCTTGCGCTTGTTGGCCTTGTTGTGCTTCTTGCTGTTGGCCTGGCCCTGCGCGTTGGCGCCGGGAGCCTGCTTGATCACCGAGCCGTCGTTGGCGATGCGACCCTGGATGGCAGCGGTTGGCAAGCCGGTGCGGCCCACGATGGTGGGACGCGCCGAGGCCATGGTGTCAAAGAAGGCCGAGTCGAGCGCCTTGGACTTGGCCGACTGACGCGGTGCACCGGGCGCTCTGCTCCTGGCCATCTCGGCGAGCTCGGCATCCAGGTCGGCATCGAGCTCATCCGCATGTTCGGCCAGATGCGCCGTGGAGGGATCGTACTTGCGCCCTGCAAGTGCCGCCCTGGCGCGCTCTCGCTGTGCTTGATTGTAGACGTCCGAATCGACGCCCGGTGGCGGATGGCCGTAGAGCAGCTTTGCATTGACATAGTCCTTGAGCACGTATCGCACCGCCCTCGACTCGTCCGGATTGCCCTGTCCCTGCCTAGTGTAGCCCCTGGCGACGGCGTAGGCGGTGAGCATCTCGAGACCCGTGGGCACGCCGTTGCCGCCCTCTTCCTCGGTGAGCGTGTCGATGCGGATGCCGTAGGTGGCCTCGACAATGTCCTTGGGGATGCGCTTGGCGACGAGCTCGGCGGGCGCCGTGTACTCGCGCATCTGGTCGATGGGCAGCACGCCGTCGCACACGAGCTCGGCCGAGGTGGTGGCGAACTGCGGGAAGACGAGACCGGGACAGTCGCACAGCACGGTGGTGGGCGAGAGGTGGATGGTTTGGAAGTGCTTGGTCTTGCCGGGCGTCGACGAGACCGACACCTTCTTCTCGCCCAGCAGCGCGTTGATCGTCGACGACTTGCCCACGTTCGGGTAGCCCACCAGACCCACGACGAGCTTGGAGGGGGCCGGCTGATCATCGATGGCAAACGTGTCGAGCGGAGGCGCGCACGCCATAAAGAGCTCCTCGAGCTCGAGCACGTTGAGCACACGTGTAGGATCGCGGTCAGGCGAGAGTGTGGTGGTAGCGGTGGCGGTCACGGCGTCGACGACTTCGGGCTGGTCGTGTGCGTCGGCTTGCGAGTCGTGGCTGGCTTGGTCGGCTGCCGGTTGAATGGCGGCCTCGTCTGGGTGTTGGTCGTCGCTGTCTTCGCCCTCGGACTCGTATTCGTCGTCCTCATCGACCTCCTCGTCATCGTCGCGTTCGAGCTTGAGCTGTTCGAGACGCAGCCTCTCCTCCTCCTCGGCTCTTGCCTGCTGGATGGCGGCAGCGTTGGCGGCACTGAAGAAGGCGTACTGAATGCCTTGTGCGTCAAAGTAGTCGGCCCAGTACTTCCTCTGCTGGTCGTCGAGCAGATCGGCCTTGTTGATGAGCAGCAGGTTGCTCCTGGGACCCTTGAGCGGCGAGTCCTCCTCGAGGTAGTCGATGCCGTTGGTGGAGCCGATGCCGAGGCTGGAGACGTACTTTTCGAGGTCCTCGCAACGGAAGCGGAGCGGGTTTCTTGCGTCTACGATCTGGACGACGAGGTGGCTGCGCTCGATGACACGCCAGAGCTGGCGCCACACCTCGAGGTTGCGCTCGAAGGGGGTGAGGACGAGGCCGACGCCTTCCTGGAGCTGTGCGAGGCCGCGTCGCCACTCGAGGAATCCGTCCTTCTCTGCGCGCTCGAGCTGCGCGCGTGTGGTTGCGCTGGTCCACTCGGGACGCCTGGGGACACGCAGACGCTCCTTGTTCTGCACGTGCTTCTTGAGCACCTCCTGCTCCTCCTGGCCCGTGAGCAGGTACGGGTTGTGTCGGGTGCGCTCGCGGTTGGGCGCGGTGATGACGGTGACGCCGCCGTTCCTGCGTTCTGCGGTGAAATCGGCGTCGGCGAGGGATGCGGTGTTGAGGAACTCTTCGAGATCGCCCTCGTGCGTGACGGAGCGCAGGTTGGAGACGGAGCCGTAGTTGTTGATGTCGGTGGTGTGGAACTCGGTCTGGTTGCGCTGCTTGGCCTCCTTGGCGCGGCGGTTGAGGATGGCGCGACCCAGGCCGACGGTGTTCTTGGACTGTGCGAGCGGCATGGTGGATGTCTATGCAAGCCGCACGGGTATCGAAATGGGACTCGGCGGGATGATAGGGTGTGGAGAGGAAGGCAGCAGCAACTGGCTATGCCTGAGCCACCACCGCCGACAGCTGCCACCCAGCTCAGCAGTGCGCAGCCGCAGCGGACTTGACGAAGGCCAAAGGCAGCAGCAGCCAAGAAGAATTCTCCACCCAAAAAAAGGGTCGCTCGACTGAGCCAAAAAAGAAGAAAAAACAAAAGGCTGCAGGGCCAAAGCGAAATTGCGAAATTTTTCGGATATCGCCTCCACACTTTGATACAGTACTGGGCTCCGTGCCGCCTTTTTTTTTTCTCTTTCGAGGCGAGCAACCAATTCTTCCAGCCTTGAGCATCGGGCCGGGAGCTGAGCGACTGCTCCCACCATCATCCACGATCGCTTCACACTGGCCGTAGCAGCCAGCACCACCACACAGCCATGGATCCGACACTCAAGCTGCTCACCCTCATCAATGTGAGCGCAGCACGTCCAGGCAAGCGTCAGCGCGCCTCCAACCTCACCCACTACGACAAGATCACTCGCAAGGCCGCAGCCGCTCAGCAGGCCACAGCATCCACCAGCACCGCCGCTTCCGCATCTGCGTCTCCGTCAAAACGGTCCAAGGCGGCTTCCACCTCGTCTGCATCATCGTCGCAAGCTCAGGGCACCAATGAGCTTGTTGGTGAGGTTTCGGACGACGACGATGATCATGAGGCATCCTCTGCAGTGACCAAGCAGAACCAGGCGAAACAGCCGGTTGCCTTTGATGCTCACTTTGGCAGCGACGGCCCGCATGCAAAGGCCATCGCCAAGCTGCCCGAGTCGGTCAAGTCGCTCACCTGGACTTCTTCTCGCGCGGCGCTCCCATCCCTCCCCACCAACACCGCCGTCTCCAAACCGGACCTGCCCGATTTCGATACCCAGGCTTACGCCGGACAGCCGCAGGTCAAGGTGCTCGACGCCTTCAATGTCTACGCCGCCAAAAAGTACTCGGAGCCCACGCCGCTGCACAAGGCGCTCGCCACCACCCTCGGCAGCTACACCGACTTCTGCGATGCCAACGTAGCGTTGCGAGACCGTCAGCAGTACCGCGAGGCGCTCGCCATGCACGCCATGTCGCACGTCGCAAAGACGCGCAGACGCGTGCTCAAGAACAACGAGAGGCTCGCCAAGCTCGCCGCGGCCGCCACATCCACCGACGCCGACGAGCTCGATCTGCGCGACCAGGGCTTCACCCGACCAAAGGTGCTCATCCTGTTGCCCTTCCGCAACTCGGCGCTCGAGTGGGTCGACCTCGTGACCAAGTTCAGCCTGTGCGCACAGGTGGATAACAAGGCGCGCTTTGCCAAGGAGTTCAACCTGCCCCCCGGCGCGGTCGACAAGCTCGCCGATCCGGCCGTGGCGTCAAAGTATCCCGAGGACCACATCGCCAACTTTGCAGGCAACATCGACGACTCGTTCAAGCTCGGGCTCAAGGTGACGCGCAAGTCGCTCAAGCTGTTTTCGGGCTTCTACGACTCGGACGTCATCATCGCATCGCCGCTCGGCCTGCGATTGGGCATCGAGAAGGACCGTGGCGATTCGGATTTCCTCTCGAGCATCGAGATGCTCATCGTCGACCAGACCGATGTGATCAGCATGCAGAACTGGGACCATCTCGAGTTCGTCCTCGAGCGGCTCAACCACATCCCGCGCCAGAGCAGGGATACGGACTTTTCGAGGGTCAAGCAGTGGTATCTCGACAACCGCGCGCCCATGATGCGCCAGTCGATCCTGCTGTCTGCGCACGACTTCCCCGCGCTGCGCTCGGTGTACAACCACACGCTCACCAACGTCGCGGGCAAGGTGCGTACGCTTTCGCACACGTCCGAAGCCCAAGCCGAAATGAGCCGCGTGGTGAGTGGAGTCAGGCAGACCTTCACGCGGTTTGAGGCGGCCAATGTGCATGCGGAGCCCGATCTGCGCTTCCAGCACTTTACCACCAAGACGCTTGCGCAGCTGAGCAAGAGTGCGGTGTCGAGCAGCCATACGCTGATTGTGGTGCCGAGCTACTTTGACTTTGTGCGTCTCGACGACTTCCTGCGCGCGCACAACGAGCAGCGTCGTTCCGGCGAGACGGCCAACCTCTCCTACACCTCCATCTCGGAATACTCGACGCCCAAGGACATCCGTCGTGCGCGCGAGGCGTTCTTCAGCGGCAAGAAGCGATTCCTCCTCCTCACCGAGCGCGCCCACTTCTACAGGAGGTTCAAACTTCGTGGCGTCAAGACGGTCGTCTTCTATCAGCTGCCTCAGAACCCAAGCTTCTTTGCAGAGTTCCTCGAGTTCCCCTTTATCACCAAGCGCGACCTCGCCAAGCCGAGCGACGACGACGACGACGACGACGAGACGGATCCAAACGACGTGGCCGCCTACGTCGTCTACAGCAGGTACGACCTCATTGCCCTCGAACACGTCGTCGGCTCTCAACAGGCTGCCAACATGATCTCCCAGGACAAGGCCACCTGGAAATTCGTCTAGACTCGATTCGAGCGATGAAGGCAAATTCTACACATCTGCTGATTCAGTATGCCAAGGCTGTGAAGGCCTTGAGGACGAGATTGTGGGCTGTGATGGTGGGCGGAATCTCGAGGATGAGGGCTTGGCGCATGGCTATCGCCAGTTGCTGTGTGGCCGGCGACTCGTGCAGACGCCCAATGATCGGATGCACCACAACAAGCGAAAGCTGTTCGACGAGAAGTACCAGTCGGTTGCCGACCCGAGCCGTGGGTGAGTCGGTGGCGCTCGAGGGCTTGATGACACGCGCGAGCGCGACCGTATTACGCACGAGCCCCAGCATCTCTTTCAGCACCTGTGCAGCCGCCATAGCGTTGCCCGTCAGACCGTGTATCTCCCCCACCGAGTCCTGTAGCCGCTGGATCTGGCTCCCAAACACGTCCAGCACCGCCTCGACCAAGCTTATATACCGCGCGTGCCATTCGTCCAACACGGTGCGCACGATATCCAGCACGCCCACCAGCTGCTCCACCTCCCCCTCCGACCACACTGACAGGCCACCAGCCTTGAACGCCGCGATCAGCTTCGGGACCAGCACGTTGGCCGTGATCGAAGTAAGCACCTCGTGGTCGCCACCGAGCGGCGCGTCGGGGTGGCGCATGCCTCGCTCCGTGTACTCGGCCGCACCGGTGAACCAGCGAAAGTCCACCAGCGACCCGACGCCTCCCGTCCATCCGCTGTGCTCCCCGGTGCGGAAGGCGTCCCATGCAACCATCTCGAGGCGCGCATAGAACTCCCAGATCTGACCCACCGACAGACCACCCCACACCTGCTCGTACTCGTCAGGGTAGCGTCGCCGCCACTCCTCGAAGCGCACCACTACACTGCGCGGGTGTAGCGCCATCCAGTCCGCCCGAGTACCGCGCAGAAATGGCAGCCCGGAGGAGGTGTCGGGGTCGGAGATGCCGGCATCGACGGGCGCGAGCGGATCGAGGTACTCCGGTGCCTGGACGTCCGAGAACGTCGCATTGAGACGCTCGATGATTTCGCGCTGTGCAAGGTCCAGAGAAAGCTGATCGGCCGCAGCCAGCTCGTCGAGCTTCAGGAAGCCCGGTGCTGCATTGCCACCGAGAAGGTCAGGCAGGATGGTGTCGCGCTCTTCGTCGTCGTTGTCGTTGTTGTTGCTGGGGATGAGGGATTTGCTAGGGCGCGAGCCAAATGCCTCTTCCCATCGAGCCTCCATCCACGCCGACCTTGCTCGGTTGAGCATCGCGGTTCTGCGCGCGATCAATGCCACCGCATCACTCTCGATCTCGTCCACCCTGGCCTTCTTCTCGCCCACAAACCGCGCCAGGCTCGCGACGAACCCGTCGAGCTCGTCGAACCAGCTCGCCTTGTCCTCGACCGCGGTCACGTCCAGCTTGTTCTGCTTCTCGGCCCTGTCGAGCCCGTTGAGCTCGAGGAGTGAGGATGCGAACACCGCGTCGGCCGCACCTCTGCTCTGGTCGAGCGCGCGCAGCGTCAGCGTCAGCCTCGCCGAGCATGTCCCCACCGACGGCACGGGCGCGGGGTCTGGGATCGGTGCGGCGCGGAAGGGCGAAGCCTCGCGCGACGCTGCAGCCGCACTCGGCTGCGTACGCCGCAGCTGTGCGCGCTCCCACTCCTCCTCGTCCTCGTCCATCTCGTCTGCCACCCCGCCCGGGGCGTCGTCGTCAAAGTCGCCGCGCACCGCCGCCTCCATCTGCCGGCGCTCGCGCTGTTGCAGCTCCTCTTGCGCCTTGGCGCCGATCGGGATGCGCTCGGCCGCCCCCGTGTACTCGGCAAACTCGTCTTCGCCATCGCCCAGTTCGTCCTCCTCGCGCTGCAGACGCGAGTGCGGATGTGGGCCGTCGTCCGCCTCCATCGCATCGTACGCTTGCACGGCGGAAGAGCGCGAGAAGGGCGCGAGAGAAATAAAGTCGTCGGAAACGCCAGACGAGGCGCCGGCTGCACGCAGCTTGGCGCGCTTCTCCTTGGCGGCGCGGATCACGCTCTCGCTCGGAATCGCATCGTGCTCAAAGTCGGCTGCGTACTTGGTGCGTGCGAGCGAGTCGTCATCGCCAGCTGTAAGGCCGTGCCGCGAGGATGACGCGGCCATGGGGTCGTCCATGAATGTGGCGGGCCCTGGTGGAGCGGGTACGGGGCTGTGGGCGCGCGATCGCGCGGTCGGCGTGGAAGTGCGCAGCTCCTGGAGGTGTTTCGACGTATACAGCGACGATGCCAGAGTGGACGTGGATCCTTCCGCCTGCTCGTGTGTAGGCATGTCCTTGAACGCCGTCGGACGCAGTGGAGTCGATCTCTTGGGCGTGCTCGCCGAGCTGGACGAGAGCGCGGACACGCCGACTCCAGCCATCCGAGCGGGCTTACGCACTCCATCGACCTTGGATCGTCGTGGTGCGAGTGCTGGGCCATCATCGTCGTCGTTCTCATCCTCTGCCGTCTCGCCATTGCCTACTCCGCGCGCCACGGGTTTGGCTGTGCTTCCGGCAGTGGGCGTTGCGCGGGCACCCCTCGCTCGTGCACGAAAGACCACCCCGCCCGCATCTGGCTCCTGCTCTTCGTCCGAGCCCCCACGCGACAGCATCCGCCGCGGCGTCGAAGACCCCGATGCACCGGATGCTGTGGCGGGTACTGAAGGACCGGCTGCCGGCGATGCATCGTCAGCCTCGTCGTACGCGGACGAGACGCGAGTGGCAACGCCCTTGGGCTTGCGCCGCTTCACAAAGCTCGCCGAGCCGCTGCTTGGGTCTCCTCCCTCCATCTCGGTGTGTTCCACGCCGCCTGGACGATGTGTTGTGGGGTGGGTCGGGAAGAGTATCGTTGTGGTTCAGATGCAAGCCGCCCAGGTCGAGCTGCATGTCCTCCACCGAAGAACGGCATTTCCTTGTTCCGAATTCCGAAATCTCAGCCAGGACCTCGAGAACGACGAGGACCCAACTTTTCGCTCTCCTAGATGCCACCTTCGATTCACACTGCTTCATATGTGTTCATCTCACATCATGGCAGCGGTGTGGTGGTTCAATATGTGTTGATGGAGGTGTGATACAATACAAGTACATTTGATGAGATGGGTTGAAATAATGAGAGCTCACGCCTTCTTCTTGAGCTTCAGTTTGAGTCCGGCAGGCGTGGGTGTGCCCGTGCCTGGCGCCGGGCTTTGCGAAGGCCCTGGCGACTCGCCTGGCGTCTGCGCCGCCGGAGTCATCGGGGTCATTGGACCAGCACTGCCGATTCCGATGCCCATGCCCATGCCTGGTCCGAAGAAGCCGCCGCCGCTCGCGAGATGCGGCATGCCCGGGCGTCCTGCACCGCCCGGCGTCCCCGGTGTGCCCGGCCCACCGGCTGCGCCTCCCGCGCCATTCTTGCCGCCGTCCTTGGGGAACATCGGACACGACGTGTTGGTCGACATGTGTCCGACCTCGCCACACCGACCGCAACGACGCTTGGTGTCGGTCTTGTTGAGCAGGCTCTTGTAGCCCCCCGGGATGGCGAGACCCTCTGCGGCCGCCTTGGCGTTCTTTCGCTGAATACGACGTTCCTGGTTCTTCTTGCGCTGCGCAAGCTCTTCCTGCAGACGCTTCATGCGCGCCATGTCGATGGCAGCATCGCCCGTCGGCAGCAGATCCTCCGTCGCGATGGCTTCGTCTTCGATCTTCTTGCGCTGCGTGAGGTAGGCATTGATGACCGCCGGGTCGCGCACCATCTCGCGTTGCCACTTGCCGTTGACCAGCCGACGGATACGCAGCACCTTGGTCGACTTGTCGCCCGCATCGCCATTCACTGTGCTCATCGCACTCGGGCTGCGGTCGCGGCGTACGGACTCGCCTCGACCGCCGCCTCGCTGCTCCGGCTTGCCGCCGTTCGCCTGCAGCGCCGCCCTGCGCTCGTCCTCAGCAGTGAGCTTGGCGGGAACCGGGTTGGCCAGCGAGCGGCATTGCGCGTTCCAGATGCGGTCGATCTCGGATCGGTAGACCGCCTGCTGCTCGGCAACGCTGTACTTGTGACCCGACTTGCTCTTGGCTTCGGCCTCGGCCTGTGCTAGGCGCTCTTCAGCGTCCTCGCCCGCTCGAAGGAAGATCTCTTTCATCGAGACGCGGATGAAGCTGAACGCCTCACCGCGGCCGGTGGGATCTCCGTCTCCATGCAGCTTGAGCATGGCTTTGCCCTGCGTCGCGTTGATGAAGTTCTTGCTGGTGATCCACGGAGCCAGCAGCTGCTCGATGTCCATCTTGCTCTCGTCGTCGTCGTCACCCTCGGCGGTGTTGGTGTAACCGCAGTCGAGCAGGTGGCGCTGTCCCACCTGCATGCTCTCGGCGAGACAGATGTTCTCGGGCGGCAGCATCTTGAGCAGCTCTGCCTCCTCGGGCACCACAATGTGCGCCTTGAGCTTCCAGAAGCCCTGGTTGACGTCGCCAGCCTTGCGGTTGTACTCCATGAACTCCTTGAGCCTCTGGCGCATCTGCAGCTCATTCTGATCTGGGAAGTAGCGCATCAGTCGGTGGATCTTGATACGCTGGCGCTGGCTCTTCTGGATGAGCTTGTAGGCGATCATTTGCAGGCGATACTTGATGTTGTTGGTGATGAGGCGCGCGTGAGGACCAGGGATGGGCTGCACCGGGTACGTCTGGCCCACCACAAAGAGGTTGCGGATCTCGCGCAGATAGTAGCGGATCTCGTTTTTGGTGGTGCTGCGAATGAGCAAGAAATCCGTGTGCGACGGCTTGTGGCGGAAGAGGGGAGCTCGGATCATGTTGTTGTACAGCGTCGGCTGCACCTGCCCTCGCTCGATGTTGCCAAACTTCATGAAGGGCGACTCGTCGGCCACGTCGAGTAAGTAGGGCTCGCCAATGTCCATCTTTGGCACGTGTTCGTCCTTGGCATCTTTCTTGCGGTAGTAGTTGACCAGCAAGCTGCCCATACCGATCTTGGAGAGCAGCGGCGGATACTCTTCCGAATACTCGTACAGCACGTACGGCCCGGTGTCCTTGAGCGTGAGATCGCGCGTGGTGCGCAGCATCTCGTTGGGATCCTTGGCCTTGCGCGCGCCGGCGCCTTCCTTCTTCTTCTTGGACGAGATGGTCCTGGAAAAGTGGAGAGGCATGTTGGTGGGGAACTGCATGGCAGGGCGGTGGAAAGATCGAGCCTCGGCCTTGGTGAGCTTGGTCTTGTACCAGGGGAGCTGAAGCTTGATGGCGGGCCATGCATGCTGAACGACGAGCTTGCCGAGCGTTTGACGCACACGCTGGCGGTGTTCGCGCGTCTGTTCGTAGAACTTGTCGTTGGAGAGGTTGAAGATGTCGAGCTCGGCCTGGCGGCGCGCGAGGTCTCGCTTTGCGGCGGCCGAAACGACTGGTGCGTCGGAGCGAAGAAGCGAGTTCTGCTTGACTTTGGGTCCGACGTCCTCCTCGAGCATCATTTGCGGATCGTTCATGTCCAGCACGAGCGTGTCGAAAGGTTCGAATAGGGTATGTGCATCCCAGATGATGCTGCGGGTCCAAGCACCGCGGACGAGGTCGTGGTTGAACGGCTTGTCCACGCTAGGTGGCGCGTAAGAAGCATCGAACGATTCGTCCATAAGATCGTCCTTTTGGAACTGATCAGCTGCTTCAGCCGCAGCAGGTCGATCGTTCTGAGTGGTGGCCCAGACAACACGCTCTTCCCAGTCGTCCAACTCGACGGGCGCGAGCTTGACCCTGCTACTCTCCGCTTTGACGCCGGGCGTGGTGATGAGCTGGAGATCATCCATGTCCGAGTCGCGCGTCTCGGAACCGGTGGCTGATGCGCCCAGACCACAGGTGAGGTTGGGAAGGATGGAGGCATGATGCGAGCGCAATGCAGATGGCCTGAGCATCTCCTCACGAGTCGACTTGGGCACTGGCAGTTCGTCCTGCGGAATCACGTGGAACTTGGCTTGCGTGTGGCCGAGTCTGCGCTTCTTGGGTGGTCGTGTGGCGAAGAGGTCGGTGAAGTTGAGCACTTTGCCCGGCTGGAAATCGGGGAAGAGCTGATGAACCTCGTCCATGTCAACGTAGGGGCCATGGCCGGGAGCACCGGGCATGTACGGCTGCTGGGGCAGGGGCGGGGTCTGTGGCGATGACTGGCGCGAGCTGTCGGATCCAGGGAGGGCTATCGGCATGGAGGGTGCTGCGGCTGCTGACGAAGATGCCGGGTCGGGACCGGAGAGGAAGGCCATGTCTGTGTCGTCGTCTCTTTCCTCCTTGACTCGAATCATGCCATCGCCGAAGCGACTCGCGCCGTTCGCTTGGGAGCCATGTGCGTTTGCGTGAGATAGTGATGGATCTGGTCGAGATTGCTGCTGGGACAAGGGCACGTCTTCGTCGTCTTCACCTTCTGCGTCATCGTCGTCGTCGTCGTCATCAAAGTCATCATCTTCGCCTCTAAGCCGGGCTCGGGGTTGTTCGAGCTGAGCCATTCCCTGGCGGTAGTATCGGTCGAGCGCAGCTCTCTCCTCCGAGTCGTGCTCGCTAGCGAGTTCTCTGCGCATCTCGTCATCTACCTCGGTCTCCCAGTCCTTGGTGGAGGAGCCGTTCTGACGGTAGGCATCGCCGAGGTCGTCGTCCTCGTCGGCGAAGCGGTCATTATAGATGTCTTCCTGCTTGATTCTGCCGCTGCTGGAAGCGATGCCGAGGCGCTCGAGGTCGTTCTGATGCTGTTCGTCGATGCCTAGGTCGCGGAGCACGTTGCCGAGGGCAAGGCCGCCCAGGTGGAGGGCGGCATTCTGCTCGTCGTCCATGCTGCCTAGAGAGGTGCCGGATAGGCGATTCGCCTAGCCGGATGGGCGGATGTTCGCTGCGAGGAGTGACGACGGTGTACTGGCTGGCTAGCTGGCTAGCTATGCCAGTTGAAGGTGGAGAGGGATTCCCAGCTAAAGGAACAGCTGCATGAGGAACACGATGGCGACGGCGGTCGTTGGTGTGTGGAGATGGTGCGTTGTGGTCGGAGGCGTCTGCGTCGCTGCGAGTGGATGCTGAAGGGGTGATGCGCGACGTGCCAACGGGCAAGGACGAGGGGAAGAGTATAAGTGCGAATCTCAAGCAGAAGTCCAGGGTCGACGATGCAAGCCGACAGCTGCTGCGCATTTCGTCAACGCGAGGACCGCCCGCCTGCTCACGAGACCAGGCTATCGCCGATGTGAGAGCTTGGACATCGACCGATCTGCATTTGTCATTCTTGACTGAGCGTGGAATTTGTTCTGGACTGTTAGCATTTTGAGGAAGGACGATCTCGGGATTTTGCTCCACTAAAAGTCGAAGAAACGTCAGACGAGCGGCAGGGAAACATTCTTACTTGAGCGGCCGGCGCTTCCTTTTCGCCATCCAAGCCTCATCCTCGTCCTCTCCTACGCCTTCTCCTACACCATCGCCCACGTCGCTCCGGACCACGCATCCCAAGGCACTCGCATCAGTATCGAAGCACGCAGGCGAAGGTCCCGCTCAAGGCTTTGTAACGGCTCCGGATCGCACGGTGGCGCACCCTCTCCAGGACCTCGAAGAGCCTCCACACGAGGATCCCATCGGCTTGGCTTCAATCCACGACCTTGGCTCACTAGGCTTCGGCTCCGATGCAGTCTACATAGCGTCGCAGCGACTCTCTTTTGCATTCCTTCCTATCCCCGCCTCTGCACGTAGGAGGCCCTCTGCTGGCGGGTCCGCGAGTCGGCTCGACCCACCAGTGCCGAGCCACACGCCACCATGCGCTACCACGTCTTGGGGGTTGGAAGCATAGGCTCTCTCATTGCCTTCCACCTCAAGCGCTCCATCAAGCTGCAGCGCAAGCTTCTGCAGCCGGGGCCCTCGTCCAAATCGCGCAGGGAGCTGCTGCTCTCCAACCTTTCCAACAAGCGGCCAGCTTCGAATCAGGGCAGCATCGTCTCGTCGCTCAGCCTGCCACCCTATGTGCAGTCCGAGCTTCCTGATCCTCTGCAGTCGTCCGTCACGCTGCATATGCGCAGGAGGCCGTTCGGAAGGTGGGCGAAACAGCGCTTTGCCAACTCGATCATCCTCGAGCAGGAGGGCGTGCGCGACGTCGAGGGCGGCTTCCAGACCGACTTTACGGCGAGTGCGGCCGATGTCACGGCGAGCATCGTGCGCGACAACCGTTTACAAGAGGACGAAGACGATACAGGCGCAGGTCGCTTCACAATATCGCGAGGAACGAATGGCCCGAGCTCGGAAGATGCAGCTTTGCGCGAGCAGACAACGTCCAGGACGCCGGTGCCAGACCACGATGGCGGCGTCTCGCTCATCTCGACGCTCGAGGGCGTGCATTCGCAACCGAGGGCAGGGCCTATCGACAGTCTGATCATCACCACCAAGTGCGACTCGACGCTCTCGGCGCTCGAGGCGATCCGTCATCGGCTGCATCCGTGGTCGACGATCGTGCTGCTGCAGAACGGCATGGGCGTGCTCGAGATGCTCTTCGACCGCTTCTTCAAGGATGCAGACCAACGACCCAACTTTGTGCTCGCATCGACCACGCACGGATGCTGGCAGAAGGGGCCGCTGGATGTGGTGCATGCAAGCATGGGCACGCTGCATTTCGGAATCGTGCCCAGCGCTCGAGCCGGCTCGGTCGGATTCGAGTCGAGCCGCGTGCCATTAGGTCAGACTTTGGTGGCGCCGCAGGGATCCATGGCGCGCAGACGGCGTGCAGCGAAGAATGCGAGGGGTTGGGATCGATTCTCTCCCGATGCGGATGCGCAGGATGCTGTGACCGAGCTCAATCCACACGACGCCGAGGCGCCATCCAAGATGCTCTCGCTATCGGGTATTCCGGACCAGCCGAGTTTGCGGACGCTTCGAACCACCGTGGCTGCGCTGCTGTCGCTACCGCTGCAGGTGGAGTGGGAGACGATTCGCGACTTCCAGCTGCGCTCGCTGCGCAAGCTCGTGATCAACGCATGCATCAACCCGCTCACCGCCCTTGCCGACTGCAAAAACGGCGATCTGTTCGGCAATCCTGCTGCCATGGATGCCATGTGGACCGTATGTCTCGAGGCTGGTATGGTGCTCGAAGCCCAGGTGCGCGAACACCTCGCTTCGCCCCAAGCCTCGCCACGCCAAACCGCATCGGCAGCACTGTCGGCAGAAGACCTCATCCTTCGCTCCACCGAAACGGGCGAACCCATGCTGCATCCAAGCTTGACTCCCCAGGCACTCTACCAGGAGGTGCAGAGAGTCGCAAGGTTGACGGCAGCCAATTGGTCCTCCATGCACAGCGACCTCAAGAACAAAAGAGGAAGCACAGAGATCGATTACATCAATGGCTATATTTCGGCTCTAGGCAGAGGATACAACATCGACACCACCGCCAACGATCTCTTGACCAACCTCATCAAACTTAAAACCACAAGAGCCACCGGCACAAACAGGCTCTAGTGATTCCACCACTCCCCGCCATCCCAAAACTCGACCAACTCGGTCTCACCAGCGCACCTTAGATGTCACCAATTTCTTATCTTGTCGCGCATTCCCACCGTCTAAATCCCCGCTCGCACATGCTACACGAGATGAGATCATCAAGAGAAGAGTGAAACAAATACCCATTGCAATCGTAGTGGACGCTTAACCGGCCAGGGCGCCCTGCCCACGCTCGGGCGGGTTGACGACCAGCATGCGTACGCCGTCCATCTCGGCCTTCATGTCCGGCATGTCCTGCGGCGTAATCATAATGTACTGCACGTGCGGCGTCGCCTTTGCCTCGTTGAGGATCATATTGAGCGCCACGCGCCGATTGACCTGGTCCATAAAGATGTCGAACTCGTCCAGGCATCGAATCGGCGAGCTCATGGCCTGCCACAGCGAGAGCAGCAGACACGCCGTGGCGAAACTGCGCTCGCCACCGGACATGCCCTTGTTGGAATGCTGCGGTGCCTGCGGCTGCGTCGGCGTCGCCGCGCCCGACCGTGCGGCTGCATCCTGCGTGATCACCACCAGCGAGAGCTTTTCCGCCTTGTGGTTGAACTTGAGCGTGCCCTCGTAGCCGCGCATCGAGAGGTTCTTCGCAAAGTTGCTCTTGGCCCGCACCGCGATGGAGCGCCGGAAGAAGCTCCACTTTGCATAGCGCACCTCGAGCGAGTGTCGCAGCCGCCGCTCGGCCTCGTTCATGCTCGCCACCTCCTCCTGCGCCTCGCTCAGCGCACGCTTGCGCTTCTGCAGCTCCTCCGCCGCCTGCTCCAGACTCACGCCCGCCTCGGACGCCGCCTTCTTCTTGAGCAGCTGCAGCTGCTTCTTCTCCGCCTCGATCTCGGCCATCGTGCGCCGCGTCTCCACCTCGTCGCAGTACTCCTTGGCCCTCTCCTCCAGGCTCCGGTGATCCTCCTCGAGCGTCGCCTCCTCTTGCTCGCTCGCCGCCACGTCCTCTTCGATGCTGGAGCGCTTCCGCTTCCAGTAGTCCCGGTTGTTGGTCTGCTTGACTCGCTCCGCCACCGCCGCTTCCAGCCGTCCCTGGAGGCTGCTCATCTGCTCCTCAAACTGGCGCTTGCGCTCGTCGATCGCCTGAATCTCGGCTAGCACCGGCGCCCTCTGCGCGACCACTTCGGCCTTCTGCGCCTGGATCTCCTCGAACTGCTGCATGATCACCTCCTTCTGCGTCTCCATCTCGCGCTTGGCGTCTTCGAGCGCCGAGATGTTGCCCGGCGCAGCTTCCTGCATCTGCTCGTCCAGCCGCACGTTTTCCTGACGCAGCATGTCTTTGCGTCTGCGCATCTCGCCGAGCTCGCGCCTGCAAGCGTCCTTTTCCCGTTCCGCCGCCGTCTTCTCCCGGCCAAGACCGCGCACCGCCTGCTGGCATAGGGCGATCTCTTGGTCCAGCCGTTCTTGTTCGGCCTCGAGGTTGCGGACGGCTTCGGCGACGTTCTGAGACAGGCGCGGCGCTCCTCGGTGCTCCTGGAGCGCAGCAGAGAGCGAGCCGGCTTGACCACCGCTGATGCTGAACATGTCTGCCGAGAAGCACGCCTGCACGTTGTACGGCTGCGTGCGCATCAGCCTGTCGCCGTCGGCACGTTTCTCGACGAGCGCAGCGCGCTCCACGTGCACCGAGAGGATGAGCTGGCGCTTGACGATCTCGTTGTCGCACTCGATCACGCGCAAGATCGTCAGAATGTCTGCATGTGGCTCTCCTGACGAGTAATCGAAGAGCGTATCGGCACCAATGATGATGGGCGAGTGGCATCCGACTCGATCCATGATCTTCTTGAGGCGCTGGCGATCCTGGTGGTTCGAGACGAAGAAGGAGTTGAGCGTGTTGCCAATGACGCTCTCGAGCACCCTCTGCCAGCGCATGTCCTTGAGCTTGACGTGCGTGCCGAGAGGTCCGATGGGTTTGGATCTCCATCCGGGCTCGTTGTTGATGGCCTGGAGGAGGGCAGGGACTTTGGGGCCACCGTAGGCGACGAGGCGGTTGCGTGCACTGTCGCGAAGCTGCGTCAATCCGGAGCTGTTGCGCTGATACTCGTTCTTGAGCCGCTGCAGACGGTCGGTCTCTTCTTGCTCGCGTTGAGCGGCGTCCTCGCGCTTGGCGTCCAGCTCGCGCAGCTGCTCGTCCTTTTCGACGACTTCGTCCTGCAAGGTCTGTCGTTGCGTCTGCAGGGCCTGGCGTTCTTGCTCGAGTTGCTCGCGGCGTGCTTTGCCTTCGTCGGCGAGCTTGGCGGTTTCTTCGCGGATCTGGTCTTCGTATCTCTCGATGCCTTTGTTCAGCTCGCTGATGTTGTCGTTGAGCTCGCGTTCCTGCACGTTGAAAGCCTTGATCTGGTTGGAGATATCCTTTTGCTTGCGCAAGGACCCTTCGTATTCCTGCTGGAGCGGGGAGAAGTCTTCGTCGAAGTTGTTGCTCTCGCCCTCGAGACGGACGATGCGCTCCTCGCACCGCTTGAGCGCATCGAGACACTCGTCGAGGCTCTTGTCGCAGGCGACGAGCTTCGTGCGGATGCGCTCGGTCTTAAGAACAGCGTGTTCGAGCTGTGCCTGGGCATCGTGGACCTGGACCCAGACGAATTCGCGGTCGAGGGCGTCGATCTTGTCCTGGTAGCCTCTTGTCTCGCGCACCTTTTGCCATTGCTGAAGCGCCTGCTGTGCGAGCGCTTCGAGCTGCTCGAGGGCGCCGGACTTGAGCGCCAAGGCGGACCTCATGCCGCTGATGTGGTTCTCGATGAGGGTGTACTCGCGCACGAGCTGGCTGAGCTGTGTGCCTTCGAGGAAGAACTTGTAGACCTCGGAAGGGTCGGAGCTGCCGAGGAACTGGCGTGCGGTGTCCTGGGTGAGGATGTGGATGGGGTTGTCGGGTTGGATGTTGGCAAAGTCGCAGAAGGATTCGAGCTCGGACTTTGTGGTGGCAACGACCCTGCCGTTGGCGGCCTTCATCTTCCAAGTTGCGGGTCCGTCCGCGAGGATGCGGCGCTCGATGACGATGTGGTCGCCGTATGCTTCTGGACGGAAGGCGTCGCTGCCCTGGTTGCGGACGGTGACGATGATGGTGGCGGAGGACTCGCCCTTCTTGACGAGGTCCTTGAGGCTGGAGCCGCGGTTGGTGGAGCTCGTTTTGCCGCCGAGTGCGATCATGAGTGCGGTGAGGATGGTGCTCTTGCCGCTTCCGTTGCGGCCCATGATGAAGTTGAGCGTGGGGCTGAGTTCGATGGAGAAGTTGGCGTGGCACATGAAGTTGCGAAGCTCGATCTTTTCTACGATGCCGGACTGGGCGTATCCGCGGTCGGCTTCGGCCTGGCGACGCTCCTCTTCGGCGCGATCCTCGTCCGAGTCGAACTCGTCCTGCTCGTCGTCGTCGTCGTCTTCGTCTTCATCGTCTTGCTCTTGCTCCGCATCTGCCTCGTCCTCGTCGGGAGTCACGACGCCATCCGAGTCCGAGGCATTGGCTAGTGGAACGGGCCTTCCCGAGCCTCGGCCGCTTGACCATCTTGGCGTCTGGTCATTGGCTGTGGAGTCGCGACCGTTGGTACGCATGCGCTTCGGAGAGAAGGCGTCGGCTACATCATCCTCGTCAACGAGCGTGTCGCGATGTCCCGATCGCTGGGACGATGTGCGCTTTTCTGGCGCCATATTGACTCAGCGAGCGCGAGATCGTGTCCAATAGAAGTGCTGGCTGTTCGGTTGCCTTTCACCGGAGGCGGCCTCCACGTACGGAGAGAGGCACCATGCGCGTGGAGTGGCTCCAGCTGTGCTTTTGCGAGCGTCGAGACGCCGAGTGTCGCAAGGAGGGGAAGCTCTGCAGTTGGTTGTATGGCGAAGCAGCGTGCGGTCAGAAGGAGATACGGACAGACGAAGGTTCGGGCCGCCGATCTGGCTCGAGCAGAGACCAACACCGGGATGGAGCCATGGCTGAGTCGAGCGGGGGTGCAATGCTTCAGCGCCCTAATCAACGCTCAGCGCCCTAAATCACGCGCAGCGCGGGTCCGCTTCAAATTTGGTGAAGCGCGTCGCGGAAATCAGCCTCGCCTCGCGCTGCTGCCGCCGCGACGTGGCTCCGAGACCAACACCTCGTCCCTTGTTCTCCACCACCTTTCTTTGGCGCTCGTCGTCACCGAGCGCAGTGTCCGCGTGTCTTGCCATCCGATCCTCTCCTGAACAAGTAAGTCAATCCGCTCTCATTTGCGCTCGACCGGGACCCTACGGCGGGTCGGGAGTCACAGAGCTCACAAGCTCACTTTCTTCGCACTGCGTCAATTTCGGCCGATAGTATTTCTGAGTCTTCCCGGCCGAGATCCAATTCAGCCCCTCAACGCAGCTCCTGAATCGCGTCGGAAGGAGTAGATATTGAGTGAGGGGCGGTTGGCCAAGCCCGATTGGGCTGGCTTCGAGTTGCGCGTTCGGCTGCAGGCGGTGTCTCTCTTTGTCTCTCGTCTGGGCGGCTGGCCATGCAGAGAGAGAGCTCTATTGGGTGCTGCGGGCGGCCGCGGTGGTGCAGTCGGGCGTTGCGTCCCTTTGCCGACCCTTTTTTCTCGTGGTGGCGCGCACCGCTGCAAGCACGCGCACACTGGCCATGAAGCGCTTCCGGGTCTCATCTTGCGTCTAGCGAAGGAGTGCGTGCCGCTCGGCCAACAGCCGTTGCTTCACTACATCACCTTGGCCATTGATCCACTCCCGACACACGGCGTCGACCCTAGATCTCGACCACCCTTTACGCTTTAGAAACGATCATAACGACCAAACCCACTTCAGTCGGCCACCGCCGGCATCGCGCGCGTACCCAGCAGCTCGTACAAACTCGAGACATCCGCTAGGCATCGCCATCCTCGCACAACCACATCCACACGCCAACACCCGCTAGCCGTCGTGCAAGTTCACGTGCACGCCTAGTCACCAGCCATGGCCATCTTTGGCAAGAAAAAGTCCGACAAGGACAAGGACAAGGACAAGGAGAAGCAGCCCGGCTCCCAGGGCCCTTCCAACGGCGACAGCATCTCTTCCTTGTCCCCCGCCCTCGACGGCTCCGTTCGACAATCGCAGCAACAACAGCAACAGCAACAACAACAGCAGCAGCAGTCGTCTTCTCCCTACTCTGCTTCCGGTATCCCTGTCCCAGGCGGCTCACACATTCCAGGCAAAGGCTCCATATCCGGTCCACCCGGTGCGCCCGGCATGCCCATGGGCAGCGGTTTTGCTCCTCAGTCTGGTATCCCAGCTCCCAGTTCTGGACCTCTGGGTTCCGCTTCTGGCTTTCGATTCGGTGGTCCGCCTCCTCGTCCCGATGGCATGGCGTCCGGCATCCCCGCTCCCGGTCAGGGCTCCATGCGCTCGCGCAAGATGAGCGAACAGGGCGCTCCCATCGCGCCCGGTGCTCCTGGCTCCCATTTCGGCATGCCTGGCGTCGGCAGTCCCACTGCAGGCAGCATCTCGGGCCTTCCCACCCAGTCTACCGGGCCCGACGCCGGTCCGCCGCTCGCCAACCCCAACGCCCCGGGACAGCCGGGACAGCCCCTCGAAAAGGGTCGCTCCCAACACGTCGTCTACCCCTGGAGCCAGCGTGGTCTCGTCATGAACCCGCCCAAGTTCCTCGACGAGACGCGTCAGGCCCCTCCGGGCGCTCTCAGCCCCTTCCCCTTCCCGCGCTACGGTCACGCCGTCAACCAGGCTGCCAGCTCCAACGGCGAGCTCTACCTTTTCGGCGGTCTCGTCCGCGAGAGCGTCAAGAACGACCTCTACACCATCTATGCCGACAAGCTCATCTCACAGACCCCCAACTCGCCGCCTGGCGCTCCTGGCGCTGGTCCCGCCGCTGCCAACCAGATCTACGCCAGCGCCACCCTCGTACAGACCACGGGCGAGATCCCCCCGCCACGCGTCGGCCATGCCACCGTGCTCGTCTCCAACGTGCTCATCCTCTGGGGCGGTGACACCAAGGTCCGCGCCGACGACAAGCAAGACGAAGGCCTCTATCTGCTCAACCTCAGCACGCGCGAGTGGACTCGCGTCAAGGCCGGCGACGGCCCCGACACCTGCCCCGTCGGCCGATACGGCCACAGCGTCGCCATCGTCGGATCGCGCTTCTTCGTCTTTGGCGGCCAGGTCGACGGCTCGTTCATGAACGACCTCTGGTGCTTCGACCTCAACAGCCTCAAGGGCACCCCTGTCTGGGAGTGCCTCAAGCCCAACGGCGACGTGCCTCCCAGGCGCACCGGTCACGCCAGCGTCACCTACAAGGACAAGATCTACGTCTTTGGCGGTACCGACGGACAGTACCACTACAACGACACCTGGTGCTACGACATTGCCACAAACAGCTGGAAGGAGCTCTCCTGCATCGGCTACATCCCCGTCCCGCGCGAGGGTCATGCCGCCTGTCTCGTCGACGACGTCATGTACATCTTTGGCGGCCGTGGCGTCGATGGCAAGGACCTCGGCGATCTCGCGAGCTTCAAGATCACCAACCAGCGATGGTACATGTTTGCCAACATGGGCCCTTCGCCCAGCGGTCGCTCGGGACACGCCATGTCGACGTTCCAGAACAAGGTCGTCGTGCTCGGCGGCGAGAGCTTCACCGGCGCCAAGCCAGACGATCCGGCCACCCTGCACGTGCTCGACACGGCCAAGATCAAGTACCCTACCGACAACGCCTCGCAGATCAAGAACCCCGCCACCTCCCAGGCTCAGAAGCCCGGTGCTCCCGCCGGTCCGGGCGCAGCTCCTGGCTCCCAGATCCCCGGTGCCAACAACGCATCCGTTCGCAGCGCCATGTCGCCTGTCGCCGAGGCTGATGAGCGCCAGAGGGCCATCTCGCCTACCAGCCGATCGGCGCCCAGACCGATGCAAGGTAGTGCGCCTACCTCGCCGAATCGTGGCCTGGAGCAAAACTTTGCCCAGCAGCAGCAGCAGCCGCAGCCCATGCCTGGCCCGGGCGCCGGTCCTATGCAGGCACAGCAGCAGGTGCCGCCTCAGCTTCAACAGCAGTATGCGAACCAGGCGCCTACACAAGCGTCCCAGCAGCCATCCCAGCAGTCGCCCTACCAGCAACAGCCCATGGCTGGCCTTCCCAACGGCGATCCGGCGTACGGCGCCACCAGCCCGCCTTCCAGCATCCAGCAGCACCAGACTCAGCCCATCCAGCAGACTGTCCAGCAGCCTGTCCAGCCGCCCGTTCAGCAGCCGCCCAACATGCAGATGCAGGCCTATCCTTACGCGCAGAACGTGCCCGGCGTCGGCCCGTCGAGCGCAGCGTCCTCCAACGGACCTGCGCCGCACGGCGGCCCGCGCAGCCAGCGCTCGATCGAAAACATGCGCGCCGGCGGTGCGCTTTCGCCCACCAACATCAACTCGATGCGCAGCATCAACGGCGTGGTGAGCAAGATGGACTCGCCCGCCAATGCACCCCAGGACGGCTTCCACTATGGGCGCACCACCAGCCCGCCGGGCGCCAACGGCTACATGTCGCCGCAGCACGTGCCCGCCGAGCTGGATGCGATGCGCAAGCGCGAGGCGTGGTACAAGGCGGCGCTGGCGCTCGCCGTCAAGAAGGGCTTTGTGGAGCCGGACCAGCTCAACGCCGGCGACATCAGCATGGATGCGCAGAGCGTCACGTCGGAGCGCGTCAGCCTCGATGGCATCGACACGGGCGCCGAGGGAAGCGACAAGGACCGCGTGCTCAAGACGCTCATCTCGCTCAAGGCGCAGCTGGCGAGTGCCAAGGCGACGATCGCGCAGCAAGCGCAGGGTGAGGCGGACCGCCACGCCGAGTCGGACCGAGCACGCTCGGCGGCGCTGCAGGAGGCTGCGTACTACCGCGCCAAGCTCTCGGCGATCGAGTCGGGCAACGGCGACGAGGTGACGCGTCTGGACCGCGAGCGTGCGAGCAAGCTGGAGAGTGCGCTGTCGGATGCATTGCGCGAGGGTGCGCAGTTGGAGCGCCAGGTGGCGTCGCTGCGCGAGCAGACCAAGCTGGAGCAGCAGCTGCGCAATTCGGCCGAGGAGCGGCTCTCGGAGACGGCCAAGCGCGCCATGGCAGCCGAGGCGGCGCAGATGAAGGCGTACGACGAGCTTTCGGCGCTGCAGAAGCGCAGCTACTCGACCGAGAGTGCGCTGCGCGAACACACGGAGCAGGTTACGACGCTGTCGTCGCTCGTGGCGCGCCACAAGGCGGACCACGAGCACGCGCGTGGTCAGCTGGAAGATGCGCACTCGAATGTCGCTGCGCACCTGGCGGCGCTGACGCAGCTGCAGGCGGCGCACTCGGCCGTGACGACGCGCGCGGGCGAGTACGAACGGCTGCACCAAGAGCAGCGCAGCATGCTGCAGCAGCAGCAGGCGAGCATCGCCGAGTTGCGCGCGCAGCTCGAGGCCAAGACGAGCGAGGCGTCGCTGCATGCGTCGCGCGCCGTCGAGCTCGAGACGCTGGCGGACCAGCACCGACAGGAGGCCGAGGCGCACCGCACGGCGGCGACGAGCGGGCTGGCTGCGCTGCTGGCGCAGAGGGAGCAGACGTCGACGCGCGATTTGGGCGGCGCGTCGAGCAGCGTGCCCGCGCATGTCGAGGAGAAGATGCGTGCGCTCGAAGACGAGGCGGAGGCGCTGCGACAGCTGCACGGCGAGGCGCGCCAGATGGCGGACGAGCACGCGGTCTCGCTGCAGGAGATGCAGGAGCGCCACCTGTCGATGGAGAGGCAGACGACGACGCTGCGTGGCGAGCTGACGGGGCTGCGCAGCCAGCTGGCGGTGGCGCTGCAGGAGGCAGCGCGGCTCAAGGATGCGGCGGCGTCCAAGGATGCGGAGCTGCGCGAGCGCGGACGGGCGATCGAGACGGCGCAGGTCAAGTCGAGCCTGCTCGAGCAGTTTATGGCAGAGCGCGGCGTGAGCGTGCCGAACGACGACGAGCTGAGCGTCAAGAGCGGCTATGCGGATCGCCGGATCCGGGAGCTGGAGGAGGAGATCGACGCGCGCGCTCGCGAGATGCAGGAGGCCGAGCACCGGCTGCAGGACTCGGAGAGCCGGGTGGAGGAGCTGACGCGGGAGCTGGAGCACCATGCGTCGCTGACGGCGAGCCGGGGCACGGCGGACAGCGCCGGCGTGGCGGAGGCGGAGCGACGTGCGCAGCTGGCGGAGCGCGAGCTGGCGGAGACGACGGCGTCGTACAAGGAGCGCATGTCGCAGCTGGAGAACGACTACCAGACGGCGGTGCAGTTCGTCAAGGGCACGGAGAAGATGCTGCGCAGGATGAAGGACGAGCTGACGCGGTACAAGGGCGAGAATGCGAGTCTGCAGAACGAGGTGGCGACGCTGCGCACGCGTGCGGGCAGTGCGGGCGGCAGGCTGAGCGGCGACGATGGCGCTCGGTCCGAGGAGGCGGCTCGCGACATCGAGGCGCTGCGCAGCCACCTTGCCGACGTGACGCAGCAGAGCGAGGAGATCGCGGCGGAGAACCGCGAGCTGGAGCGACGGGTTGCGCAGCTCGTGGCGGAGCAGCAGCGTGGGTCGCTGGACAAGACGCGCGAGGGAGGATCTTCGGATGCGGGCCACTCGTCGCGCAGGTTGACGGAGCTGGAGAGCGAAGTGGCGCGACTGCAGGCGAGCCTCGAGGAGTCGCGGCGCGAGGTGCAGAGGACGCTGGAGCGCAACGAGGAGCTGCAGTCGCACGTGTCTTCGAGCGGGGTGCGCAACGACGAGGGCCTCAACAAGTCGCTGAGTGCGGCGCAGGCGAGCAACGAGCAGCTGAAGCGCGAAAACGCCGGCCTCACCCAGCGGCTACACGAGCTGGACGACAAGTTCCAGCTGCTGCTCGGCAGGATCGAGTCGACGCACGAGGATGCAGGCGAACGTGCGCGCGACAGCATGGCGTATGGCAGCATCACATCGGAGCTCGACAAGTGGGAACGCGACCGTACGCTCGGCGACGAGGGTGCCGCCCCGCCCCAGTCGAGTGCCGAGGCGTATGCGAAGAACGAGGCCTGACCAAGACATGACCTTTTAGGTACGATGACTCTCATGACCGTTTGAATGAACGAATGAAAATGATACTTTTTTGTTGTAAAGACGATAGCTCGGGCGCAAGCCGCAAGCGCAAGCGCAAGGACCTAGGAGGTGTGAAGCTTCGTCTCGAGGAGGAGAGGGGGAGAAGGGGACGGGGTCAAGTGTGTCCGGTATGGACATTTTGACCTTTTGGGTACGATGGATCTCATGACCGTTTGAATGAACGAATGAAAATGATACTTTTTTTGTTATAAAGACGATATCTCGGGCGCAAGCGCAAGCGCAAGGGCWTAGGAGGTGTGAAGCTTCGTCTCGAGGAGGAGAGGGGGAGAAGGGGACGGGGTGAAGTGTGTCCGGTATGGACATTTTGACCTTTTGGGTACGATGACTCTCATGCCTTTTTTGAATGATCGAATGAACGAATGAATGATGACTTTTCACCGCAAACATGCTGCCCTAAACGCCCATTGAAGATGCTCTGTGTACTAAAGTGTGCAGCGTAAGGCACGTTCGACTCGCAAGGATGTGATGAATGCTACATTTGAGATGATGCGGGCCAGTCGGGTGCTACAGCGAGCAGGCGGTTTCTGAGCCAGAGGCTTGGACCATGGCCGCCGCGCCCTGCTGTTGTGAAATGTACAGCCAGAGAAGAGCGCTTTTCGATGGCTCGCAAAAGCGCAAGCTTTCAGGACGTATGAACCTTCTCCTCGAGGAGGAAGAGGAGGGTAAAGACGAAGGGGAGCGGCTTCTGCATGTTGGAACCGCTGCACAGGCTGGGCGCTTGGCGGAGTGAAGTGGGCGGCTGCAGAGGGGGTCATTGCGCGGCTGCTCGCTTCTTTGCTGGGGCCAGCCAAGGAGGGATGGAACGAGCCAAGCAAGCAGGGGAATTCCGACGTCCGGCGTGGAAATTTGAGCAGACAGGCTGGGCCAACCCTTTTGAAGACGTCTTGCTGGCGAGGAGGGGGAAAAAAGGGCAAAGGGGCGCGCCCATCCGATTTCCAACAGCCGAGAAATTTCAGAAATGCGCGTGCCAAACGCCCGCCCCTTCAATCTCATTTCGCCCCCCCCCCCCCCCCCCCCCCCCCCCCCCCCCCCCCCCCCCCCAATCGCCCAATCGATGCACAACGCCAGAGCCAGAGCCAGAGAGACGGAGAGAGGGAGGGTGAGGGCAGAGAGAGAGACACACACGCGCACACACCCTGAAACCCTGACCCGCTTGACGAAGCACCACCATCGCCATCGCCATCGCCATCGCACTCAGCACTCAACCCGGATCCCCCGCGCAATCACCACAGGCTCGAATCTCAGCAGCTGCCGCCTAGATATATTGCACCTTCTGGATCCCACACGACTCGCGGTAGACCGTACCAATACCAACACGACGGTGCTGGCGTGCATCCACTAGACACCAACGGATCGGATTGGAGGAGACGCCGGCAGACATCGCACGATGATGCGTTTCGTATCGCTATTTCTGGCGCTGGTGGCGCTGTTCTTTGCAAACGGCGTGGTTGCGCCCGACCCGCCGTCGTTCACACCAGGACTAGCGACTAACGCACCTGCTGCGTCTGGCACATCAGCGCAGGGCTCAGCCACAGCCACTTCTGCCAACATCCCGTCGTCGGCACCCGTGGGTGGCATCACGGTGACGCAGCCCATCCAGACGGCCGACCCGTCGTACTACAAGATCGCACGCGGCGTCGACGTCACGTTCGGCTGGAACTTTACGTCGGTGCTGCAGTATCCGCGCACGCTCACCGTGCAGGCGTACTGCTCGGACAACCTCAACACGTACAACATTGCGACCGATCTGCCCGGCACAGCGACGAGCGTGGTGTGGTCGCCGTACAACTACTCGACGAGCGTAGAGGTGTCGAATCCGAACCTGCCGCAGCTCATCGCCGCTTCGTACAGGCTGCTGGTGTACGACGAGCGCGGCATGAACGTGGGTGCCTCGCCCGGCCTCATGCAGCCCAACATCAAGGTCCAGTTTGCGCTCTACAACCCGCAGGCCTACACGCCGCTTGCGAGTGGATGGATCTGCGCGGCGTGCAGCGGTGCAACCGGCCTCAAGGCAACGCATCCTGCGTTTGTCGGCCTGCTGGCTACGGTGGTGATTGCCGTGGTGTCTGGCTGGAACCTCCTCTCGAGACAGACGGGCATGGCCGGGCTGGTCGACGACGAGTGAAGCCCAAGCCCAACCTCGTCGTGCTATTATAACAGGCTCGCACCTCGCATGTGTGTGAATGGACACTTTTTTTCCTCTCCGCTCGTTTGGCAAATGCAGAGTTGTATGTGTGTGTTGTGAGTGGGTGCGCGTGTGAGGGATGGTGGGGTGGGGATCGGCGATGGTGTTGACGCCCGATGGACTGAAGGCCAAGAGAGCGGCACGTGATGCTGTACGCGGTGGTGGCGTGACGCGTGGGTGGGCGCGTACTATTTTTACGAAAATTCAACACAGCGCAGGGCAAGGCGGGCGGGTCAGCGCGAAGGGAGGCAGGCTCACTCAGGCTTGAGAGAGTGGCTGTGGCCGAGGTGCATTTTTTGGAAGCATTCCAGAGGATGCGCCTTACCCACACACTGGCGATCGGGCACTCTGCGCTCTCGGACGCGCGTGGCTGGCCATCGCCGAGCGACAGCAAGAAAGCTCCAAAGGACGCCTCATGCGTGCCTCTGCCCTACGCTCGGCCTTGTCTCCGCATCGCCATCATCATCCTCGTCATCGCCCCCTCTTCCCCCCAACCGCTCACACGCCACTGCACTCACAACCGCGCGCATCACTTGCCGCCTGCTATCCGCAGCTCCGACCACAGCCCGTCCTGTAAACACCCTCGCCACCCCGCCGCGCTATCCTTCCTTTGCCGCCCTCCCCTCCCTCGGACTACCAAGCCAAGCCGCGAGAAGGCTCCCTCCAACTGCATACGACCAACACCGCTGCAGCCTTCGGTGCGTAAGTTGCTCTTCCCCTCCGAATCGGCGTCCAGCCCAGGCGCATTTGGCTCCTCCCGCATGAACCCATCCTCCTCCTCTTCCTCCTCCCGTGTTGTTCTCCTCCCCTCTCTTTCCCCCCATTCGCCGTGTGTTCACCCCTGCATCTGCCGTCTGCCGTCTGCCGCCAGCGCTCTGCCCTCTCTCTCAGTTTCACACTGCATGCACTCGGTCCATCATCCTACAGTGCATCTCTCCTCAGAGAAACCTCGTGCATGAAGAGACCGCATGCGCAACGCAGTCCACTCAGCACAAACTCTAGCTGCACCTCGCTCTCTCCATCTCTCCATCATCCTTTCCTCCATTCCTTGCGCTTTCGTCTTTCCCTTTTCGGCCACCGCTTCCATCGAGCCTCGATACTGACTCCCAACGTCCTCTCCTTCACCATCGCTTCGTCAACCTCATCGTCGTGACCACCATCTACTATCGCATATACCCTCCCCGTCATCGCTCCGGCACGCCTGATCGCCCACAATGCAGGTCGAGCCAGCACGAGCAGGCCTAGCCGCATCCAACCAGTCCACATCACCCTACCTCGCAGCAGCACCCGCAGGCCTCTTTGCGTCGTCGTCGCAGCCCACCGCCGCCTTTGATCCGGCATCGCAGCCCGACGCTCAGCATCTGCAGCTTCAGCACCACCAACACCAGCAAGGCTTTATCGCTGCAGACGCCTTCCAGCACTCGGTCGCACGCAGCTTCTCGCCAGCGGTGCAAGACCCCTCGACTTCGACGCACGACAGCGCTGTCTACCGCGTGCCTGCACTCGCCCGCTCGGCCTCCGTCGACTACACCTATAACTACCAGCAGCTACCTCCCCATATCCACGCACACCAACAGCATCCACAGCAACAGCAGCAGCAGCACGCGCCGCCACCGCACTCGGTGCCCTACCATACGCACGTCTACGCGTCCACCTCGTACGCGTCGCTCACCGGCTCTGCACCAGCACCCGCTCCGTTTGGCCAGGACCTCACCGCGCTCCCCTACACGCACTCTCCCGACCTTGCCATGCTGCCCAGCAACATCGGCATGCCCATGATGCGATACGGCTCGTTCGGGCTGCCCGTCGACGACATGGCGCGTGCCGGCTCGTCGAGCGGCGGCACGCCGGGACCCATGACGCAGCAGGACATCGACAATCTGCTCGCCATGTCGCGCGCCCAGGCGGGCAACAACGGCGACGCCAGCGCCTTCCCATGCACGTACTGCGACAAGGTCTACACGGGCAAGCACGCGCGCAGCATCTGGCGACGCCATCTGCAGGACAAGCACAACATCCCGCTCAGCGCACAGCCGCGCCGCACGCGCTGGGACGGCGACGCCAACCGCCCCAAGAACGCAGAGGAGCGCCGCGCGCGCATGCTCGAGAGCAAGCGCCGGTGGGCGCGCAAGAAGCGTCTCCAGGAGAAGCAGGCTGCGCAGGGCGGCAAGTCTGGCGCGAGCAATACGCCCAATCCCGACGACTCGGATGCCGATGACGCTGACGACGCCGACGACGGTATGGACGCCGACGTGTCCAACATGTCGATGAGTTTTGCCGCTAACGACGCCGACGAGAGCTTATCGGCGCCGCCAGACGCGCAGCTGTTTGCGAGCCACGAGCCGCTCGGTCGGCCTGCCAAGCGGCAGGCGCTGGCGTCCTCGACTGCGCACAATGTCGCCGGTCCCAGTGCGGGCGGCGCGCCGCACGCGGGCCAGTTGCTGGCGGGGCCGTTTGGCGCACACGAGCTGCCGGCGGGCAGCGGCATGTATTCGCACTCGCCGCTGCGACGCACGGGTCCCAGTCTTGGCCTGCCCACGGCGCAGCATGTCCTGCCCGCCATGCCTGCAGCGGCGGGCCCCAACGACAGCTTGAGCTCCAACAGCAGCGACTACTCGCAGCCCAACTCGGCGAGCTTCTTCAACGACAGCTTTGGCGGCAGCGCGAGCAACGCGGGCAGCGACGGTGCCAGCACCTCCATCGACACGCCCGCCACCACGTGGCCTGCTCTGCCGGCGCTTCCGGCGGTGGAGGGCGAGAAGCTCGTGGGTGGGGCAAAGCCCAAGATGCAGAAGGGCGAGACGCGCGATGCGGCGATCCAGCTGCTGGCGCTGCGTTCTGGCACCAACTCGCCCACGGACGAGCGCGAGGTGAGTCTGCGGCGCCGCGATGACGAGGCGTGGAGCGAGACGCCGAGTCGCGCAAAGGTGTCGGAGCACGAGGCGCTTACGGCGCTGTCGGCGGGCCGGGTCGATGAGGCGGCGAGTCCGTCGCCTGTTTCGCGCACGCTGCCGCAGCGAGGCATGCCGGTGACGACACCTGGACCTGCGGCGAGGACGGGTGAGAATCCGTTCAGTCTGGACAAGCACAAGATCTCGCCGTATCGCAGGCTGAGCTACTCGGCTGCCCCGCGTTCGCCCGTAGCGTCGCCTACGCATCTCACCTTTGGTGCGCCCACTGCCAAGACTAGCGCGGGTGCGGTGGTGGGGGTCAAGTTGCCGCCACTGGTGAGTACGCCCGTTCGCCAGCCGGCGGATGAGGAGCGTACGCGGCTCGAGGCGCTCCCACCGCTGCTGGGGGCAACGCCGTTTTCGGGCCTGGGATACTCGGCGCGTCGTCGGGCTGTGGGTCGACCATCGCCCTCGCGCCACGACGACCAATTCAGCTCGCCACAGCATCTAAACCTCACGGAGAGTCTGGGCCTGGCGCCGCATTCGATCTCGCGCACCTCTTCGTTCGCCTCGGCCTATGCTGGGTCGCTTGGACTCACGCCAAGTGTTGCGCACATGGCTGGGCTGGGTAGCACACCTTTCCACTCTGGACTTGGCGGGCTGGCGGGCTTGGGGGGCTTTACACCCATGTCGGCCAAGTTTTGGCCCGAGTCGTCGAGGAAGTCGGCACATAGGGCGGCACTGGGTAGGGCGAGTGTAAGGCCCAAGGAGGCGGATATTTTCGATGCAGGGTTCAAGGGCAAGGATGCGGCGCCCAGTAGCGACTCGTTTGATGAGGACGATGCGTTGGGGCCCGGTGCGATCGATACGCCGTCCAAGCCGGCGGCGGCGAGGATGATGCCCAAGCAGAGGAAGAGGAAGGACGAGGCTAGGTCCCCGCTTAAGGCTATCAGGCTCAACTGAGCGCAATACTATACTTTTTTAGCAGTTTTAGATGGGGGTGAGTGTGTGTGCGTGGTGTGGGTGTCGTTTGTGTGAATGCATTGTGTGTGAGGCAGGTGGCGTCGGAGGGGATGCCGACATGTCCGGGCGAGGGGGTCGGTGGGGTGGATCCAGTCGGGCTTTGTTCAGCCCTTCGAGGTGCAACTCACGCATGTCCAGTCGTGGTGGCTGGATTCCCGTCCTTGAGCTCGAAATCCTGACTCGATGAACAGGACTGTTGAAAAGCAGATTGATACTGCGATCGTGCTGGGCACGGGAGAAGCGCAATTTGGGTCGAGTCGGTCTTGGTATGCAGCGGCGTGGAGAATGCGCTCAGACGATTGTGGGCGCTGGCGAGCATCGCGTTGCGCATGTCATGAACGTGTCTGCCTCAGCACACCATCGCGCACATGGGTCGGAGGAAAGAATGGATTGCCACTTTGCTCTGCATGCCCTGGTGCTGTGTCTGAGCGTCACAGTGTCGCGATGCTCGTGTGCCTCGTTGTTGCCAAGGCATCATCGATCATTATCTTGCGATCAAAAGCACGACATCCCTCCCTCCACCACCACTCGGATCTTTGGAATGTTGAGAAGGTCGTACCATGCCTTGAATCACGTCCAAGCGAGCATTGCTTCGTCACTTCGAGACGTCGAACTGCCGCGTTGGTATTGAGGTGGGCCTAGTCCCTCGGCACAGCGCGGGGGAGCGGAGTGCCACCGAGCTTCTTGAGCTTCTTTTCAGCCTTGGCTTTCAGATCCCTGACCACGGTCTCGAGTGTTCCCGCCGTCACGGGGCCCGTGGGCACGAGGAAGTTCTTGCTGATCACGCTTCCGTTGACCAACTCGATCAAGACCTCAGTCCTATTACAACATCATCAGCCACGACCCTTACTAACGCAAAAGTGGGGTGGGCGTGACTTACATGGCGGTGTCAGGGCGCTGGTCTCGAGCCGTCCGGTGAGCGGTGGCGGCTGCGTTTCGCATAGTAGCACGGTTGGTAGCGACCAGCGTCACTTCATCCTCGACTTGGATGCCGGGCAAAAGAGGCATGCGTGGAGCAGGCGTAGGGGTGCGCATAAGCGGCGTAGGGCGAACAGCGCGAGGAGCAGGCGTAGGAGTACGCACAAGCGGCGTATGGCGAGCAGCGCGAGGAGCAGGCGTAGGGGTGCGCATAAGCTGTGCAGCACGAGCAGCGCGAGGAGCAGGCGTAGGAGTACGCATGATCGCTGGTCGAACATAGGGATGCACCGATCGACTGCGGCTCCGAGCGCGAGCAATGCGAAGCGAGGGTGTAGCATGCCGAGCACGACCAGTCTCGACAGCTTCAACGCTAGCCCGGGTGTTGACGATCTCGACACTACCACGATCAGCGTCACCACGCATCGCAACATCACCGGCAGGCGCAAGGGCGTCAATCGGCTCCGGCTTCACTTCCTCCTTGACCGGAGTGAGGTCAATCACACCCTGACGTCGAACGTGTCAAAGTGTCAGAGGAGGAAGAGTGGGCGTGGATGGTGCGGTAGGTACTTACTGTGGTGGAAGAAGTGGCAACAGGAGTGGTGGCGGGAGTCGCGCTGGGTTCGCGAGCAACAACGGCTCGAATCGAGGAAATGGTGAACTCGGACATGGCGAACAAAGTACAGATGGTCGTACTGAGCTCAGGCGACGATCAACAGACCAGCCAGTACTTATACCCCTCAAGCGCATCAGACAAGCTTGGCCCAAGCACAGTCTCTACGCATTGTCGCACGCGCACAGACAATCACCTCGGCTGTCAAAGCATTGTCATTCCGCACGCACTCCCGCGCGCTGCTAATCGATGCCGACAGCCCACACTTCGAGCCCGTAGCACTCGAACCTCTTCTCGCCCTCGCGCTGCCCCTCCCCGCGCGGCTTGGCATCGCACAGCACCTCGTTATCAAACGCGGGACAGCACGCACTGACGCCCTTCTCCAACGCGCCATCCACCCACAGCCCAAACTTGCCCTCGCCACCGCCGACACTCAGGAACGTCGACTCGGACAGAACCATGTAGTCGTTCTTGCCCGTCCATCGAAACCTCTCCACCCCCGCCTCTTTACCAGACCGAGTCGTCTTCCACAAAAAGCACTCGCCCGAACCGTAGTAGTGCTGCTGCGGACGCAGCTTCTCGTTGACAAATGCGCCAAAGACGTTGTCGTCGCCATCCTTGAGGGCGAGCACCAGCCCGGCGTCCGAGATGCTGCTGAGACCGCCACCGACGTGCATGGTGGTGTGGGCGCGGGTGCCCATTGCCTGCTGCGTCTCGCGCGACGCCCCGCGCAACCAACCCTCGGCATCACCACTGTCCTCCCCGAATGCGCCCGATACAGAGCGCGCGGACTTGGTCGGGTCCAGCCCCGAGGCGACGCGGTTGTACAGCGTCTGCAGCGAGATGCCGTGCTGGTCGAGCGAGTAGAGCAAACTCCAGCGCTTACCGAGCTGCAACCGCGGCGGAAGAAGCGCCTGCAGCCGCGCAGCATGCCATGCCTCCACCACTACTTCGGTCTCGTCGCGTCGGCCGGACAGCACCACGTCGATCGCGCGGCGCTCGCGATCCCCCCGCTCGTCGAGCGTCCAGTGACCCGTGTTCCACTTCTTCTCCGAGCGCGCATCGAAGCCGGGCGCACCCGAAATCGGCGCAGTCGCAGCATGCACCGGACCCCGCCGCAGCGTGCCGCTGCTCGAGAGCGAGTCGACCCCTAGCGAGCCCGCGCTCGGCGACGCAAACAGATCGCGCGCACGCAGCGATGCAGCCCCACCGTGCTTTGATGCCGAAGTGGCAGCGCCCGACGAGAAGGCCGACGTGCTGGCGTGCGGCGCAAACGGCGTGCCCTGGCTGTAGTCCGAGGCGTGCGGCAGCCCACCAGTGCCGCTGCTGCCGCTGTGGCGTCGTCCCAGCTCAATGTCCGACTGTTCCGGTGCGTCCGTGGCGAACAGCAGGCCGCCGCCGGGATTCGAGTCAACCGCGCCTGCATGCGCAGTTTCGCCCTCGACCTCGTCTGCGGGAACGATAAAGTCGCTCGCGCTGGGCAGGTGGCTGGCGATCTCGCTCTGGATACCCCGCAGCGTGGTCCAGGTCTTGCGCAGGCTGCCCGTCCAGCTCGACGGCGAGGCGGGCGACATGGACGACGACGCCGCCTCCTTCTTGGGCTCGCTGCTCCCTGCGATCGGCTTCGGCTGCGCTGCCGCGCCAAAGTACGAGTCGCGTCGTGGTGCGGATGGGGAGGTGGGCATGGGGCTGGTGCGCGCATCGTGCATGCTCTCGAGCTGCTCGGGCTCGAGCACGAGCGGGTTGGAGCGGCCCAACGCCGTCTGTGGGGCGCGCTCGAAGCGCGAGAAGAAGTCGTCGTCCGCCGAGCCGAGGTCTGGCGGTTGTGCTTGCTTCTGCTGCTGGAGCTTCTTCCGGTCGAGCTTCTTCTCCACTTCGCGCAGGTCAATGATGGGCGGCGAGGGTGCGCGCGTCGGATTGGTCGCGACCTCGAAGGCGTCAAGGAAGGCATCGTCGGCCGGATTCGACGCGCCTGGTGGTGGTTTTGGGTGTGCATCGGAGGCTTGAGGCTGGGACTGCTGGATAGGGAGCGTATGCGCGGCAAGGAAGGAGTTCCAATCGGCCCATTCGGAGGAGACGCCGGTCCCGCTGACCTTGCGTCTCGCTGGTGGTCGGGTGCTGGCTGGACCCACGGCCTTCGGTGATGATGCGGACGGAGCAGCGCTGGGAAGATGGGTTGGAAAGTGCTGCTCAACGGGGGAAAAGCTGGAGACCATGTCTGCGTCTGCCCAGTCATCGACATCCTCGACAATGGCGCCGTTGGCTGGTGGCCTGGACGCCGAGTCGGCACGGGTGCGTGTAGGAGACGCGAATGCCACGGACGACGATGTAGCTTGACCCCCGAGCGGGTTCGAGGACGTCGCCTCGAAGCTCGCTGGGAATGCAGACGAGGAGTCGACGAAGGAGCCAAAGCCGTCGGATTCGGTGCGTGCATGTCCCGACGACTCGGAAATCGAGCCTCGCCCACGGCGGCGGAGCGAGGACTGCGGCGAAAGCATGCTGGATCAGCGATGCAAGCTCGGTTGCGGCAGCTTACGACGTGGCCATCGACGCGGAGACTGTGCCAGTGGAAGGAGCACGAGACGTCAAGAGGTGGTGATGTGGCAGTGATTCCCAGTTGTGCAGGGACGAGAGTCGTCTGCAGAGCCAGGACAATGTCGATGCGAGCGAAGGTCGAGGATGGTGTGGTGTTGAGTCTGGGTGTTGGCCGAGCAGGCTTTGTCTGGAGCTGAGCCGGACAGGCGGCGAATCCTTCTCAAGACACACACTTGCCGCCTGCGTGGCACTCTTTTGGCCCTCAACGCAACGCTAATTTCGCGCTCAGCCGCCGCACCACCAAATGAGACCCAACGCTCATGCACACACAGTCACTGTGCATCGGGTCTGTGCGCGCCCACCCCACCGCCTATAAACCCACCTTCCACCTTCCACCTTGCATCGACATCCACACCACATCCACTTTCGGCAACCTCTCACGCACGCCGCGGAATGGACCGATGACAAGTGTTATTACAGGAAACCGTGGTACAAAACGTGACAATGCTGGAAAGAATGTGAGCGGAAAAAGAGTGGTGGTCACTGGTAGAAATGAAGGTCGAACGCCGTCTTCCACGCCACGGCTTGGTCGGGCGAGCCAGCAGCCAGATACAGGATCTCGGAGCGGTCCACCAGACGCAGATTCACGCCGCCCAGGATCTCGACCGGCCGCGTGAGCTTGAGCACCGACCGCAGCAGCACCGGCGCTTGCACATCTCGGCCCTGCGACTGGTCCACGCACAGCACCGCCACGTCGCTGCACAGGATCAGCGCCATGCTCTGGTCCTCGGTGGTCTGCTGCAGATGGTCTGCCGACAGCACCTGCTCCGAGCCGCGGGTCGAGACTGGGCCGCCGTCGGCTGGACGCGCACCGCTCACCGACGCGCTCCGGCTCGAGCGCACAAAGCCCGGGATGCGGCGCACCGTACGCTTGAGCTGCAGAGTACCATCCTTGAGCAGTCGACGATGAGGCTGCACCAGCGGGCCTTCGATCGGTCCGCGGATGCGATACTGCCACGCCAGCAGCCGTCGATCCTGCTCCGACTGGCGCTTGCTCTCATTGACCTTGGACGCGATCTGCGTTACGTGCTCCAGCGCCGTAGCGAGCGCATCGCCGTCCGCGAGTCGCGCCGTGTCGGTGCTCTTGACCAGGTCCTCGAGCAGCAAGCGGTATCGTGGAATGCGCTGCACAGGCAGCAGCAGATAGCTCTCCACGTTGATTTGCGTGTGCCTCGGGTGCGTGCGGCATCGCTTCATGAACGTCCTGATCTTCTTGCGCTGCGAAGGTGTCAGGGCCGAGTCGCTGCCCAGGATGCTCGAGCCCGCGCTTGCGCCGCCCGCTTGCCCGCTGCCGGTGCCGTTGGCAAACATGGCCGCTGCTGCACCCTGCTGTGCCGAAAGCGCTCCAAACGCTTGCAATGCGCTGTATCCGGGCGCCCCGCGCAGCGACAAACCACCGCCGTTGCCGGCCGACGACGGCGCCATCCATGCGCTGATGCGCGCCTGTGCCGAGTCGCAGTTGTTGATGTAGCTCGTGTACATCTTGAAGAACGCTGCGTGCGTCGAGAACACCGCAGCCACCTTCTCGGCAACCGCGGCCGTCTCGTCCGGCGACAGATCGCCTGCTGCCTCCTGATCGTGTGCAAGAATCGGATTGGTCACCGCCAGGAGAGAAGGCAAGAAAACAGTGCGGTGAAACTGCAAGAGCGCCTCGACGTTGCCAAACACGGCGCGGTGCTCCATCGGAGGAATGACCGGAACGCCGCTGTTGCCGTCGGCGGGCGCCATGGCAGGCCGCACATACACGTCGACCAGCTCGCTCAGCCCTTTGACGTACGTACGCTCGGTCGACACGATCTCGGCCATGATGCGGAACCGCCTCACCGAGTCGTCCTTGCTGCATCGGGCCGTGCTCAACCGCGTCGGCTCGCTCGATGCACCTTCCGAGATCGAGCTGGCAGCTGTGCTCGCCACATACTCGCCTCCCGAGTCGCGCGACTTGGTCGACGGGTTGCTCGACTCGGCGCGGTGCATGCTCGCCGTGCGCGACAGGCTCTCTCCGTCTCGCAGGTGCGAGAGCGTGCTCTTGCTAGGCCCGACGTAAGAGGCTGCCTCGGTACGCACTGCCGTCAGGTCGTCGAGGTCGCGCAAGTAGTGCATCAGCGCACGCAGTCGGTTCCGATGTCTCGAGAGGCTCTCCTCGTCCATCTCTTCCTCAGCTGTGCCGGCCGCTGCAGAAGCGAATGCTGGTGCCAGAGGTGATGAAACACCAGCGGCAGCTGATGCGAATGCATGCACCGGCAGGAAACTGCGACGCCTCGCCTTCTTGGCTTCAGCGTCGAGCGAAATGGGCTGCAGCAGAGCCGACGAGGGCGGAGAGACAGGCGAGGAAGGCTTGCTCGGCGCTTCAACCTCGAGCGGCGTCATGGGTGCATGGCCGACGGCGGCGTCATCTGCGACAGCTGCTGCCAGGCTGAGCGAGCTGAGTGCGATCGTCGGCGACAAGGGCTCCGATTGCGATGCGGTCATCTGCTGTGCCGCACTGCTCCTCGAAGCCGAATTGAGCCTCGCTACGCTGCCGGACGACCTGAGTGACTTGCGCATCGCCTTCGGCGAAGAGAAGCGGCTCTCGCTTGGGCTCGTCGTTTCCGCCTCTTGATTTGCTGAGCCCAGCCTGTGGCTCGATGCCTTGCGTCCGATCTTCTTGAGGAATCCGCCCCACTTGCCGGGCGTCTGCGCAGCGCCGCTTGGATCAAGCTCCTCAGAGATGGATTGTCGGCGGTATTGATCCTCGCGCCCAGTCGTCGGAAGCCTGGCGAAACCCTCGACCGGACTGACATATCCGCTGTCGTTGCTTGAAATGTCAGGGTTCGACTTGGGCGAGTCTTGCCCGCCGGGTCGACCGCTGAGCATGGTCTGGAGGTCGTTCGCGCTGCGCAGACGGCTCATGAGCGGACGCTCGGGCACTGCGCCCAAAGGACTCTGGGTGGAACTGCGTTGACGCACGTGCCTGGACCAACCACCGTTGCTGGATGCATGGGGATGCTGTGGAACAGCCTCGCCGGCACTGTCGTTCCGAGCGGTGCCGCCACCGAGCAGGGGCGCCACAATGTCTTGCCAGGGGCCACCAAAACGGTTGCCCTCAACAAAGAGGTTGCTGAGCTTGGACATGCGGTGCAGCCAGCTTGGGAGGAAAACCAGCTCGTTGTTTCGGAGGCTGAGTCGCTGCAGTTCTTGCAGCTGGATCAGGCTCGATGGCAGGTGGTGGAGGCCGATGCGATCGGCAGAGAGCGTCCTCAGAGCGCGGAGGTTGAGAATCCAGTCGGGCAGGTGCTCCACGGCGTTGCCCGAGATGTCGAGCTCCTCGAGCGCGATGCAAGCGCCGATCGCGTCCGGAAGGCGTTCCAGATTGCAGTTGGAGAGGTCGAGCACGAGAAGATTGGTGGTAAGAGGCAGCACGCGCTCGAGGACCTCTGCGAGCCCCTCGGCATCATTGCCGCCGAGCAGGAGATGCGTAGTGTTGGGTCCGGTTTCGGCATCGATCTGCGCCAAGGTGAGATGACGGCCTTGAACGATGGTGGCGCTTCCTTCCTCGGCCGTCTTGACCGCCCTGGACTCGTCACCTTCTGTCTCGGCGCTCTCGTCAAAGTCGTAGAGGCCTTCTTCCCAGCGCATCCTACTGGCGTACGCGCCGACGATGTGGCTGAACTCGGCATTCTGAAGGAAGCTGTTGATGGAAACGTCGGAAGCCCTGCGTGTGCGCGAAGCGGCGGACGTAGTGCGAAGAGAGGGCTCTCTGAATGAACTCGAGGGCGATTCGCGCCCTGACGCCGGATCGAGTGTCTGGTGTGCATCCGCAGCGGATAGGTTCCTAGCCTCGTCGAGTGCAGCAACGCCATCAAAAGCTGCACGCGAGGAGCTTCGACCCATGACGATGGGTGCGAGGGCGGGTGGCGTTCGCTGCGAGCGCTCGCGTACGAGAGAAGGCGAGCCGCGCAAAGAGCTCACGGAAGGCGAGTGGCGCAATGAGCTGGAACGAGGAGGGCTCTGCAGGGCGCTGAGGTCGGCGCCGCCGAGGAATCCACTCGAAGCTGGTGTGAGCACAGGCGTGAAGCGTCCCGAGACGGAAGCGCAAGACGACACGGAGAGCGACGGAGAGTGCCTCGAGGCCCTGGGAGGCGTAGAATGGTGGTAGTTGATGGAGTCTGACGAGCACCTTACGCGCGAGTCGCGACGCAGGGGGATTGAGGGTCCGAGCAAGGAGGACGAAGGCGCGCTGGCGACAGCATCGCCACTCTGTGCGCTCGACCCCGATACCGGCGTGACATCGCTTAGCGCTCTTTGCATGTGAGCACCCACGCTGAGGCCGAGTTCACGCGCGCCTCCGTTGGACTGCATGTTGAGGATCTGATCGAGCTGATTCGACGGCATTCCAGACAAGGGAGCGAGGTCCAAGCGCCTGGTCCAGGAGGGAGCGCGGTGGTGCGAAAAAGGGCCTTGGAATGCTTTCGCCGAAGCTGGAAGCACCGGGGAAGGAGAAACAAGAGCGGCGCTGGACCTTCGGCTAGAGGTGTCATGCTCGACATCCGAGGTTATGCCAAGACCGACCTTGCTCTCGTCCAGCTCGAGTTCCTCGGTGGACTCTGCGGCAGCGTGACTGCGAAGTAGCAATGAAGCTGGCGAAGCATCGGCCTTGAGCATGTGTTGTCTGGATGCAGGGCTGTTGTTGCCACTAGCCAGGCTCGGCTCGGTCCAGATGGAGGTATGGGTGGAGGCGGAATTGCGGAGCGAGTAGTCGGATGAAAAGTAGGTGTGATGCGAGCTGAGTCTCTGGCTGGCAGGCGACGATTGACCGCTGTGGTCGTGGAAGCTGTTTGGGGTGGAGAAGCCGACAGCCTCGGGGAGCGCAGCTGGATCCGCGGCGGCGAAGCGTGGTGGCACGAAATCAGCACTGGATTCGAAGGGAGCGCCACTCTTCCATTGTGCCGGAAGCGATGGACGCGGTGCACGACGATCGGAGCTGGACGTGATGACTGTAGTTGTGCCAGCAAGTTGTGCAGATCTGCGGTTTGGCGATTGCGACATGCTGAGGGCCGGCGAATAGAAAGGCTGCTGCGGGGAGGCTTCTGGATGGCTCGGTGCTTGGCTGACTGATTCTCCTCGCTGGACGTTATCGACGTTAGACGGAAAGGACTGAGCCTCGGGCGATTCTGAATCGAGGTCGAGGAAGGAGGCAGTGTTGCCGGCCGACTTGGAACGGGTAGCCAGAGGAGCGACCGAGTGTTGGATGAGAGGCTTGGACTCGGACGACGCGTGGTCGGTGAAACTGCGTGCGAGCGCGGGTCGTGCGGGAAGGGCCTTGATGGTGTTGGAAGCGTAGTGCGGGAACGCTGATGATGGAGGGCCGGGCTGGATGTCGCTGTGGTCGGTACACGGAGGCGGTGGTGGAAGAGACTTTTCGGCGGGCAACTGGACCGGGTTGGCTTTCGGTGTCACCTGCGAGGCCGACATGGCGATACGCGATGTCAGCGGATGGAGCTCACTGGTCTGCTTTGCCTGAGAAGACAGACGGACGGCGAAACGTCGAGCTCGCCAGGGGAAGGGCTGCCGATCTGGCGGGTCGCGACCTGTGCGGAAGGGCCGAGCGCAGCAGCCAGGGGTCAGATCGAATGGCACAGATCGAGCTTAGTCGGAAAGCGTGCCTTGATCCGACGGGTCTGCGCGTATGCTTTGGGCGTGCTGCGACTTGAGGAGTGTCAAGGAGAGTGCCGAAATGAAGTCCTGGCCGTTTCCGAGAGGCTGTGCGTCAGGTCGGATGGAGCGGAACCAGCTTTCCTGTGGGCTTTGCGCAGCTCTGCTTTCGGCTTCTCGAAGAGGCTGCAGAGAGGAAGCTGCAAGCGCGGCGTCTTGCTTCGCTGTGGGCCTGGGATGCCGAGATGATTCTGCCTCGGAATCGGACCGAAAGTTTCAGGCAGAGTGTGATAAAGTTTAGCTTTCCGCCTGCTGCATGCTGCCTCTGCAGGGCGAAGGCGAAAGGGTCTCCGAGAGAGCTGAGCAAATGGAAGCGACGACGCAGCGCGATCGAGATGCTCAGGGGCGCGGTTGTCAGCTTGGCGCGGGGAGAAGCCGTGCGGTGGTGATGAAGTGGGGCACGATGAGCGTAATGAGCGAGGGTGGCGGTGTATGGTTGTCGGCGCGGAGACGACGCTGAGATCGCGAACGTGAGAGCCAGGCTGGGAACTTTAATGTGGGTTCGCCGCGAGAGTGATGGTCGGAGGGGCTGGTGATGCGACGCAATGGAGGCGTGTGCTCAAAGTTTTGGCGGCGTGGGTCGGGTCCACCTCGGGTGCATCAGAGATTGGCTCTAGGCTGGAATGAGATGAGAGTCCGAGCGGTGCAGCAGGAGAGAGGCAGAGAAGTGCGGTTCGTCAAGTCGTTCGTGATTCGCAAGAGGCAGGTGATGATGATGATGATGATGGAAAGAGTGCGAGCGAGGAAAAGCACCCCGAATCTCTGCACACTATGCGGGATTGGATTGATGGTGACGGAACGGAGGATTGGTGGTTCTACCGACGACGGCTCTGCAAGCGTCTGCGGACCATGCCTTGGACTCTTGCGTGCTGCGTCCTCGTTCGTTCACAAGACCCGCGCCGGGATGACAAAGGGCCAGGCAGCAGCGTGGTTCCGAACCAGAGCAACGCGCCCGAGGAAGAAAGGCTCACTAAGCTACTTGTTGCTGAACTGTCACTTTGGCGCTCGCTGGCGGGCGCATTCGTGCAGCTGCACAGTTGTGCATCTGCGCAAGAGCTGCAGCCGACACCTTCACAGCCATGCACCCATCCTGCAGCTGGGCCGCAGCAAAGCAGCGCAGGGGTGCAGCAACAAAAGGAACAAAAAAAAAAAAAAAAAAAAGCCGGACTGTATTTTTCTTCTGGCTTTCACCGCCTTGTTTTTTTTTCGGCGTTTCTTTTTTGGCAGGTGGAGCAGCCGAGGCTGAATGGTTGTAGCGTGGCACCCGAGCACTTGCAAGCGGCGCTCATGGCTCGCTAGCGAGAAGAACCCCAAAAAACACAACGCGCCTCTGAAACCTCACCCTTTCTTGGTTTCGCCTTGCCTTGCCCTGCGCAGCTTCGAGCGATTTTGGGTGTGCCTGCAGTCTGCACAGCTGCGTGCATAGACGGCTGTGGACGTGGCATCGCCCCGACTTTGGTTGGCGTTCCCACTTTCCGGAGTCGGTTCATCCTTTTGTCGAGTTCGTTGCATCTTGCCAACGGCCAAATGCTACGACGACCAACGACGATGATGATGATGCATTAATTGAGCGGACGAGGAAACTTTTTTTAAGTTGCGACGCGCGCCCCTTGCCAGTCCATGGACGGCCTAGCGTGGGCTGAAGACGCTTGCAACTCCGATCCTAGAAGCAGCCTTTGCTGGGCTTGTCGACGGCTCGAGCGGGGCAAGACAAGGAGCGAAGCAGCGCTGCTACCAGTGCCAGCAGACGGCGGCATTTGCGAACGGTCCGCGTGGAAGACTGCCAACTGCAGCGATCTGAGCCATCTGAGACACACACCGAAACCGCCGCAGAATCCTCGCTCTCTCTCTGCTAGTCGAGACGCGTCCCAAGCCAAGATCAATGGCCCGTCCGGTGCCCTCCGAAAACACCGACGAGGGGCCCAAGCTCGACTGGAACCGAGATCCACTCTTCCCATGCGCTTTGCTTTGCTTTGCCGCATACTGCAACCTCGCTCTCCGGATCCTCGCGATGTCGAGATGTCGTGTCTTGATATCGCAGATGGCGCCATGCTCGGCGGTCGTGGAGCGCATTCGTTGCCTCTGGCTGCAGCACCCGCCGGGATGGCTCGAGCGCCGCACCGAACGCGTGGCTACCGTTGCGACGCACAAAGTTGTTGTCCGCATTGACAGACTCGATCGAGCGTCACGTTCTTTGGCTGGCTTCCGTGCAGCGAGCGTGATTGCCATGGCGACGCCTTTCCCTCCCCATCCGACCCCGGCTCTTTCGACGAGTCGAGATGGTTGCAACTGTTCTGCGATCCTTGCATCCATGCGTCCCGAGATCCCCAATCGTAGTCGCATGCACCTGCGCTCCGAATCGCTGCTGCACACGGCGGCTATGTGGGGACGCAGCTTCGACGGCCCACGCGAGCTGCACCTTCCTGCTTGCTCCCAAGCATCGAGACTCGAAAGGTGAGCCACGACGGGTGGCGTCTGTCCGCGGCTCGAGTGTGCAATCCAGGGTCCCCACGAGTTCTCACAGACTTCGGCTCGCGCGGATCTCTACCATCGCGCGCGCTCGCTTGGCCGCAGCTCTCAGCAGCAGTTCCGGTGCAAACAGATCGCGCCGTCGATCCTGACTCGCTTGTCTTGCGGCCTTTCCGCTATTTTTATTTTCAACAGGCGCCCTCCGACGGCACCTTCACTCTCGCCTCAACTCGCTGCCTCTGGCTCTGATCAGCATCGACGCTCGGCTCGCCACTTCGCTTAGCATTTTCATTTCTCGCTCCCTCGCCAGCGTCGCCAAGACCCGGAAGCCTGATCTTCCGCCGTGCGTCGTTGCGCTTGGGAGCCTTTGCCCAGAGTATCCGACCCCGAGAGCTAGAACATCGCAGCCGGAGCCAAATCGGGAAGGTGTGGCAAACGCACGATGGCGCAGGCTGAGAAACTCAGAAGCTCTACGCGCAGCAACCAAGGCGAAGGCGTAAGCGCGCTCTGCGGGCGTAAGTTTTCTGGTTCAAGCACGGATCTACGCGAGCCCAAATTCCGATTCCCCCGATTTGCAGTCGCCTCACCAAGGCCTGATTTGGCAGGTCGCTGCTCACCGCTCCAGCCGACGACACCGCCACTGCCCGCCCTTGCGGAAGACTAGTGACACGACTCAACAGCTCAGACTGTCACTACACTGCTGGAGGCACAGTCACGCTTTCATTCGGCTGTCTCGCACGGGTACGGTGAAGCAGTGAGGTGCGAATACTGCCAACCACACGCTCAGAAGCCAGTGGCACCTTCTCTGAGCTGGGCGAGCTTCTTGTTGACCTCGCTGGGTTTGCGATCGAGCTCCTGAGCCACGGCGCTCTGCTTGGCGGGTGGAAGCAGGCCGAACGACTCGCACAGGTCGCCGTCAATGACGTGCTTGACGGGCGCATAGCTGCTCCTGTACGCCAGATGGTCTCTGCCGACCAGGCTGTCGCTTTGCTGGCGCAGCTGCATCTCGAGCGTCGTCATGGTGTCGACATCTTCCTTGCTGACAAACGGCACAAGCGCACCAATCGTACCGCTGATGCCCGTGTAGAGCAGCACCTCTCGGCCTCCGGGTACCATGACGGCGCGCGAAAGCGACGTGATGATGTCGCCCACAAAGTAGTGCGCCAGCAGCGTCGCCTTGTGCGCGGCGCCCATCAGCAGCGGCTTCTCGTGCATTGTGGTCATGCCCGTCACGTCCTCGTCGACACTGCGGCTGGTGTCGGTGTCGATGCGCACGACATACACGTTGCCAAACTTGTCCGCCGCCGCCACCGTGTCGTAGTCGAGCATCGTGCACCGCGTCACGTACCGCGGCATAATGTCGTCGGCAAACGTCACCAGCCGATTCTCGAGCGGCTTGTACGACGCAAAGATCACGCTCTCCTGCATGTCGCCCACCACGATGCGCGAGCCTTGCGCATCCAACGCCACGATCGCCGTTGGGAACGAATGGTTCTCGCACTTGCGCAGCAGCTTCTTCTTGCCCAGCTCGTAGATGCGCAGCGCCTTGCCCACGCCCGCCAACAGACGGCCCTGGAACGCGCGCAGCACCAGCGGCACATCGTCCACCTCGGTCTTGTGCACCACCTCCAGCTCCCGACCGCCGTTGCCGAGACGGTATGTTGTGAGATACGCCTTCTTGAAGGAGCGCGGCGACATGACCACCTCGACCGCCGAGCCGACGACGACAAACAGCTCCTTGTCCGCACTCGCAAACGGCACCGCAGCAATGCTGAATGCCGCCTCGTTGTCGTCCAGCTCGATCCTGTATGTCGTCTGTGCATTGACGCCGTCGACGACGCGCACGCAGCTCGCCCAGTTGCCCGCCTCGGCGCGGATCGAGCCAAACTCGGCCGGGTCCAGATCGAGCACGCCTCGCTGGTGCGGCTTTAGCTCCTTCTCAAGCGCCTCGACGCGTCTCCTCTGCGCGCCGGGCGACAGCGTTCGGTGATCCGCCTCTACGACGTAGAACAACCCCTGGCCGTCGGGATGGCTTGCCATGCGCCGCGGCGTGTACGACAGCGCGACCGAGTCCTGCTTGAGCTTGCTCGCGAGCGATGCGATCGTGAAAATGCGCAGCGTGCTGCCCACGATGCCGATGAGGCCGTCGGGACACAGTTCGGCGCTAAACGACCATGCGTGGTCGAGTGCATCAAAGATGAGCGGCGTGAACTGGACGCGCGATTGGTAGGTGAACGAAAGCCACGTGCGCGTGCTGAGAGCCATGACGGCCGTTTGACCGTGCACCCTGGTGCGCACGAGACGCACGGCCTTGCTGCCCAGGAAGCGCGTGCGCGTGTCCGTCAGCTGGCCCGTGACGCCGTCGAGCACGGTGCGCAGCAGCACGCCGTTCTGCAGGCCGATGTTGACAAACGTCGTGGCGTGGTGGCGGTCGACGGTGCTGTCGTGCATTTCGGCCATGCAGATGCTCGACGCAGGCGCGGTGAGTGCCTGGATCGATATGGATGCCAGCGTCGAGCTTGGCTCGAGCGAAATGATGCGTACGGTCGAGTCGCCACAGCCCACCGCGAGGTACGCCGTGCGCTGTCGACCCTCGGGACATTCGGGCATGCTCATCGTCAGCACGGGCGCTCCCATCGCCTTGCGCTCCTGGTACTCGTTCAACTGACCGTCCATGTCGAGCTCAAAGTACACCAGCTCGTTGCTGCTGAGTGCCACCACCACCTGGCGCTCGTTGGTGCACGTCGCCACGATCGTCGTCTGTCGGCCGTTGGGCAGGCTCGGCGTAACCCACTCGTTGATCTGCTTGTCCACCAGGATGTGTCGGATGCCGTGCGGATGCACCTGCAGCAACGCATCCTCGCCGAGCTGCTGCACCGCCAGCGTCGCCGACGACGTGAGCAGGCCGCTATCCGACACCTCCTCGATCGTCTCGCCGATGCTCAGCACCAACGTGCCGTTGACAAAGCTCAGGATGATGTAGCTGTCGTACTCGTCGCGGCGCGTGATCTTGGTGGTCCACACCGCACTGGGTACACCGGGCAGATCCGAGCTCACTGCCTCGAGCGCCTCGAGTCCGTGCCGCAGCATCTTGAAGCTGCTGCGCGCACCGCGGCCACACGCCGCAAAGATCTGCGGCGAGTCCGAGGCGAGCGGGTTGAGCGGCAGGGCGTCCAGGATGGGGTCGAGGCTCGGCACCTCGTCCACCTGCACCAGATTGTCCAGCGGACGCGGTGTGAACGTCGGCAGCTGCGGCCGCCTCCGCCCCGCGCCGTAGTCGTCGTAGTCCGTCGAGATGTACTCGGGCAGCTCGTCGTCGTCGCCCAGTTTCTGGAACGAGTACAGCAGTTGCGGCCCGAACTCGGACGCAACAAACAGGAATCCGGATCGCAGGATGCACAGCCCCGAGGCGACGGGCACCGTGTCAAAGTACTTGATCCTGAGTGCGCGGATCTCGTCGTCCTGGTGGTCCATGGTGATCTTGAACAGATCGCCGTCCTCGGTCTGCACCAGGAAGAAGAAGGCGTTCTTCATCTTGTGCAGCACGCTCGCGACGATCAGCGTTCCCCGCCTCTCGTTGGGGCGCTCGATGGGGTTGAGGCGCTTCGGAATGGGCACGCGGTGTTCCGGCTGGTCCTGGTGCTTGTAGGTGATGTAGTCCTCGCTGCAGACCAAGACTCCGCTGGGTCCGTCCCACTTTTCCTGGTTCTGGTTGTAGCCGCCCGGCACCTGGATGAGCAGATTCGAGCGCGGGTCCACCGGCTCTGCCCACCTGCGCACCACATGGTTGAGCCCCAAATCCAGCTCGTAGTACGTCAGGGTCTTTTCGGCTTCTTCGAACGCTCGTCCTGATGCGTCTCTATCTGACTCCGAATAGTCGACCTCGAGACAGGCAAAGAGCGGGTTCTCGAATCCCACATCCACGCCGACGATGTGGTGAATGATGCCATTGGGACGGTGGGCCTCCAGCGGGCTCGAGATGGTGAGGTTGGCCTCGGCGTCGCGATTGAGGATGTAGACGAGCTTGGCCTTTTCCATGGCGCCGATCATGGTCGCACGTCCCTTTGGGTCGGTGGCGAGATACTGGCCCGGTACGATGCGGCGCGAACCTGAGCGCCCAAACGTCTCCTGGTGTACCTTGTCGAACGAGTTGCTGGTGGACTGGTATTCGAGGATCACAATACGGCCTGAATCGGAGCCGACGATGAGATAGTCCTTGGATCCACCGGTCAGCCTGAAGGCGGCGAGGCTGCGGATCACACCGAACGCATCCGAGGAGACGATGATCTCCACTTTGCCCGTCTGCGTGTCTGGTCGGAGAAGTTCGAGACGACTGCCTTTTGCGACTACGATCTCTTGCTGCCTTGTTCCGGAGAACTGCCCTACTGCTGTCGCATGGACGCTGCCGGACGGCTGCAGCGTCAGGTTGTAGAGGTGCATGCCATCCATAGTCGATTCTGAAAGTTTGTCCCGCTGCTAATAAGGTGTGTGACGCCGAGGGCTTCTGGATGAGGAGCACAAGTCGTACGTGGTTCGGAGAAGCGAGATGTAGCAAGCCACGATCGCTGTGGCGAGTTCTGTCGGGTCGAACGAAGGGCTGTAGATTGCGACGGGTGCGTGGAGGTGACGCTCGCCGCCCGAATCTGGTCTTTGGGGGGTACCGATGCTACGAGACACAGCAGCGGTGGCGATCAAAAGCACGCTCGGACCAGGCGACGCTCTCAGCTAGGGACGGTGAAAGGGAATAAGCGCTTGCTGCGCCGGGACGATGATGGTCATCCGGCTGGCAAGGGTCGAATCCGTGACGAGTCTTCCATGCATCGAAAAATACTCGGGATCCGGGAGCCCGAAAATTGACAGAACTGTCAATCTCAAAGATCACACATTCTTTTGTCGAAAAGATTCGAGGGAGGGCATGCATCGGTATCGGGCGACGGCGGCCGCAGAGGCTCCAACCTGCCTTTCCTGGATCTTGGATTTTTTTTTGGGTGGGAGCCAGCGTCCCGGCAGAGGCGCGAGCGAAGTGCGTGTGTTGACGTGCTAAGCGAGCCGCAAGCTGCAGAAGTTGACGTTCGAGCCCCTAAAGAGCTAGAGTTTGCGGAGTTTGGACCCCTCTCATCTCTGCTCGCCTCGCATGCTGCGGACCATCTGCGTTCCCAGCACCTCCTATTTGAGGACACGGAGAAGCCGACCTGAAGCCTTGGCAAGGTCTGAGCCTTTCCATTGTGGGCCAAAGTCACGCCAGAAAGAATGCGCGCTGCAAGTACTCTGTGGGCAGTGCAGGGGCTTCTCCTCGTGCCGAATCTCGATGAATTGAAGCACGATTGCCGTGCACGATGGGAGAGCAGCTGTCTTGGCGGCTTGAATAGTATGGACATACGGTAGCAAGAGCTACTTAACTGCCTGTTGAAGAGGAGCGCAGCGCACATGAAACAAACACGGCGGAAGGCTCTGTCTCGGTCTTCAGCCCGGATGCTCCTAGGGCAGCCTCGTCAACGGTCCTGTCTTCGAAGACTTGCATGGCATGTGCCTGGATGGGAGCAGAGGAACGACCACATGAGCGCAGAGAGGGGGCGATGACGGCTGAGATGCTCTTCAAGCGGATGTGGGCTCCAGCGCCGCTTGCATGCATCCCGCGACATTTTGGCCCCTGTCCATCTGTGCCCTGCAGCTCACGCTCTGCTGCCTCATTTTTCCATGCACGGCTTCCCCTCATCTTTCCTCCCGCTCTGACTTTTTTTGCTCTTTCTCATCCCCCACCGAGCTTTCCTTCCGCCTGCCACATCCCTTCTCGCTTCCTTCCCTACCCCGCTCAGACGCCAGCGCCTTGGCTCCCATCCTCAGTCCCGGTCCAGCATCGTCCTTCAAGTTCCTTCCCTTGACGCGATCAGCTTCACGACCACCACAACGCATCACCACCTCGAGCGAAACGACCCGGCACGACGAATCACGAAGCCATCGTTGACCGCAACCTAGGATCAGCGTCGAGCAAACAGTCGACTCTCCGAGACTCGCTCCTACATCCAATCGGCATCTCGTAGACCGCCAGACGTCCGTGTCGACACGCAAGCATGTGGTGTGACAACTGCCTCCTGCTCTTCCCATTGCGCAGCGGCGCGATGGTGTGGAACGTCTTCATTGCTGCGTACAACCTGGCCGGCTCCATCCTGCTGTTCCAAAAGGGGCAGTTCCTCTTCTTCAACTATCCCGAGTACCAGATCTACGGCGGTATCGGCATGGCGGTCATGGCGATCTGCATCCTCACCACGGTGGGCATGGCGAACAACTCGTACATGTTTATGCGACTCTGCTTCTTCGTATGGCCGCTCATCCTCATCGTCGTTGCGGTGCGCGCGGGGTTCATGATGTTCCAGCTCGACCGCCAGCAGACCAAGATCGTATGGGAGTGCAACAACGGTGGTCAGCTGTGGGGCACGCAAGGCGAGAATACGGGGTCGACCGATACCATGCCTTCGGGACTTTGCTCGGCAGGATTCCACAGTCTGTATATCGCCTTTGTCTTTTCGCTGTTGATCGACTTTGGCCTGCAGGTGTACGCCTACTTTATGTGCTGGCGCTTCAAGAAGAGGATCGAACACTACTACGCCCTGGCTACCAAGGAGAACAACATCTACAACTTTTAGGCGTGCACGCTCGTCGCTTTGTAGAAGCCTGGGCTGGCCGCTCACCGCCATGACAAAAGCAGGCCACCAGGCAGCCTCGGTCAGTAGTTGCAATGTTTGCAGCCAGATATCCCTGCTGTTTCGGTACACGAAGGATCAACCTGTATCCGATGCCCAGGCTCTCGCTCGCATTGCATCGACCACTTTCCCCCCGTCGACCTCGATCGAGGGGCATTCATCACATCACGGACACTTTAACGGCTTCTCTTTCATTCCGATCTTCCCCTTGGCCGCACCAGCCGGGAACATCCTTCCTTTTCCTCGAACACTTTTTTCTCCAATGTTGTAACGATACCAAGCTTGACGAATTCGAATGACCACGCATATCCCCCTCGGCCATGACACCGTTGCGACCCCGCATAAGCAGGCGTGAGTCTTGGCAGTGAGCAAGGTCTAGGATCGCACGAGCCTATTGCCACTCTCAGTGCCACCTGCAGCATGGATGGAGTCGTGGTGGCGGTTCTTGCACGGAACTCCTGCACGGGGTGCTGCCCGATGGTGCGATCGCCTCCCGATTGGAGCATCCCGATCTTGACGCTCTTGCCGCCGAGCCGACTCTTCGGAGATTTGAGCGACTCTTTCCGCGTGGCCTGCTTATCAATCAGCGTGGTGGCGACTGCGTTCCGCTTTTGCGGGGTATGGCACGTCGGATCAAGGCGGCAGCGTCGGATATAGCCGCCTTTGCTCACGGAGTAAGGGCGGGGGGCCAGGTCGTATGACACGTCGGGATTGGCTGTCAGCGCGGCGGCGCGGCGGAGTGGCAAAGGTCGGAGATGCGACACCTGGACTCACCATTGCGCCTAAATCCGACACGTGCAACACGGGTGGCGGTCCTTGGTCGCCGAGAAGCCCGCGCGCAGCCATGAGCCTACCACAACCATTCCTTTGCGACTTTCTCACTCTGATGGCAACTTGAAGCGATGGTGAACAATGTCGTATCAACGCTGGCGTTTCATGGGGCATGGCGAGGGAGTGGTTGAGGCGGGTAGGGGGCGAGAAGAAAAGCGGCTCGGCGGAGCTCGGCGTGCTGGCCGGTCAACCTTGTTGGGCTTGCGGATCTACGGCAGCCCGCGGACGCACGGGAAGACGGCCGGCGTGGGAGAGAGTGTGGGAGAGGCCAATCCGAACGCCGACTTTGCCAGTGTTTGACAAGCGAGCGCCCGTTCTTGCTCGAGCCTGAGCGTGAGCGTGGGGGGGCTGCCAAACAACCGTCACACGAGTCACGAGCACCCAAAAAAGAATTCGGAATTAAACTCTGTCAGTCGCACGCTTACACTTGTTCGACAGGTTTGCAGGGTGGCAACAAAGATGCGACCGCCGAACAAACGGCCGAGATACGAAAGACTCGAATCGTCGAATCGTCGAATCGGTTCGATAGCGATAGTGTGATAAGGCTGCCAACAGTGCATATCGGTGCTGCCAATCGACTTCATGGATCAAGCACAAGATGAAGCGTGGGAAGCCGAAGAGGGGGGCGTCCTTTTTCACTGCGGGAAGCTTTCGTGTGTGTGGGTTGTACCGCCGCTGGAATGAACGAGGTGAATTCTTAAAATTGCCCCGCAGCCAAAGGGTAGCGGGTAGGACAGAGACAGCGCCCGGCGGAGAGTGGAACAAAGAGACCCTTTTTTGCGCTCAACTGGGCCGCATGTCAGTTGCACATCCATCTGGAAAGAGCTTTTGCCGAAAAGCGTGCACAAATCGCCCGCAGAGCAGGACCACATGCCCACTCTGCTCGTGCTCGAGATCGCAAGCTATCAGCATCGGTGTGGCAAAGGTGTGTGTGCTACCCCGCATTTTTCCTGCGAGATACCCTGCGGTGGGCCTATCTCCTATCACCCTGCTGTGCAAGCGGCTTGCTTGATCTCCGCCATCTTCCCCTGTACGACCAGCACACCCTGCCGCTGCTGCACCGTCCGGCCAAGGTGCATGGCTCAATCAGGAACGCTTCACTGCAAACCGCTGTCACACCGCCGCCGTCTCGTTTGGCCACATCTCGCGATAGCCGCCTCGGCACCCAAGCCTGAGCTTGTCCAGCAACGCTTCATTGGCCAAGCCTTGCTCCTTGGTTGCCCATATAACCTTGCCCCTCCCTCCCGTCCTCTCTCCACTTTCCTCACCTTTCAACAACGACCCTCTTCCATCCCAACGCCCTCTCCTCTCCTGCCGGGGGATCACCATCTAGACCATGGGCAAGCTCCACCAGGTGCGCGTGTTCTTTCTCGGCGAGGCGCCGTCCACGGCGCTCGAGCGCCGCCTCGTGCGCAAGATCGACCTGGTCGTCATGACGTTCTGCACGCTCCTCTTCCTGTCCAACTACCTCAACCGCGCCAACTTCAACAATGCCTACCTCACCGGCATGAAGGAGGACCTCAACTTCCGCGGCAAGCAGTTCAACCAGGTCAACTCCATGTTCACCGCCGGCTACATTGTCGGGCTCTGGCCGAACAATCTGATCCTTCAGGTGGTGCCGCCTCGAATTTGGTTGCCGTTTTGCGGTGCGATGTGGGGAATCCTTTCGGCGTGTCTGGCTGCATGCAAGACGCCGCAGCAGGTCATGGCGATCAGGTTCCTCCAGGCGCTGTTTGAATCGAGCACGTTTACGGGATGCCACTGGATCTTGGGATCGTGGTACAAGGAGGCAGAGTTGGGTAAGAGGAGCGGGATTTTCTCGACGTTCGCGCAGATGGGCAGTTTGTGGTCCGGAGTGATGCAGGGTCGGATCTCGCAGACGATGAACGGCCATTTGGGACTCAAGAGCTACCAGTGGCTGTTTATCATTGACTTTTGCATCGCCATCCCCATCGCCGTGTTTGGATTCGCACTCTTCCCGGATACCCCGCGCAAGACCAAGGCCTGGTTCCTTACCGAGGAAGAACGACAGTGCGCAGTCGAGAGGCTTCCTGCGCATCAGCCGACGAAGATGTCCTGGGATTTGGTCAAGCGAGTGTTTGGACGCTGGCACATCTACATGTTCGGGCTCCTCTTCGGCTTCGGTAGCATGCTCGAGAGCGCGGGCATCAACAGCGTCATGGGATTCTGGTTCAAGTCGATGAAATTCTCCAAGGCCCAGATCAACTACTACCCGCTCTCGCTCATCAGCATTGCCATCGTCACCACCATCATCGCAGCCTACACCACCGACTACCTGCGCAGCCGATGGTGGGTCAACCTGCTCATGGCACTCATCATCACCATGTCCTCCGCAATGCTCCTGGCGTGGGACATCCCCTACGGCGCCAAGTTCTTTGCGTTTGCCATTCAGGGGACGGGCTACATGGGACAGGCCACCAACTTCGCCTGGGCCAATATCGTGTGTGCTGCCGACGAACAGGAGCGCGCCATGGTGCTGGCGGGCATGAATGTGTTCAGTAACGTCGTCAACTCGTGGTGGAACATTGTGCTTTGGCCTGCAACCGATGCGCCAAGATACCGCAATGGCTGGATTAGCATGTTCCCCCTCGCCGCCTTCGTCGTCGTCGTCTCGCTTGCGATTGTCGCCCTCGAAAGAAGGGATAGGAGAAACGCCGACGGCCCCTATGCCAAAGACGAGGCTCAACACAACACGCATACGCTTCACCAAGCAGGCTCCGAATCCGACTCGGCCTCGATTAAAGACAAACCCACCGCCTCGCTCTAGCTTTTCCCCCATGCTTCTGTCACCCTTTCCACTTTTGTAATGGCAACCTCTGACTCGTTGTAAGAAAAAGACTGCAATGCTGAGCGTGAGGGAGAAAAACTTAAAAGTACATGACGAGCCGGGATCCACATCTATCGCTTGCGCTCCTTGCTAAACTTGTACACCTTCTTGACCGTCGCCTCGCCTTCCTCGTCCTCCTCCTCTTCGGTGAGAGCCAGGCCGTTCTTGGTCATGGTTCCGCGCGCCACCTTATCGGCGAGGCTATTCTTGCGCGCCGTGACGACGCTCGAGTGTCCGCCCTTGTGCGTCATGAGCGCGCGCACGAGGTTCAGCTTCTCCGCCGCCGTCTGCAGCTGGTCGAGGCGCGCATAGCGCGAGGCAAGCTCGGTGGTGAGGTAGCCCAGATGCTTGTTGCCTTTGCGCAGCGCCGTGGCGGGCGTCGTCAGATCGTCCGCCTCCACCTCGATGTCCGACGAGTCCGACAGCTCGTCCACCCAGCTGCTCTCTTTCCTTGGCGTTGTTGGCGTCGACTGCGTGCTTGATGTCGAGGCAGAGGGGGCGGTGTATGTGCGCAGCGCATCTGCATCATCCAGCCACACGGTCTTCTTGCCCTGTGCGCCGATCTTTGCCACTGCGGACTTCTTGGCCTTGCCCGGGGCCGCAATCAATCCCGCGCGCGCCAGGGTGGGTCTGCGGTTGTCCTTCTCGTCGAGCCACTCGACGGGCAGGTTGGGGATGGAGGGAGCAATGCGCTCGACGAGGCCGTGGATGCGTTTCTTCTCCGCCAGCAGCGCCGCACGGATGTAGCCGACGTCCTGCGTCTTGAGCAGCGCGACCACGTCGTTGTCGAGCTGCTCCGAGGGGCGCGCGTGCTGGTGCACGCCGTTGCGCGTAGACGAGTTGATCATGCCAAAGTAGAACTCGTCCTTGTTGCGCATCGCCGCCTTGTCCGTGAGCCGCTTGAGCATGTCGCGCTTCTTGTGGTGGTCCTTGGCACGCAGCACGTAGTCCTTGTGCTTCTCGAGCAGGCCCAGCTTCGCCCGCCCCACCGGCTGCGACCGCTCCTTGTGGTTGCGGCGCTGCACCGCATTTCGCAGCGATGATCCCGCCATGATGCGCCAGAGGTCGTTGGTAGTGGTGTCGGCGTCGGTGGAATCAAGCGAAAGAGTGTGGATGGAGTTGCAGATGCGAATGCGGATGCGTGCGAGGCGCTTCTGCTGAACGGTTTGTGGATGGGTATAGATGCAGAGGCTGGTGACCGAGACCGGATGGTTGCCAGATGTAAAGCCTCGAGAAGCAGTGGCGGAGAAGCTGCACTGCGCTCAGCCGTTCCAAAAAAGTTCAGCCTGGCCGCCCCGCCAAAAATTTCCAGGATCCTCTCTCAGCGGCTGCACGTGACTCTAGACCCTGAATTCTCCACTCGGCTCTCTCTCCCTCGTCCTTCTCGTCTTGGCGCTCTCACACACATCGTCCCGTTCGGCGCAGAGTAGTGACTGGTATTGCACGCATCAGAGGTCCTTGCCAACAGTGTACTGGCTGAGATCCGTATCCGGTCTGCGAAACACAAATTCGAGCGTCAGAAATGTCAGTTATACGTCAATCGTATGCAACTTGGCGTGGGCTCGGGGGGGAATACGCACTCTAGCTGGCCGTTTTTGGGATTTCTGCGTGCCGAGAAGAAGGTGTAGCTGAGCACGACGTCGTCGACGCCCTTTGTGCTCGGATCGTCGAGCACGTCCGAGTCGATAAAGAAAAACACGGGCAGATCCACCTCCTCGCCCGCCAACAGCTTCTGCTCCTCGAAACAGAAGCACTCCACCTTGGCAAAGTACGGCGCAATCTATCAAAACCCCCACAAAAGCAACAGGCATCAGCAATCCTCCATCTACACACTGAGCTCGATCTTGGGATGGGGAAAGACTTACTCTGTCGGGGGAGACGTTGTAGGTGGCGATACCGATGATGTCCTTTGTGCTCTTGTTCTTGGCGGTGTAGAACGCAAGCGCTGTTTCACCTGGCAGGACATAGATCTCCTTCTGCTGTGGCGTAAAAGACCAAGGGATGGCGTCGGAAGCGTCTGCGTTGAAAGTGACCCTGATTCTCTTGGTTGGAGCGTTGGTGCTGGGATCCGTATACGCCGGAACGAGGCGCGAGGGGGCAAAGCGTTCCGGATCTGTGATTGGCGTTCCCGAGAAACCCGTCGCGGAGCAAAAGGCGCGATAGAGAGGTACGGCTGCATAGCTGAATCCGAGAGTAAACACCATGAGTGCCGCCGAGTACATGAGCAGCGACTGGTTGCGTCGCTTGTACGATTCACGCTGTCGACGCTGCATCTCCTCGGTCATCGAGGCCGCCCGGCTTGCCCGACTGCCTGCCGCTCCGATCGGACTCGGACCAGAAGTGGGCCTGGGTGTCGCAAACGCTCGTGAAGATGTGCTCAAGGGCGACACGCCGAGCCGAGCACAGATCGGAGTGCGGACCGGGAGAGAGGCCTCGCGCGCCCAGCTATGTGCGAGACGAAGCAGCGGCGACGTCGCTGGTGCGCGCATCGGAACGCCGACAAGCTGACTGCGCCCTGCACTGGCCAATGCCAGGGAGCTCGATCGCGCCGCTGATCTTCCCAACATCGTTGCTGCGAGTCGGAAAGCAGCTGCAGTGTGTGTATATCGGTGGTGACGAGGCGAAGGATGGGGTTGTGGAGGCGAAGGTGGCGCAAAAAGGACTCGGCGGTGCTCGGAAGGTAAGCCCTAAATTTCTCCCGACACCCGAAATCTGGGCGCTCCTTCGCGCGCTTGGCTCGCTTAGCTGAGACAGAGGCTGCCCAAGACTGCCTGCTACGGACCCGCTGCATTTGACTCTGCAACATGCTCGTATCCTTGCAGCGGAAGGGCTGTCTCATACGACGCAGACAGCACACGATGGCCTCAGATAGAAATACATTATATTGTACAATCCTGCTGCTATCCATTCCGCGATCAAGTCGATCCACGTCGAGCATGCGAGGAGGAGCCCGTATGCGGGACCGGCACCTCTTGGATCTGCTCCAATGGGAAGTCGGCATCGACGGGCGAGGTGGTAAACGCGCTGGCAGTGCCTCTGCTCCTCGTGCTTCCCGTAGCGCCCTGCGATCTCGAATCGAGCGACGACGTCCAGCTCTCCTCGCGGATCGCATGCAGGCCTCCCTCGGACGGGCTCACCGAGAGCTGCCCCACGCCTCCCAGCACAGCAGGCAGTCCGAGGGGCGAAGCACCTCCGATCGCCGCTAGCACGTTGGGATGCATGAGCGGCGACAGGTTCACGGGCGCACTCGTCGAAGCGCGCTGCTCGAGGTCCAGCGCGATAAGACCCGGCGGGTGGCGTCGGCTCTGGTCCGGGAACGAGGCCCATAGACGGCGCTCTTCCGAGTCGTCGCTGCCCACAGACGCCTTGGAGTGGTTGCTGCCCGACGGAGAGACCGATCTGCCCGTGTCGTTGGCATACTGACCCAGCGGAGCCATGAGCAACGACCCACGCGCATCGTCCTCGTTTGCCAACGATGCTGCCTGAGCATCGCCACTGTCGGTGGTCGGGAGCGTCGTCGATGCCGACGTGGTGATGAGCGTAGGTACACCTTCGACATGCCCGTCCGAGTTCGGCAGAGACGTGTCGCCTGCTGCACTGCCCTTGAGCGACGAGGTGGAACCGGCGGCTGAAACTTTGCGCGAGCCGCCGCGCATGCCAAACAGCGACGTGATCCACGACTCGCCCTCGGCCCGACCGGCGCTGCCGCTCCTTTTGCTCGTCTCGGACGGCGACGCGTTGGTCATGCGGCCGAGCAACGAGTTGCGCCCGCGCTTCTTCGCCTCGGCACCGTCGAAACTGACGCCGTCCTCGGAGGAGGCCTCGTGGCCGTGTCCCGAGGAGCGCGGCCTCGAGTACGTGCCCGAGCGCCCGCCCTTGAGCGACGAGCCCAGCGAGGTTGTCGACCCGTTCTTCGCATCCGCATGGACCCGCAGTGGCAGCGTCGTCTTGGACGCCGCATCCTCGGGCCTCTGAGCAAACAACTCGGGATTCGGTGCGGCCGCTGTCCACGAGCCGTGCTTGGTGTCGCTGCCGCCTTGATCGGGCGAACCGGCCAGAGACGGATCCTTGTACATGGCAAAGGACCCGAGCGGAGGCACGAACGCCTGCATGACGCGTCGATCGTTATCGCCCAACTTGGGTCCGCCATGCTTTGCTGCGTCGCGCAAGTCGCTTTCGGCAGGCCCGTCATCCTCGTCCTCCTCGTCGATCTGGCCGCGCAGCCAGTCTTCGGTCTCGGTCACCATGCCGTGCGGATTGAGCGTGGCATAGTTGGCGGGCACCGGCGAGCTTCGAGGCCGCTTGCGCCCGCGCCACTCTCCAAGCATGGCCGAGTCGTCGGACGTCTGCATCGGCACCTGAGGCGCAGCAGCAGGCACGCTGGATTCCTCGGTGTCTTGCATGCCGAGTGGAGCAAGCCTGGAAGCCGGCTCGGCTTGGGCGTGGCTCGGTCGAGTGAAGACGTCAGCAGCCGTTCTGTATGCATCGTCATGGCTCTGGTGGGACGAGACGTGGGGCGAGCTGTCGGCAGCCGCAAGCGGAGAGTCGTGCGAGCCAGAGTGTGCCGAATTGAGCGCGGCGAGTCGGTTGAGTGAGGAGATGGACGAAGCGTCGCGCAACTGCTCCTTGGAACGCGGGCTTCGGCCGATGGGCAGCGGTGCGGGCGAGTAGGGATCGCTGGCGTCGCTGCGGCGGCCTTCGTCGGAGGGCGATGATTCGTGGTGCTGCACGTGGAAGCCTTGCTGCTCCTGTGGGGCGGCAGTGACCACGCTGAGGGGTGCACCGCCCGCCTGAGCAGCCGCCCACGTCTCGGGCTGCACGGCTTCGGGCGATGTGAGCGCCAATCCGGTCTGCGACTCGGAGAAGGTGAGGCCTGGGCCGAACCAGTCGCGTTCTCCCGTTTGCGGGCCGTAGGCACCTGCGCCATGGCTCTGGTCGTACGGCACAGCTCCGTGGTTGTGCCCTGCTGCGTCTTCATTAAGACGAGCGACTTCGTGTGGGCGATCGTTATGCCAGTCTTGCATAGGCTGATGCAGCAGGCCAGCGTCGAATAGAATGGCGCGGATGCGGTCTTCGGCGCGCCATCGCCAAGCCCAAGGCCGCTGAGCCGCTTGCTCGAGCCGGTCCTCGGCGTCGCTCCAGCCCTGCGTGGGTGCTGGCTGGGAGCCGAAGTGGCGTGCGACAAGACCGCGGCGGCTGTGAGCGGCGAAACTAGTCATCTCGGTATCGGCCATCTCGTTGCGCAGCTTCTCCTGCTGCACCAAGCTCTTGGGACCGATCGTAGCCGCCAGGCCGATGTTGGCGATGAGCAGCACGGCGAGCTTCCAGGCGACCCAGGCGGCCTGAATGGTGATGATGACGAAGGCGAACTGCGTGAGCCTTTGCGTGGCCTGGTCAAAGTAGACGGAGTCGCGTTGGCTCTGCGTGGGACGAGCGGGACCGGCGGGCTTGTAGAGCACGAGCACGATCGCTGCAATGACGCCCCGAGGCAGGAGCGTCAGCACGGTGGGCCAGTTCTGCGAGTAGTACCAGAAGGACTCGATGAGCGCGTCGCGGCGGCCGCTGGTAGAGCGCGCGCGATAGAGCAAGCTGTAGAGCGAGTAGTCCTTGATGGCCGTTCGAACAAAGGCGGGGGAGGACAGGTAGATGGGCATGGCGAGGGGTTGGGGGACAGTCCAGCGTCTGCGGAAGCTCCAGAGCGTCTCGTAGATGAGCACGACGCCGACGAGCCATGCGAGCACGCAGCCAGCGTAGATGCCGGCGGCAATCCACCACGCCGTTCTGGTCCCGGTCTGGAAGGTGTCTGGATGAAGTGCGATCTGGACGACGGCAAAGATGACGTTGTAGTCGAGAAACAGCGTGGCGGGAATGTAGGCGTAGGTGAGGAGGGGCAGGATGGTGTGATGCACCCTGGCCCAGCGGGAAGGGAGATGCAGCTGTGCGCGGTACATCGAGTAAGGAGGCGGGGGCAGCTTGGGGGCGAGGGAGTAGGCATCGCCGAGGTGAGGCACGTGGGGATCGCGCACGGCATCGTCTCGTAGAAGGTGGCCGTTGTGGTCTGCAAAGGCATGGCGGTGGTCCGCGTGGTTCGCTTTCTGGTCCGCCGGATCCTGGTACATGTAGTATCCCCGCTGTTGTTGGTCTGACTGCCACTGTTGGTCGTTTGGCGCAGCATATGCGGGCTGATTCTGCTGTTGCAGATTCTGCACGTCGTGTTGCGAGTCCGAGGCATAGGGAGCTGCGGCTTGATGGTGGAGCGCGCCGACAAGCGACTTGCGCTGACTTGGTGGAAGCTCTGACATGGTGTTGCCAAAGACGGGGGTCTTTGCGCGCACTGACGCGGAGCGCGTGGGTGCATTGAGGTCGGCGGGCTTAGGCGCAGCTTGATCGTTGAGCGCATCGATGGAGTCGTGCGAGCCCTTGCCGGCAAAGAGAGGCGGATGTGATGTGGCATGAGGGGGTGAGTCGTCTTGTTCCGGTAACGAGAGAGGGCGCAAAGCTGCGGGAGAGAGGGTATCCTGGGTCTGCCGACTGAGTCTGAGGTCGTGCCTTGGGGTGGAGGAGGATGCAAGGCTGCCGGTGGTATTGGTGACGCCTGTGACGGTGGTGTTGGATTGATGAGAAGCGCGCAGAGCTGCCTTGCCGGTGAGGGGAGAAGTGGTGCGGGAGTCTATCGCAGACGAAGTTGCGGGTGGGGATGTGACGAGGGTGCGTTGCTGGTTCATGCGGTCGAGTTCCTGCTGCTGACGCTGCTGGCTGGGCGTGAGGGTCCTTGTGAGCACGTTGAACTGCTGATCGCCTCCGGCCTCGCCTACGCCGTAAGCGACGTCGCGGGATGGGTCTGTGCCGCGACTGGAGGTGGTCTCGGAATGGGCGGTGTCGTTGGGTGGACGGCTGTCTGCGCTTGCGGTGGTGGTGTGGCTCTGCTGGCGGGATGGGGTGCCAAAGGTGCGATCGGCAGTGTCTGAGAGTGGTTGTAAATCGGAATGGATTGGCGGTCTCCACATGTCTTGCTCGTCGAGGCTGCTGGAGGCGGTGGTTGGCGTTGGAGAGGGGGTGAAGTTGAGCTGCTTTTCGAGCGCATCGATGAGGCGCTGACGAGGCGGAGGAGGAGGAGGGGGCGCGGATGCTTGGCTGAGGTATTCCGTGATTTCGTCACTGTGGAGGGAGGAGGAAGGCTGGATCCAGCTGGAAGCGAGATAGCCAAAGGCGCTGCGCTCTGTGGGGCTGGTCTTGCGACGAGCTGAGGAAGAAGTGTGGTTGTCGCTGATGGCGCTGTGACCCGAGGTGCGGCCAAAGGTGTCGTGCGTGAGTTGTTGGTGAGTGGGATCCAGGGATGAATCTTGCGCACGAGCCGTGGTGGCAGCGGCGAACCGTGCGGCGGCCTGTGCTGAAGACTCTGGGCGTTCTTCGTAGTCGAAGTCGTTGGGACCGGGCGAAGGCGTTGGGTAGTTGGAGGGCGACGAGTAGCCCCAGTCTGCGGGTGACTGACGGCTGCTGGATGGCTGGGCGAGTCGGTCGGGTAGAGGGAGTGGTGGTGGATGATTGCTACGGCTCGGGTTGCGTCCCGAGATGTCGCTGGCTGGCTGCTCAGCGACACTGGAGCGGAGACGACCGTTCATGGTGGGCTGGCGGGGTCCGTTCCGGGTCGGAGAGGTGAGGAGGTGATGGTGCTATGTGGTGGTAGAGGCGAACATTTGGCCGGCCGGTCGTGGATGGGGAGGAGGTTGCGATGGCGAGATGGTGTGGATGCAGAGTCAGAGGCAGAGGATGGCCGGGCTGAATGCGAGCGTGGCGAGTCGGAGGGGTCGCGAAAAGCGCGTAGATTGCGGCGATGATGGTGAAGGTCCGAAAGAGCGACGCGAAGGCATGCGAGGCATGCGAGGCGTGAGGAGAGCCGGAGCGGAGCGTCGTTGGATGCTGCTGCGGTGTGGGAATGTGAGGGTGGCGGGGCGAGCATGAGCAGCATGAGGTCCGTGTTGGGCCGTCATGACTTTTAGCACGACAGCTCGCTTGCAGAAAAGCCGGGCGGATGTCGCGAAAACAACACGCTCCGCTCCCCTTTGCGGGATGACGGGGGAGGCTATCGGAGCTCGAAGAGAGAGCTGCAGCGCCGATCCCCAATAATAATTTGCAGCTCAGCAGAGAGTGCAGTGCAGTGCAGTGCAGTGCAGCCGTGACGCCCCGCCGCCATGTATCGGAAGCGCTGCTGCTGCTGCGTGGTTGCCTTGGCCCCCTGGATTCGAGGATTTGGCTGGGCGTAGAGCGACGAGTGAAGTGTGTTGACGCTTTGGCCGCTGCGAAATTTCATGCAACGCGCCGGAGAGAACAACACCTCTGCAGAGGGAGGGGCGGCGCGCTTTTGCTCTAAATGCGTGCTGCTGCATTTGCGCTGCATCTGCGCTGCAGGTGCGGATTGGCCGATGGAATGCGGCCCCCCGGCTAGCCGCACTTCCGCTGCTGTCGTTCTGGCTGGCATGCTGTCGCGGCTGCAGCTTGCGCGTCGGCTGTTCCGCTTCCACCCTCTTTGCCCGTTCGCTCTGATGCTGCATGTCCATCGCTGGCACTCGCAATCGCAATCGATTGCCTCAGCATTCACAATGGCGACCCCCATTTGACGCCGTTGCTCTGCAACGCATGGCTGCAACTCGGATTCGGCATTTGGCGAGCTTCGAGGCTGTGTTTGGACAGTTGCGAACCTCCACCTCGCCAAGCCAACCCGCACACTTAATTGGTTTATTGTGTGCGCAGTTGACCGCGCGTTGCTGTGCTCGGGCCTCGCCCGCTGCACCGCCAGCATTCGGCTTTTTTTCGCCCTTCCTTTTGGCTCTTCCTTCGTGTCTCAGCTGCGGTCTTCGTGTTTCTTTCGACGTGCTTCTGGGATTCTTCTCCTTTCGACCGCTCGTCTGGCCGGAAATTCGGTTCGTCGTGAGAAAGTCGAAGGCTTGCAGCCGATGATAGCGTGGCTGGGCATGGGAAAGTGGAAAGTGGAAAGCAAGCGCGCGTGCACGATGAGGCGGTGGCGTAGAAGGCGGCTGCCAAGCTGCGCTCTCTCGTCGCAGGCTTTAAGCCCCTCTCTCGCGCCGAGACCATGCTAAAGCCACCGCAGACTCCAGCTTCGAGTTGCCCCGCACGAGGGCTGTGCAATCATCTCTCTGCCATACACCGTGGGCTGAGCTAGCAGCGACCCGACGATGAGATCCATTTGCCACCCGGCGTGGACGCGCGCGGACTCCGCTTCATCTCGACCGTACCGGCGCAGGGACGCAGCGTGGGTGTGTATATGCAGGAACCAGCCGCAGGAAGTCCCCACTTTCAGTGGGCCCTTGCGCCGGCTCAATTGACGCCCGCTTCGGTCGCCATGAAGGTCCAGATATTGGACCCTGAGGTGCACCCTCTGCAGCCCAGCTCTTGGCAACCACCGCTGCAGCGCGCCGTGATACCGGCCATCCGATCGCCACCCCGGAAATCCACCGCAGCTGGCTGCACACGCCCCCGTTGTCACCCATGTGCGGCAACCCAACAGATCTGCAACGCCCGTCCGTCTCAGTTCTTCCGGACGCCATTCAGCCGCAGCATGCCGCTACGCCAATGCGCCCAGATCCACAGCTGCCGCGAAGCCGTGCACCGGTTCAGGGGAGAATGGTGGCGGGCGAAAATTCTCTATTTGTTAGAAATGTGGTCTGACACTCGAGAAAAAAAAACCCCCCGGTCACGCGTGGAGGTTCATCCGCTGCGAGCAAGAAGAAAGTCGCGCGGGCCACCTTTGTGCTCCACCGCAACACCTCATTTTGGTGGGGCTGCACCTTCTCCACCTGCTCACCACCACGCCATCCGCTTTAGCACGACACCATGCCAGCTGCCAAGCGCAAGGCCGCCGCGTCGACCGCGCCTTCCGATGTCGACTCGGACCCCGACCTCGAGATCCCCACCGCCTCGCGCACGCAGCCAGCCCGCAAGCGTGCGCACATGGACACGCTCTACACCGAAAGCGTGCTTCGCATCCTCCCTCGCACCGGCTTCCTCCGTCACTTCCCCACCCAGAAGCGGCGATGTCTAGCCACGCTCGCTGGCGATCTTCCTCCACCACGCAGCCACCACACTGGCGAGCCCGCCAGCACCGCCGCGGCCAGCTATGCCAAGGCGTGCGTGGGGCTCAGCGACGAGTGGCATACACTCCACACCATGCTCAAGGCCACCGTGACGGCGCAGGAGAGCAACAGCGCGCTACTGATCGGTGCGGCGGGTGCGGGAAAGTCGCTGCTCGTAGATTCGGTGCTACGCTCACTCGAGGAGGAGTTCTACCATGTGCGGCTTGCGGCGAGCGTGCAGATCAACGACCGCGCGGCGATGAAGGAGATGGCCCAGCAGCTGATCTTGCAGGGCGCGTTTGGCGAGCAGGATGTTTCCGATGCCATGGACTCTCCCACGGACGAAGAGGATTTCCCCGCACCGAGGAACGAAGGGGATCATGTGTTTGGGGGGGATGGCGAGAGCGAGGAAGAGGTGGATGAGGAGGCCGAGATGCAGGACGAATTGGCAGGTGCGATCCTGTCGTCGCTCAACAACATTATCGCACACATCATCGCGCTGCTGTCCAATACGGCAAGCAAGGGCGCACGCAAGCCGTTGGTGATTACGCTGGATGACTTTGACCTGTTCACGGCGCGGCCGAGGCAGGCGTTGCTGTACTGCCTGCTGGATGCGGTGCAGGCTGCATCGTACGGTGCCGGTCTGGCGGTGGTCGGCATGACGAGTAGGGTGGATACAGTTGACCTTCTCGAAAAGCGCGTCAAGAGTCGGTTTTCGCACCGGATTGTTCACGTCAGACCACCGAGGGACTACGATACGTTCGAGCAGATCGTGCGTAATGCGCTATCGCCACCCATGGAGGGGAGTTCCGCGGGGGAGAGGGAGGTGAATTCGGCCTGGGAGGCGGATATGAGTCTGGTGCTTTCGCATCCACCTGTGCACGATATCCTTCGTGGGGTGTACGAACTTTCCAACGATGTTCGTATGGCCTATCGCATCCTACTCCCCGCCGTAGCTGCTACGACCACAACGAATCCGCTATTGGATGTGGAGATTCTTATCCAAACGGCGGCCATCGAAGTGGGAGATGGAATGTCGCACATCCTCCGCGACCTGACCGAACCCGAACTAGCTCTACTGCTTGCGATACGGCAACTGCAACTCCGCGATCGGGCGGTGTTTAACTTTGAGATGGTCTTCGACGAGTTGCGACGCTTCGCCGCGCGCGACTCACGAGACCGTCAATCCGCCACCTCGGGGGGATCAGGTTCGGTGGCGAGTGCATCATACGCGGATCGAAAAATCGCCCTACTCGCTTTTCATACCCTACTCGGACTCGAACTGTTGTTGCCAGAGAATTACGTGACGACACTGACGATCAGCAATCCAGTCGCAAAACCAAGCGCTACTCCAACCGCGACTCAGACGGGAAGGGCCAATCAGAATACAATCAGGAAGGAGTTTTGGAAGGTGAGGTGCGTTCTGCAGCCCAACACCATCGCTGCTGCGGCAAGGGATAGGTCCAGGCCAATCGCTGTCACTTCGTCCCTCGAGAAGTGGGCTTCGCATACGTAGCACACTGCAATCGCAAATATCTTGTGACACAAGAGAGAGCCTGAGACAAGAGTTCAGCATCTGAATCAAGTCCGATGGCGTCTGAACACCTGTCCAGGCGATTCGACACACACCGAGCTCAGAGACAGGCTGGGCAGCATCAACATCACGCTCTGTATCAAACCCACTTCACTTCAGCTTTTTGCGAATGGCAACTGCATCAAATTCACCCTTGCGCTGCGCTCGCCTATTCGAAGGGGGGCACCAGCACAGCCTGGCCCGCCAGCGCCCTGGGCCCATTAAGCTTGATGGCCATGACCCTAATGGTCGTCTTGATCGTCGCCACATCCGCGTCCGCCTGGCCCCTCCCCCTCTCCAGCAGCACCCTGAGCTGGTCGCACAGCTGGAACCACCTTGCCGATGCCCTATTTGTATCCTGCATAGCAGGGCACCTGTTGAGGAAGTGGAACTCGCCGCCGCAAATGATGCACGTCTGTTCGCTCGGCGCCTCGTCGCTCTCAGCCACGCTTTCGGCGACGCTGCCATCGACCGAGGGCGCCACCGACAGGCGGGGGGTACCGGCACTGCTGCGGCTCGACTTGATGCGTGGCTTGCGCGAGCTCACGACAACATCCATGCTCAGCCGGCCTAGGTCGCGACGCGACACGTCGAGCGTGCGCGGACTGCCGCCCGAAAACGCCGCCAGCCGCGAAAGCGCCGCACTCACCCGGTTCGTAGGCTTCGCCGGCGACGCCACCGGACTCGCCGCCACAGGTACCGTGTCCGGATCGACAAACTGCCGCGCGTCTTCGAGGCTGTTTCGAATCGACAGCTTCGCCTGCAGGTATGGAGTGCGCTCCATACGGCCCTCCATGAAGCCCTGCACAAAAAGCACCACCGAAGGCGCCGATCTCGACGTCGGATTCTCCACCGCCAACCGTGCCGTCTTGGTCAGCTCCTCGTCCCCGCGCGCCCTCACCGCCTCCAACCACGCCCGGCGCTTCGCCTCATGCACCAGCACCCCCGCCGCGGCCGTGATCGTCTGCGGCGCCGGCACCTCGCTGTCGGGCGGGGGCGAGTCGGCGATCTCAATCACCGCCGGCGCCACCTGTGCGCGCTTCTTCTCCCACTCCATAATCGCCCTTGTCCATGGCGCTTCGCTCTTGGGCGTGCGCAGCGCCACCACCATGTACGTCGCGGTGCGCACCAGCAGCTCGCGGATCTTGCGCCAGTCGAGCGCAATCGCACCGCCGTACGGCAGCGCCAGAATCTCGGGCGGGATGCTCTCCTCGGGGATCTTGCTGAACGCCGCGTCGAACACGGCGCGCGGCACGCCGAACGACTGCATGTAGTAGTCCACGTGCGTCTCGGTGAGCTGGAAGCGCATGCTGGGCGGCGGAATGTCCGGCGCCCGTCCGCTCGCCGCGCGCTCCGCCACGTCGCGTGCAAAGTCGTGCTCCGGCAGCAGCATCAGCAGCACGCGCCGCATCGCCGCCAGGTGGCCAGGTCGGATCGCCGATACGGGCTGCGACGCGTCCAGATCGTGCAGCGGCGACGCGGACGGCAGCCGGTGCTCGGCAATCAGCTCCCGCTGCAGTCCCGCCAGCGTCGGCGGCCCGTTCTTGATCTTGGGCGTCGTAGCAGTCGCCGCGCTCTTGGATGTGCTCGCTTTGATGGCCAGAGGCCGAGCAGCAGCGGGAGCAGGCCGAGGCGCAGGTCGAGGCGCAGGGGCCGCAGCGAGCACACTTGGCGCAGGCCGAGGCGCAGGCCGAGGCGCAGGCCGAGGCGCAGGTCGAGGCGCAGGGGCCGCAGCGAGCACACTTGGCGCAGACGTAGCGCCAGCTGACGAGCCAGCCGCAGAAGACTGGGCGGCAGACTGGGCGGTAGCAACCGTGACTGCCGTGGCCGCTGCCGAGACGGCGACCGCCGCCGCCGCCGCAGCGACAGCGGCGTTGGACGAGTTGATCTGGCGCCTGCGCAGCGCCTGCACCGCCGGCAGGTCCTCCTCGTCCTGGAGCACCGCATCGATCATCTCGTAGTCGTCGCTGTCGCTGCCGGCGTCCGCTGTCGCCCTCCAGTCCTCGTCCACGACTTGCTGGGGCACCTTCTTCGGACGCCCGCGCTTGCCCTTGGCAGGCGCAGGCTCCGCCTCCTTGTCGGCTTCCGCCTCGAGCATGCTTCGGATGCGGTCTCGTCGCGACGCGCGCTTCTCGGCCAGCTCCTTCTCGCGCGCCTCGGCCGCGCGCTTGGCGACATCATCGCGGTGCTTCTGCAGCAAATCGGCCCAAAAGTCGTCGTCGACCACGGTGGTCGGTGCAACGGCAGTCGTGGTGGCTGCCGACGCGTCGGCCTCCCAAACGCGTGCGTACGAGAAGGTGCCCTTGTCCTCGCCGTCGCCCTGCGCAGCTGCATCTGCGGCCGGCTCTTCCTCGGCATCCTCCCTGCGCATGAGCAGCGAGTCGAGATCCTTGTCCGTATACCGCACGTCGCGCTCCGACTCCTCGGTGCCGCCCTCGGCAAAGGGCGCCTGCGCACCAAACTTGAGGATCGACTCGAGCTCCATGGGCGTCTCCTCCTCGTTGTTCAAGTTCTGCACGATGAGGTGGTCGAGCATCATCTTGCGCTTGGCGCCCTGCAGGATGCGCTCCTCGACGGTGGCCTTGCACATGAGCGTGAAGACGAGCAGCTTCTTGGTCTGGCCGATGCGGTGGGCGCGCGCGATCGCCTGCATGTCAACGTGCGGATTCCAGTCCGGATCCATGATGATCACCGTGTCGGCCGTGGCGAGGTTGATGCCCACGCCGCCGGCGCGCGTGCTGATCATGTAGACAAAGTAGGGCGAGTCTGGCGCGTTGAACGCGTCGATGCCCTTCTGGCGCTGCTTCTGGCCCACGTCGCCGTCGAGCCGCAGGAACTTGTACCCCTCGCCGCGCAGGAAGACTTCGACGATGTCGAGGTTGATGACGAATTGCGAGAAGAGCAGGATGCGGTGGCCGCCGGCCTTGAGCTTGGGCAGCAGCCGCTGGAGCAGCGACAGCTTGCCGCTCGCATCGATGAGGCGCTGGTGCTCCCATGTCGCCTCGTAGTTGGCCTCGTCCTCGCGCGTCTCGAGGTCGGGCGCGATGGGGTACGGGTGCTGGATGCACTTGCGCAGCTGCATGAGCGTGTTGCTGAGGTTGGTGAACGTGCTCTTCTTGTTGCGCTTGCCGCCGGGTCCGCGCGAGGCAGCGAGCGCCTGGATGTCTTCGACGTTCGACTCGAGAATCGAGCGGTAGATACGCTTCTGGATGGGGCGCAACGATGTAGGCACCATGAGCTCGATCTTGGGCGGCAGGTCGAGCACCTCCTTCTTGAGGCGACGGAGGAAGTACGGCCTGAGGCGCTGCTGCAGCTCTTCGATCACCTCGGGCTTGAGCGCGCTGTACTCGGCCTCAAGCGCCTTGACGTCCTTCCACTGTCCGCCGGGCTCGAGCCAGTTGAGCAGGTTGAAGAGTTCGGTGGTGTTGTTGTTGAGCGGCGTGCCCGTCATGATGACGCGGTGCTCGGCGTGCAGCTCGTTGAGCCGCTTGAGCAGCAGCGACTTGCCGGACTTGAGATTCTGGCCCTCGTCGACGATGATCACGTCCCAGCTCTCGACCTTGCGGAGCGGCAGCGAGTCGAGCCTCACGGTCGAGTCGGCAGCGACGACCACGTGGAACTTGATTGCACGCGTCGCCTCGTCCATCTGGGCGAGTGCCTTTTTCGAGTGGAAGAACTCGTAGCGCGAGATCATGTCGCGCGCCTCGGACTCGCCCCAGTACGGCACCACGCGGAACTGGGGCATCCACTTTTCGAACTCGCGCATCCAGTTGGGCAGCGTCGAGTTGGGCACGACCACGAGGAACGGCCCAGCCTTGCCCTCCTTCCAGAGCGAGGCAAGGAAGGTGATGACCTGCACGGTCTTGCCGAGGCCCATCTCGTCGGCCAGGATGCCGGGCTTCTGGTGGTACCAGCCGTAGCGCAGCCAGTTGACGCCCTCGAGCTGGAAGTCGATGAGGTCGCCGCCCTGCACGCACGACGGCTGGTCGTCGAGCGCTCGGAAGCCGGTGCCAGATCGGGCGAAGCGACGCTCGCGCTTCCTTCGCTTTTCGTCCTGCGTGAGCGCGGGGAAGACGATCTGCTGCGCCACAAGGAAGGCGCGGTAGGCCTCCTGGCATTCGTAAAAGACGTCTGCCTGCTTGCGACGCGTGGGCGGATCCTCCCAGGTGGCGCCCTCGTAGGGCTGGTCCTGCCATTTGATGTACAGCTTTGCCACATGCTGCCAGCTGCGCAGATGGTCGGAGGGGTCGAGCTTGTGGCGAGGGATGGAGTCCGAATCGACCATGTCTCCACTCCGCTCGTCGTCGCCATCCTCGTTCTTGATCGATGAGTAGAACTTGACGGCGAGGATGCGGTCAGGTGTCTTCCACGCCTTGGGGATGCGTCGCTGCGCATCGTGCATGGGAGACGGCGGCCCGACGTCGACATCGCCCTTATCATCGATCTTGAGCGTCTTCTTGACCGAGCGCGTCACTGCGCGACCTTCGACGGGCGCGCGACCAGCACCGCCACCACCCAGGGCGAGCGAGGCCCTGCTCTTGCGCGCGTTTGCGAGCGCCTGGTCGGACTCGACGAGCTCGGCGGGCTCGAGCTCGAGGCGGCTGCCCTTTGCGAGGAATTGCATGAGCGCCATTTGGTGGAGGATGCGCAGCCAGTCGTGGGGCACCCATTCGGTCTCGCGGTACGAGCGGTCTTTGAACTTGACGAGGTACTCTCGCGGCAGGTCTCGCGCGGATGCAAGACTGCATAGGCGCGGTTGGAGTCGTCGTTCCACTGGCTGCGGTCGAGCGGACGCCATGCAATGATCTTTTCCACGGCTGGCCAGCGGTGGCAGTCGGCGCAGAGCCAGCCGCCGTCTTGTGTCGACTTGGCGGCATGTTCGGCCGAGGGGTCGTCGTGGTCCGAGGCGCGTGCGATGCACTCGTAGTGGCTGGGACGAGAGCAGCGCCTGCAGCGGAAGAGCCTGGTGGCTGTGAGGATGGTGGGCGGTTTTGGATAGGCGTCGAGCATGGCCTGTGTGATGCCGAGCTGCTCCTCGGTGGTGCGGTCGCCGTTGACGTCGGCCTTGCAGTGGATGCAGTAGGCGGCGTAGCCGGCGCAGTCGGGGCACGAAGCAGTGTTGACGAACTCGTCGACGTCGATGCGGCGGACGGGGTCGGGCGGCGGAGCGGACTGGCCAAAGATGGAGCGATGACGGCGAGTGGCCTCGGTGTTGATGGTGTGCAGGATGGATTTCTGGGAATCCTGCGGAAGGCAGCCCCAGTGCCACGAGACGGAGCAGGTGCTGCACTCGAACCAGCCTCCACGGTCCTCGAGCACCTCGATCCATTCTTGAGTCTGCTGAACTGGCGTGAGGGCGCCCCAGGCTTCGTCGACGAGCGCCTTGCGCTGGCGCCCGCGCGAGTCGATGCGGTCGGGCGACTTGTTGGGGCGCTTGTTCTCCTCGCGCGTTTGCTGTCTCTTGAGCGTGGTCATCGCTTTGTTATAGAGCGGCAGAGCGGGGCCGTCTTTGCAGCGCTTGCAGCCGGGCCAGTGTCGGTCGATGCATGGCTGGTCTGCGGCCATGAGCTCGGTCTCTTCGGCAGAGGCGGTCGAGCTGTAACCCTGCTCGCTCGCGGACTCGAGCTCTTCTTGCTGGTCGGACTCGTGCTCGGACGAGCTGCAGATTGCGGGTACGCCATCGAGAAAGGTGTGATCTTCGAGCAGCGCGGGTTCGGCGTCGATGTCGACGACGGGCGGGGTAGGGTTGTCGAGCTCATCGATTGAAGGTTCGGGCAGGTCCTGCTGGAGTGCGAAGCGCAACCTGAGCGGACGCGGTGGACGGCTGGAAGGTTTCCTGCGAGGGACCCTGCGGGCGTTTGTGCGCCCTTTGGACGTGGCCGAGGAGCGACGTGCATTGCGTGGACGTTTGGAGGCTTGGATAGATCTGGACGGTGCGGAACGCTTCCTCTTAGCGCGGCGGATGAATTCGGCTTCGTCCGAGTCGACAAGCTCGTCATTCTCTGACTCGTCGTCGTCGTCGGCGGACGTGTGCTGGTCTTCGTCGGCGCTGGTGCCGTCGTCGTGGATATCCATCCAATTGTCTTCGTCGTCCCTCTTCACTTTGCGATGACGGGCGGTTGTGCGATTGGCGGGAGGTTTGGCACGGGTGAGACGATTTCTACGCGGACGTGCACTGGACCCGAAAGTCATGTCGTCGTCCTCCTCATCTTCGTCGTCGTCGTCGACGTCTTCTTCTTCTTCTTGTTCTTCTTCTTCTTCTTCCTCGACGTCGTCATCCTCGTCTTGCTCTTGGTCGTCGGACTCGGTGGCGGCGGCCTTTTGTTGTCTGGTGGAGACTCTGCGTGTGGGTCTGGACGGTGCGGCAGACCTTGTGGAGCGCTTCTTCTTGTGCTGCGGAGGATGATCGTCTTCGGAGTCGTCGACGACAAAGTCATCCAGCGCGCGGGTCTTCTTCCTCGCAGGAGCAGGAGCAGTTCTCCTGGGACGGCGACCGTAGTCTCCGTACTCGGAGTCCTCGTCCGAGTAATTTGCTAAAAGAGGGCGGCTCGATCGAGTTGCGCGAGCAGAAGGAGGGGGAGGTGCGGCGCGCGAACGGGTGGACTTCTGAGATGCGACGGCTGAGCCGCGTTGGAGGCGGCGGGTTTACGTTGGCTGAGAGACCTGTGGTTCGTCGGAGCTGGCCTGCTCGTCGCTGTCGTCATGTTGGTCGTCGTCGTCATTGTCGTCGTCGTCGTCGTCGTCGTCATCCAATTGGACAGGGCTGGGCCTGCGACGCGGCGCACTGCGGCTGCTGGAACCATTGGTGTTGCGAGCTGCTTGGCCACGAGACGAGGTTGTGCGTGCGTCCGACTTTGTGCGCGTAGTGGAGCTTTGCGCTCGAGATTTCCGATTGGAGTGGCTGGCCTTCTTGGGCGAGTCTGTCCTGAAAGCGGCGAACTCCTCGTCGGATGAGAGGAAGGAGAGGTCGATTGCAGCGGGCTCCTTCTTGTGGCGCGCTGCGCGTGATGCAGGCGGCATGACGAGGCTGCTACGAGTGAAGAGGGTGGCGTGGCAGGGCGACCATCGACACGACCTGCTTGTTGATCCGTGTACGGATGTGTGTGTGTGTGTGTGCAGACGGTGCGGAACAGAGAGCGTGTGAGGGTCGAGAAGGAAGGTGCGGGTGCGGGTGCGGGTGCGCGGATAAGCACCGACAAGAGCACGCGTGGATGAGGCAGCTCTGAGCAGGCACGGATGGACGGATGGACGGACGGACGGACGGACGGACCCTGCGCAGCCCTTGAAGCTTTTCCTCAAGAAGAGCCGCCTTCCGAAATTCGGAGGCTTGGCTGCTGAAGCTGAGCATTCAGAGCGCGTTGCCTCTTTCAGCGCAGCAGCAGAGAAGCCAACACTCAACGCGACGCGACTGGAAATCGGGCAGCAGCCAACACTCAAAGAGAGACAGCCAACACTTCATTTGGCGCCGTCTTTGGCCTCTTCGCATCGCCTCCTCCTCCTCCACACCCATCCCGCCACTCTGCTCGCAAGATGACGCAAACCATGGACTCGGGCTCTTCTGTGGCGCCATCGGGCACCATGGGCTACGAGCTCCCCTGGGTTGAAAAGTACCGACCCTTGAACCTCGACGACGTAGTTGGCAACAAGGACACCATCGATCGGCTCAAAGTCATCCAGAACGACGGCAACTGTCCGCACCTTCTCATCTCGGGTCTTCCGGGTATTGGCAAGACCACCTCGGTGCTTTGTCTGGCACGGGCGCTGCTGGGGGATGCATACAAGGAAGGGGTGCTCGAACTCAACGCTTCGGACGAACGTGGTGTGGATGTGGTTCGTAACAAGATCAAGACGTTTGCGCAAAAGAAGGTGTCACTCCCTGCAGGTAGGCATAAGATCGTCATTCTCGATGAAGCCGACAGTATGACACCTGCCGCTCAACAAGCACTTCGAAGAACCATGGAGATCTACTCCAACACTACGCGGTTTTGCTTTGCCTGCAACCAGAGCAATAAGATCATCGAACCCATCCAATCCCGATGCGCCATTCTCAGGTATGGCAAGGTCAAGGACGAACAGATCCTCAAGAGGTTGCTCGAGATCTGCGAGATGGAAAAGGTCGAGTATACAGACGAAGGGTTGGCAGCTATCATCTTTACTACCGAGGGCGATATGCGTCAAGCCATCAACAACCTTCAATCCACTTGGACGGGGTTGGGATTCGTCAATCCCGAAAACGTATTCAAGGTCTGCGATCAACCGCATCCCTTCCTCATCCGTGCATTGCTCACTGCGTGTCAGGAGGGTGACGTCGATTTGGCAATGGACAAACTCGACGAGATTTGGGCAAAGGGCTATGCGGCTGTTGATATCGTCACCACCCTCTTCCGCGTGGTAAAGACCATGGACCGCATCCCAGAAGCTACCAAACTCGAATTCATCAAAGTAAGTCCCTTCACCCCGTCCCTGTGTCTTGTTGCAATTGGCTCACCTCGTTTTCGTCTCTAGGAAATTGGATGGACTCACATGAAGATCCTCGAAGGCGTAGCTACCGTGGTCCAGCTCGGCGGCCTCATCGCCAGGCTATGCAAACTCGTAAGTTGCCCCACTCGTTCCCCACTTTCCGGCCGCTTTTAGCTAATATCCCCTGCCTCGGCCTTACAGAGCATCGATCCAAAGCAATTCCAGGTCTGATCCCTCAACACTTTCTTGGCTGCAGCCTTCAGAGCCGCTGCCATCTTGTACTTTTATACATCCTGCAATCTCTCTTCCCTTCCACACATTTCTGAGCGTGACCTTTTCGGGATTACAGCAAGACTCGAGCATCGACATCAAAGGTGAGGGGATTCCGGACCGAGTCGCAAGAGGAAGGAAATGAAAGCGAAAAAACAACGAGCGAATGAAGCCAAAAATACAAAGAGCGGATCAAAGCGAAAAGACAAAGATATGGTATCGAGAGGAGAGAGGCTTAGCCCGACCAGCGCTTGCTGTCAGCAAATGGGTCGCGGCGCGACGACGACGCGCGGTCGTAGTCGTAGTAGTCGCCCTCGCCGCCCCTCTGCACCTCTTCGTACGGCGAGTAGGGTCGACCCGCACCGCCGTTGACCGCAGCAGCATCCAGTCCCCGCGTAGCGCGGTTGTTGTACCCAGCGGTGGACGATCCGTCGTAGTAGTTGACATCATAAACCCCCTGGTCATCGCTGTACGGCGAAGCACCGCGCCCAGCAGCAGCGTCATCGACGTACATGCTGTCCGTCACCCGGTGGGCGGGCGGGAAATCGTCCTTGCCACCACGCTGCGATCCGTAGTTCCTCAGCCTGCTCGAAGCCGGCCCAACGGCCGCGTACGGTGCCACCTCCTGCATCGGCGGCGCCCCTTCGCCGTACTCCTCCTCGGTCAGCGTGCTCATCGGTCGCGTCGCCTCGAACGACTCGTAGCTCGCGCGCCTCGGACGGTCACGCACCAGACCATCTGCTGCTCCACCCACCGCGAAAGCCGCTCCACCCGCTGCAAGGCCGCTCGCCATGTTGCGGTGGTGGTACTCGTGGTCGATCGGTCGCAGGCGAGGATCAAACTGCTCCTGCTTGCGCCTCCTCACGCGACGGATGATCGTCCACGCCACCGCGATCACCGCCACCGACGCAGCGATCACCACGATGGGCACCACGACTTTCGTCGTACCGTCGCTGCTCGACGAGCCGCTCGAGTTGGCGCGGTTCACGCCCGTAGCCGCCGCACTCGCACTGCTGCGTGACGCTCCCAGCGTGGCAGCCGCCAGACTCGCCTGTGCCTGCGCACTCGACTGCGACGCCGCCGCCGCCGACAGCAGGCTCTCGGCCGCCGCGGCCATCGAGGCAGACGCCGACGCAGCAGCAGAGTTGACGCTCGTCGCCGAAGCTGCCGCTCCGGACGCAGCAGCCTGCACGGGCGACGCACCGCTGCTGCCCTGGTTCGACCCGCTGTTGCCAGCGTTGCTACCGCTGCTGCCCGCGTTGGAGCTGCCACCGTTCGACGCAGGGCGGTTCTGGTTGGTGTTGCTGTTGTCGTTGGTGTTGGTGTTGGTGTTGGTGTTGGTGTTGCCGTTGTTGTTGTTGGTGCTGCCGCTGCTGGTGTTGCCCGTCTGGCCGGACGAGGGGCGGTTGGCGGGAGCCGAGGTGGACGACGCAGCGGGCGCCGGTGCAGGCGCGTTGCTCGACGATCCACCGCCGTTGTTGTTGCTGCTCGATGCCGGACGCGAGGTTGTCGCGGGCGCAGGCGCGCTCGACGAGCTCGCCGACGGAGGCTGTCCACCACCTGTGGGTCGCAAATGAGAAAGTAAAGACGTCAGCAAGTTGCGAGATCATTGGCGTGCCGGGTTAAAACAGCCGCGAGATGGTGGCGTCCATGTGGACAGTGGGGTTCGTTAGGGTACGGAAGATAGGGACATGGGATGGGGGATGGGGGATGCGGGATGGGGGATGGGGGATGCGGGATGGGGGAAGGAGTTGGGTTGGTGAGGAAGTTTGGGGAGCAAGGACAGGGGAGAAGGGAGAGGATGTGGGGCGAGGATGTGGGGAAGAGGGGAGAAATGGAGGAAGGGGGAGAGAGATAATCACCAGCGCCGAGAACATCACCGACAAGGCCACGACGAAGATTGTGCAGACGGTATTCTGCTTCGTCGAGGTCTGTGGAGATCGGCCGTATTTGAGCGGGAAGAAGAGTCGGGTTCCGAAGCAAGGGATTGTTTTTGAGGAGATCGAGCGGCCAAGAGAAGAGAGCGAGTGGGGGATCAGGGAAGAGGGTAAGGAAAGAGGAAGAGGCGGAGAGGGAGGAGATGGAAGGGAATTGGATGAAGGAAAAGGAAGGGGAGGGACGGGAACGAGGGAGGAAGTGCGATGAGGAAAGGGAAGGGTTAGGAAGGGATGCCAAGACGAGAAGTCGCGAACTCATGTTTGCCGTCGAGATGGTGCTGCTCGCGCACGAGATATGGACGGCAGCGCGAAAGAATGTGTGGCTGCCGCCTGAAGTGCTAGAAGATACTTACCACCAAGACCGAGATCCCTACCGAGACCATTGATGATGCCGCCGAGACCGTCGCCGATGGTAGCCGCAAGACGCTTCTGCACCTTGATCAGCTGTGGTTGGCGCTCGGTGAGGGCGCGATGGGCGAGCACGTGGTGGGCGTGGGAAGCATCGTGCTGCTGAATCGATGCGGCTGCGCCTGACACGGCGACCATCGAGACGGCCGCGATGGCCGAAAACTTTTTCACTCCAACCATGCTGTGCAGATGAGGTCGAGGTTATCGCTGTCGGATGAGTAGTGTTGGTTGACTGTGGTGGCGTGACGCTGTCCGTGGAGTAGATTCGAGGAGAAGCTTTGGTAAAAGAGTGTGGTGAAGACGAGACGTAAAAAGAGTGTGATGCCGAGACGAGAGTGGGGGAAGGAGGGAGTAGGAGGGGAGGCGACGATGATGGTGGTGGTGATGATGATGGTGATGGAGTGGGCCAAGTCAACGTGAGATGTTTGAGCGGAGAAGGCAAGGGAAAGGGGCTCTGAGCTGTCCAGCAGGAGAGGAGGGGGATCGACGGACTGCATCCAAGCTTTTCGAAGCCAAGACACCACTCTCTCGGGCTCGCCAACGCAGGGCAGCGCAGGGCAGCGCAGGGCAGCGCTTTGTTGGGCGCAAGGGGGTCAAAGCAGCGAGCTCTAAGCGCCCAACTCGTGGCAGCCCGAGCCGTCTTGCGACTGTGCGGGGTTACTTGCAAAGGCGGCTCGACGAGGCAGACCGAAGGCGATGGCAGCTCGAGATTTTGGCGCGAGAAACAACCCTTGCATGCATAGGCGAGGAGGCAGCCCTGGACGCGCGCCCGCAGCCCGCCGCCCGCACTAGACCGCTCTACCGCTTCTGTCGTTTTCAGCAGCCTTGTCCGCTGTGACCTTCGCACTAGACGATGTCTAGCACCTGTCATTCCTCTCATAATCTCATCATCCATGGCGTGGATGTGTGTCGGAAGCATGCCGAGAAGAAACGCTTGTTGACACACGCTCGAATGTTCAAATTGACGAGTTGCGATCGGCGGTCGTCCGACAGCGCGCGCTCACGTCAACACGCCCAGCTCACCGTTGAGACAGCTGACATGCAGCCGGATCGACGGTGCGTCGAGCGGCGCGCGCGCGCGTTTTCCAACACGCAGCGACGTGCATTGGTGTGTGAAAATTAGATGCACCTTTCCAGTGTCTTTCTTTTGGAATTTTTTCAAAGTGCAGCGGGTGCGCAGCTGGAGCGCATCTTCGCCAGGCTTTGGCAGAGGCCCCCGAGGCCCCCGTGGCGGAGTTGGAATCGCCTCGAGATGCACAGAAGAAAGAAGGATGGGCTCGGCTTGTATCCGAGCACTCGACCTGCAGCCGGCGCTAGAGCAACCCAACTTGGCTTTTGCCAGCAGTAGCCATCCTGGCTCCGCTACATCGCCCGTACATGGTTGTGCAGGTTATGGTTGCGCCTGCTGGCATCGTTCCGTGAGCCCCTGTCGCTGCTTCTACCGCGCCATCCGTACGGCCGGTTGTAGGCCAAATTCATGCCAGCCTTCTTCCTGCCATCGGTCAAAGACAACGTTCTGCCATGCCATCGGTGTGCGGGGAAGCCTGGGCTCCGTGTTGGTTGTGGGTGCAACCCAGCGACGGATGATGCTTGTCAGTGATATGGCGGGAAAGATGCACTCCCACGAGACTGCGCGAAATCAGCAGTAAAAATGCGTACACAAAAAGACACCAAATTTCAACCCTTCGGACTGTTACGTCGCGGCGCGCAGCGAATGGTCTTGTTAGGCCGGGCGAATTGTGAGGTATTGGTTTTTTTTTCTGCGCAGCCTCCACATGCGTCTTGGCATGCATGGCGCACAAAGCCAATTCAAAGAAGGCGCAACTGGCGAGACCTACACCTGTGACCACCACCACCACCATCAACACTGCGACGCCACACACAGGCACGAAGCGGTATCTGTCGTCTGCTGCTCTAGCTTCAGGGCTTGGCGCCATGTCGTCAAGCAAGGGCACGGTCACCACGCAAAACGGACGCGGCGGCGCGCCGGACAAGCGCGATGCGCCGCGCGAGCAGCTCTCGACGGGCCTCTGGCTGCTCAAGCACACACAGGGCATCGTGACCACCGCCACTGCACTCGGCATCCTCCATCTGCGAACCAGCCATGTGCTCTACTTTACCATCGGCAGCCTCGCCACCAGCTTCACCGCCAAGGGGCTCAAGCGCGTGATCAAGCAGCCTCGTCCTCCCGGCTCGAGGGTGAAGAAGACGAGCGGGATGCCGTCAACCCACAGCGCGACGATCTCGTTCATGGGCACGTACATTGTGCTGTCGTCTTTACTGCTGCCTCTGCATCCTTCGCTCGTGCTGGACCGCACATCGACGCAGTCGGACCAGATGGTGCGCATCTGGCTTGCGCTGTTGGGCGTGGCAGCACCCGTGCTGGTCATGTGGTCGCGCGTGCGGCTCGGCGTTCACACGCGTGCGCAGACGCTGGTAGGCGCCGCACTCGGCGTAGCCAAGGCCATCATTTGGTTCACCCTCTGGAACGGCACCCACATCATCACCGGCACCAATTCGGCTTCAGCATTCGACGCTGCCATGTCGCCGTCCACACTGCAGGTCGGCCTGAAAGCCACAGTCGGCACTCGCATCGACTCGCTCATCCGACACACCGAAGCCGCCCTGCGCGATGTCACCGGCTTCTAAACGTCGCCCCGTCGGCGAGAGGGACAAGTCCAGACAGTCAATAGTGTCGTGCAATCCTAGATGTTCCTCAAGCGTTACACTGCGCGGTTGAGGCGCCCGATCCATCGGCCCGATGAAGCCGAGCTTTTCGAAATATCGGGGGGGGGGGGCCCGCCGATTTGCCTGTGAAATGATGTCACGAATTTGAGCTTCGCCCAACTGGACGTGGTTTGAACGCCGCACCCAAAGCACACCTTCCCGTTTGAGCCAGGAGCCTCCACTTTCTTCTCTGCCGTGCCGTTCGCTTCGCGCTCACACAGCTTTGTTCCGGCTCCAAGGTCGGCTGCAGATGACGTGCGGGGCGGCTGCTTGGCCCCCCGTCACCGCCGTCGCTGCCAAGACGCCGTTGTTTCACGCTCACGAAGCAAGGCTCTGTCAGAACGCACGGGGACGCATTTAGAACGTTTCGAACCCGACCGGTCTCTGATTTGCGTTCGAACGTGCCGCCCTCCTCCCGGAAAGCACAGCCGGCCGCTCAACCTTGCCTCCTCCTCAGACCCGGGAAGCATTGGGGCACATTGGCTGAGCAGCGCTGGAAGGTTCTGAATGGGTGGCGGTGGTTGTGAGTGATGCCGACGCTGAATGGCACAGCTGTCGCGGAAAGAGGCTGAGAAAGCAATGGCTGTGTTGCCGAGAGGTGGATCCTGCGGAAGCATGGAAGACCTCGCTCCGTCGATGCCCGCCGATCAAGCAACATGCCGCGCGATGAATCGCCTGCTGAGGCAGCCTGAGACTAGCTGAGCCAAGGCGTGTTTCGGTGGCCGGGGCCGTCATGTTGCGCCTCGCTTCCAGGCGCGGTGGCAGATGACGTTCCTGCCGCCATTGCACTGCCTCCGCACATCCGTGCGCTGCTCATCCTCCACCCGGACTCAGCCAGAGTATATAAAGCCCCTAACCCTTGCCTTCCGACACTGATAACCCAAAAAAACTCTACAACGGCAACATCACCATGAAGATCACTCCCTCGTTCGTCCTTGCGCTTGCTGCCGCCTCTTCTGCGGCTGGCTCGCCTGTGTTCAGGCGCCAGGCAAGTAGCGATGTGCTGCCCACGCCCGTGGCTTCGGCGCTATCCAGCGCGACTGGCGGTGTCTCCTCGGCGGCTGGTGCTGCCACATCGACTGGTGGCAGTGTCGTCTCGAGTGCCTCTTCGACGTCCGTTCCCTCGTCGACGTCGTCGGCTGCGCCCGCCGCTTCCACCGGAAGTTCAGGCTCGTCGACGTTCAACGACACGCAGATCCTGCAGTACGCTTTGACGCTCGAGCATCTCGAGGCGTCGTTCTATAACCAGTCGCTCTCCAAGCTCTCGAGTGCGGACTTTGAGGCTGCGGGGTACAACGCCTCGGTTCGCAACCAGATCTACTCGATCGGTCGCGATGAGGCCGCTCACGTGGAGCTGCTCACTACGGCGCTGGGTGAGAACGCGGTGCCCGCGTGCACGTATAACTTTTCGAGCGTCACCGACGTCGCATCGTTCCTCACCACCGCCCGTGTGCTCGAGGGCGTGGGTACTTCGGCGTACCTCGGTGCGGCTAAGAACATCTCCAACAGCACCTACCTCGAGACTGCCGGTAGCATCCTCACGGTCGAGGGCCGCCATGCATCGTACCTGATCGCTCAGACCAACGATGGAGGTAACGCTATTCCGGGCGCGTTTGATACGCCGCTTGACTTTAAGCAGGTGTACTCGCTCGCTGCGCCGTTCATCCAGGAATGCGCACGAAACGCTACCCTCCCCATCACAGCTTTCCCCGCTCTTAGCTTGAGCGGCGGTGCGGCGAACGGATCGTTCACCCCGGGTCAGCAGGTGACTGTGGCGTACGAGGCCAACTCGACGGCGGGCAACTCGGGCTACCTTGCGCTGATTCAGGGCGTGGCTCAGCCGCAGTTCCTCCAGCTCGAGGGCAACCAGTCGCAGGTGACGCTGCCGAGCAACCTCACGGGCGGACAGATGTACGCCGTGGTCACCAGCGACAACTCGGGCGTTACCGATGACAACACGATTGCGGGTCCTGCGGTGGGATACGTCAACATCCCCCTGCCCCAGGCTCCGGATGCCACCAACTCCTCGTCGTCGTCGTCGGCCGCTTCGGGCGGCTCGACGGCTACGGGTGGCGCAGGTGCAGGCTCTACCGGTGCGGCATCCAGTGCCGCCTCGGCCACTGCTACCGCGAGCGGATCCGACTCGATCGTCTCGTCTGCGAGCGCGAGCGCCACTGCTACCGGCTCCCAGTCGCTCCTCCCCTCGCTGGCTAGCGCGGCCTCGGCCAACATCCCCACCCCCACCTCGTCGGCCTAATCTCGCACACATGCCTCACACCTATGCTTCGGAATGAACAGTTGAATACCCACACACGTGCGTGAAGATGATGAGTGCGTTAGAATTCCAGATCTTGCGGACGCGCTTGACTCGCCTTGCTCAGTGGCGGCGGTGCGCGCGGTGTCGCACCGGGCCGCGCTTGAGAGTGCGCCGATCGTGGTGCCGTATCGACCTGCACCGCATACTCGCCCGTCGCTGGCGCAGATGCAGCCGCAGCCATTCCACGCTGCCGCAACGCCGCGAGTCCCTTCAGCCTCGGAGCATTCCCTGTTGGCTGCACCACCTGCGCACCCTGGGCACCCTGTGCTTCTGCCTTGGGCGGCGCCGTCTTGTCCTCTGCGCGTGACTTTGGTGCTGGCGCTGCGCGCTTGGGCTCAGCTTCGGACTTGGGTGGTTTGGTCCGGCGCTCGCTCACGCCGCCCTCAACATCGAGATGCAGCGTCTCGATCACCATCCTCTTGCGCCGCACCTTGAAGGCGAGGTTGTTCTCGCCGCCTCCTGCACCACCCTCCCCTGCGCCGGCAAGACCGCCCGTGCTGGCAGCACCAGAGCCCATACCGCGCAGCACGGACGATCGGATGCTCGGGTTGGTGAGTGTGCCGATGGCGGGGGTCTTGAGCACCTTGAACGCCCCCGTGTACGCCGAGAACGCACGACGCAGAGCCGCCGAGCTCGCGAATGCACTCAGCGACACCGCCGCATCGACGCTGTGCACGAGCCGATGCGCGAGATTGACGGGTGCACACGAGGACGTGCCGGAAAGGAGGAACGACGAGATCGAGATGACGGCGATGGCGGGGATCGCGACGGTGCGCGAGGATGGCGTGGCGTCAGTGAGTGCCAGCGAGCGCAGGAGGTGGCGCAAGCGGTGCAGGAAGCGCACGGTCTCCCAGTGTGCTGTTTGCCCACGCGCGGTGGTCCAGCTAGGCGATCCGAGTGAGCGCACTGCAATGCGCAGAACAGGAGGCGCCAAAGTGGGGGCAGCCAGCTGCTGCTTTCGACACCGATCCGCCGCGGCGGCGATGCGATGAAGCGCGACGTCGTACGAGCTCTCCCCCGCGAGCTGGTCCGCCACATCAACCGCCTCGAGCCTTCCCTGCGCAGTGGCGTGCTGTATGAGGCGGGGGTCGATGCGCTTGCTCAGGTCAAAAGTCTGGCAGAACGGCTGCGCCTCGGCCCCAGCTCCCGCCGCACTGGTACTCGGCTCATTCACCGTGGTGTTGAACTGCTTCATACTGTGGTACCGCCAAGCGATCTTCATCTCTCTCTCGCGCTGCGACGTCGTATCCCCCTCTGCGGGCGTTTTGCTCGACGGAGTTTGCGTGTCGTCTTCGTCGACAACGGTGTCGAGGCTATCAGAGGGCGCCTCTGCGTCTGCCGCCGGTGGGGTGGCTGGTCCCAACTGGGCGAGGAACTGGTCGTCGAGATCGCCTGCACGAGCCATCAGCCCGGAAGTGAAGCCGGCCGCGTCCTCGCCAATGACGATGTTGGCGTGAGAGGACGCGATGCCCTGTGCGACCGAGTAGCCGAGCAGGAGGTCGAGGTACGGCTCGGCGAGCGCGCGTGCTGCATGGTCGGTCTCGGCAGTCGCAGAGGGTGTGGAGGTGGATGCGCCGGTGTGGGCGGCAGAGTGAGCCGCAGTGCCGGAAGCGGGAAGCAGCAGGAGATCCGAGCCTGAGGAGAGTCCGCCGCCGGAAAGAAGGTCGTCGAGCGCAGGCACGCCTGTCGAGACGAGCGGCACGGGCGACGAGAAGAGGGACGGCTTGACGCCGGCCGGGAGAGGCAGAGGCGCCGAGCCCGAGGTCGGGTTGACTCGCCGCTTGAACGACGACATGCTGCGGCAGCCTCGCAGTAGTGTCAAGAAGCGTGAAGGTGCGGAAGTGAAGAGCAAGAAGCTTGTGCTGCTGGGATGAGCGGAACCTTGAGCCAAAATTCTGAGGTGGAGGACCGCTTTGCACCAGTCAGCGAGACGTAATCAAATCACCAAGACTGTTAGAGCTTGACCGTCCCGCCGGCTACTGCTTCTGCCCTCATCCGAGCAAGGTCAGCTTTAACTGATCCAGAGGGTCTCACACAATCTGTGTGTGAGCTTCCCCGTGGTGCAGCGATCATACAGAGCCTATGATCGAGCTCTGTGTCAACGTCGGGTTATAAGCATGCGATTCTGAGCTTCTAACCGGGGTCTGTGCTGAACGCACACAGAGGCTGTGTGTGAGCCTGTGTATCAAGCGAATACAGAAGGTCTGCGGTCGCGTCGGTGGGGCTGTGCTTGGAGCCTCATGCAGACCTAGCTCGTCGCACGCAGTCTGAGGAATCTAGTCTTGTCAATACCATTCCAGTCATGACGAACTATTCGTACGTTTGTTATTGCGCTCGCTGCGCGCCACAAGGCGGACGGCCTGTGACGAGGGATGCATGGCGCCACCACCAGCGACGATATGGCCCGCCGGTGGAGCCTGGTACCGTGGCATTGGAGCCCGAAACGAGGGCGGGGAAGCGCAAAGCCGTCGACCCGCCTAGTGGTGCAGGACAGCCGGCTGTTGGTGGCATTGCATTGCCGAACCACTCCGCCATCGCCGAAGCGCAGTCTCCACCTCCACCCGGCGATGCTCGCCTCGGCCTCCACACTCGCTCCCACCTCCACTGCCATCCTCCAACGTCTTCTGGACATCGTACCGGCCTCCAAAGTACAAGTAGCGCCCATCCTCCCGATCAATTCCGTTCTGGTCTCCCACCCACCAAAAAAAACGGCAAAGATGACGACCACTCCACAGGCCAAGACGCGCGTCAAGGTGGTGTTTGGCTGCATGACGTTTGGCGCTGCGGGCGCCGAGCAAGCACGCGTGCATGATCTCAACGACTGTCGAGCGATCGTGGACATCTTTGCGTCGCACGGGCACACGGAGCTCGACACGGCGCGCATGTACGGCCTAGGCAGCTCTGAAGACTATCTGCGTCAACTTGGCTACACCGTCCCCAACGCCCAAGGCTTCGAGGTAGCGACCAAGGCGTTTCCCAGTGCACGCAAGGCCAACTTTCCCAGCAAGGACAAGTACACCTTCTCGGCCGCTGACATCTCCCGTGCCATCGACGACAGTCTTCGCACCCTGGGAACGCAGAGTTTCGACCTGTTCTACTTGCATTCTCCCGACCGCGAAACACCACTCGAGACTACACTCGAGGCAGTGAACGCCGCGTACAAGGAGGGCAAGTTCAAGAGGTTTGGTGTCAGCAACTACCGTGCAGATGAAGTAGACCAAATCATCCAACTTGCCGACAAGAACGGATGGGTCAAACCCGTCGTTTACCAGGGTCTCTACAATGCCATTACCCGAACGGCAGAAGAGGCCCTCTTCCCCACCCTGCGTAAGCATGGAATCGCATACTACGCTTACAACCCCCTCGGAGGAGGATTCTTCACGGGCGCTTTCGACCCCCAATCGGACGTGGAGAAGGGCTCGAGGTTCGATCCGGAACGAGCCCAGGGGCAGATGTATCGCCAGAGGTACTGGACCGAACACTACTTCAACGCCATCGAAGCCATTCGACCCGTGGCGGAGAAATGTGGTCTTAGTACCGCAGAGATCGCGCTCAGGTGGATGATGCACCACTCCACGCTCGACCCGGCGCATGGAGACGCGGTCATCATCGGCGCAAGCTCAACCAAGCACATTGAGCAAAACTTGGTCGACCTCGAAAAGGACCCGCTCCCCCAGGATGTCCTCGACGCAGTGGACAAGGCGTGGAACATCGTCAAACCCCACGCTCCCGCTTACCACCACTGAATCCGTACCTCACTCTGATCAATGCTGTCGAACCCTGAAGCGTAGTCATGCGTGTGCAAGTAGTAGAATGCAATAAATATAATCCGCTGCAAGTCTAGGAGAAGCCATGGGCAGGAGGCAGTGATGGGATGGGTCTCCTCGACGGCGGCCGCATGGTCCTATCTCTGTCTATCTGTTCTCCGTTCTCGGCCTCGTCTCGATCGCTCTTGACCCGCCTCGGACCGGAGTCGACGGACCCGTGCATGAGCGGCGAGCGCTGCTGCGGCTGGTACGCTTCGCCCACCGCTGCCGCCTTGGCCGCCGCGAGCTTGACCTCGTTCGAGATGCTGCGCATGCGCGGGCTCATCGCCCGCATCCCCACGTGTCCGACCGACAGACTGGGCAGCTTCTTGTCAAACTCCCTACCGGGATGTGTCGAGCCGGAGCGGTCCGTGGAATGCGGGTGCGAGTGCTGGTGTTGGCGCACCACTTCGCCTTGCGGCAGCGGATCCATCGGCATAAGTGGCGACGTGCGACTCGAGAAGCTGCCCGAGCCGCTCGCCTGGCTCTCGCCCATCAGCTCCCGATTCGGCGTCACCGAGCGACGAGGCTGCCCGAGCCGCGTCACTAGACCGCGCATGGCCGCACTGCGCGACGACGATGGCGACGTCTCTACGAGCGATGTCGAGATCGAGCGCTCGTGGATCGTGCCAGCATCGCCGCTGGTGCCGTTCGAAATCTTGCGTCGGTACGGTGCGGATGCACGCATGCCAACCATCTGCCCCAGCGCTGTTGTGCCGGGCAACGCCGTTGCGGCCGAGCCAGGGCTGTTGGTGCCGACGGCAGGCGGGCTGCGATTGCCCTCGCCCATGTGCGTGTCCGACAGCGTACGGCGCACCGTCCTGCCCACCTCGCGCTCGGCGTGGCGCTGACCCAAGATATCGCGCGCCAGCTCCTTGACCAGCACGGCGTTGTCCTTGACACTGAGCCTCTCCACCGCCTCGTACACGTGCAGCTGCTCCACCAGCGGCGAGCGTGCCTCCCCCCGAAGGTCGCACATCATCTTGGTGAGTCTGAGCAGATTCAACCGCACCACCGCTTTGGGATGCGACAGACGCTCGAGCAGCCGCTTGACGAACAGCGTATTGCGCGCCATCGACGTCACCACCCCGCCGGCCAGTCGACACACCTTGACAAACGGCTCGAGCAGGTTCTCAAACGAATTGGCCTTGCTCGTGGCAAAGACGCAGAGGAGCGCATCCACCGACGTCGGCTGCACCAGCACCTCGTCCACACGCGCCGTCTCGTCCTGCAGCCAGATGAGGATGCTCTCGAGCGCCGACACCTGCCAGTACGGATCCTCGAGCAGCTTGAGGTAGAAGTGCAGTCCGCGGTGCTGCCAGAACATCTTGCGCGTCGCCTTGCCCGCGTGCGCAAAGTCGCACAGGATCGGCAGCGCAAACTGGCGCATGGGCGAGTTGGTGCGCGCCACGCGCAGCAGCTGCGGAATCACGCCCGCCTGCGCCGCCTCCTCCTGGCGCGACTTGGAGAGCCGACAGAGGTTGTACATGGTGTTGAGCACCTGGTTCGAGATCTCGGTGCCGTGCGGTCCGCTGTGGTGCTGCGCCAGGATGTTGCACAGGATCTCGATCGTGTTGGCGTTCTGCATCTCGTCCAGCAGCATCGGCGACATGGAGAGGTTCTTGACCACCTTGAGCATCAGCGTCAACGCTTCTGGGTCCAGCATGGACGCCGACCGCAGGATGCGCCGCAGTACGCTGCGCGTCGCAACCTGTTTCTTGAGGAAGTTGTCCGACTGCGAGTAGATGAGCAGGATCTGCAAGATGTCGGCACGTGCTTCGGACGCGTAGCCATCCTCGTCATCCGCGATGACGCTCTGCAGAGCCGATGAGAGCGGCTCCAGCAGGCCTTCCTGTGCGAGCATGCGGCAGAAGTCGTTGCGCGAAGCCGGGCTCTGCAGCTCCAAAACACTGCTGACGCAGCCGACGCCGATCCAGACCAGGTCCTTCTGCTCGAGGTAGTCCTCGTCGATGAGCCCGACGAGCGTGCGCAGCCCGCGGCAGCTGAGCACAAACTGCAGCGTGAGGCGCGAGGTGGAGCACATGGCAAACACAAAGTGCGCAGCCTCCAGGCGCAGATCATGCGGCCACTTTTTGGTGGTAAACGTCATGACCACCGGAATCGCGCCGATCAAACAGAGGCTCTCCTGCGCTTCCGGATCCTCAAAGATGATGAGGTTGAGAATGCCGAGCAGCCGCGTGGCCAGTTCGCGGTCGGCGGCAGCTTCCAGCAGCTGGATCAATGCGAGAGCACCGTGGGACGATAACAGCTGCGCCTTCATCTCGGGCATGTCGGTGAGGATCTGGTCGATGTCCTCGCACACCTGGAGAAGCTCGTCGACTTCGGTGCGTGGGTCGAGCGATTCGACCAGCTCGGTGACAAAGGCACACATGCGTGCGTGCTGGTCGCGAGCCACGTTGGCCTCCAGATCGGCCTCGGCGTTGAAGCCCTCGTCGATCTCGGCAAAGGGGTCGTCCTCGTCGTTTTCATCGTCTCGCAGCCAGGATCGGTTGGAAAGGCGGGCGGTGAGCTGAAGCGTGTTGCCTCCGCTGAGATTGGCATCCTCCTTGCCGTTTCCTGCTGCATCTGCGTTGCCGAAAAGGTCCGAGTAGTCTTCGGCGGATTGGTCCTCCGAGTACTTGCCCAGGGTGCGTCGCATCTGCTTCCACTTTTCGTCCTTTTCGAGCCGCAGTGTCGCCTGGGGGCTGGTGGGGTTCGAGGAAGGGCGGGTAGCAGATGCGGCGAGAGAACTGCGGAGCGCCTCGGATGAAGCCTGCCTGCGGCGGTCGATGGCACGAGAAGGCGAGGCAGAGGCGGCATCGGCTGCGCCAAGATTGTACACCTTCGGGGCTGCTTTGGAGGTCGAGAGGCGAGCGAGGTCGTTGGGATGAAAGAGGCGCTTGCCGACGCTGTTCTTCATCTGCAAGTCTCGGATGCGCTTGTTGAGGAGATCCTCCTGTCCGTCTCCGACGAGGTCGGAATAGTCTTCCTCGTCGTCGGCGGAGAAGCTGGAGAGAGTGGTGGAGGGAGGCGTCGGTTTCTGACTCAACGTACGCACTTGAGGTGACGATGAGACCGAGCGAAGAATGGGACCCGAAAGGGGCCTGATTGTGCGCTGGTCAAAGTCGGCCTCGCTGGCCGATGGACGAGACGGCGAGGCTGGCTGGTCCGCATGCTGAGCGGATTCTCCCGCCACCAACGAGTCGGCCGTGGTGCCCTTGTTTGTCGGGCGGGCATCTGCCTTCGCGGAGGACGTGGAGGGTGGCTGCGAGGGGAGACTGGTCTTTTCGAGAGCGGCGATCTTGGTGGTGGTGATGTCCTCTTCAAAGTCGTCGTCCCAGTTGTCGTCGGGTCGCTCGGGCTGCTGTAGATCGGCGAGCTTGACGCGTTGGTCCATCAAGGATGTGGCGGGCGTGGCGCCGGCGAGGGGAGTGCGGAATCCAGAACCGTTTCCGGGCGAAGACTGCTGCCTACTCATCGGAGCGAGCGCAGCCAGTGGCGAGTGCGCTGCTACTGCATGGTCGTTGGCGGTGTTTGGGGAGCGAGAGACGGCGTCGATGAGTCTGGATGCCGGCCTGGAGGAAGTGTCGACCCGTATGTCCTTGCGAGGCACGGATGGCGGAGGGCTAAAGTCGAGAGGGAGGGTGGGGCGAGTTGGATGGCGTGTCTTGCGAGCCAGAGGCTTGGCTGTGCCCAGCTCGGCTGCGATGGCGTTGACCCTACGCAGGCTTGGTTGGATGGGAGCGCGGACCGTATCTGGGTCCTGGATGCGCTGGACTGCTTGCTTTGGCGGCTCCTTGAGCGCCTGATTCCACTCCTGGACGCTCTTGACGGCTTCTTCGTGTGGGGTGTTGAAGGTGCCACCAGCGCCTACACGAAGCGAGCCTCCGGACTTGAGCTGGTCGAGCTGCTTGCGAGCGCTGGACATCCAGGGATGGCGGAGGAGCTTGCGAGCGGAGACGCGCAGGTTTGCGTCCTTCTGGAAGCAGTGGAGGAGGAAGTCCTTGACGACGGGCGAGGCGCTTTCGGGAAGGGGCGGACAGTCGTCCTGGACGATGCGAAAGAGGGCGGGCATGGGAGCAAGGAAGTGGTAAGGGGGCTTGCCCTCGAGAAGCTCGACGACGACGCAGCCGACGCTCCAAATGTCGCTGGCGGTGGTGGCGCCGCTCTGGTCGATGACTTCCGGAGCCATCCAGTAGGGGCTGCCGACGACGGCGTACTCGCTCATTGCGCCGGTCTTTGTGGCGACGCCAAAGTCGGCGAGCTTGACGGAACCGTCCTTTGTGGTGAGGATGTTGGCGCCCTTGATGTCGCGATGAATGACCCCCTGGTCGTGGAGGTAGACGAGGCCTTCGAGGACCTGAGAGATGTAGACGCTGACGAGGCTTTCTGGGAACTTGCCGAAGCGCTTGCAGATGTGATGGAGCGATCCGTTTTCGCAGTACTCGAGGATGATGTAGAGGTAGTCTTTGGTCTTTTCGGAACCCTTGTACTTTACGATGTTGGGGTGGTGGAGGTTCTTGAGCAGATCGATCTCGGACATGATCTCGCCAAGCTCTGATTTGGGAATGTTACCGAGCTGGATCTGCTTGACGGCGACAGTCTCTCCGTTCATCCAGTTGAGGCCGCGGTAGACTGAACCGAAGGCGCCACGACCGAGGCAATCGCCGAGCTGGTAGTTGCCGAGTATGGTGCTCGGCGAAGGAGGTGGCAAAGGCTTTGCGGGTGGAGCGGCTCCGGTGGCAGAAGAGGAGCTGCTGCTGCTGCTTGGTTTGGCACCCGTGTGAGGGGGCGTTGAGCGGTGCTGGGAGTTGGAGGTGGATGCAGATGAAGACTGAGCTGAACTGCTTAGCGATGGCTGGCGAGGGCGTTCGGCGACAGCTTGTGTGGCATGCGAGGATCTACGAGGCGCATCTGAAGACGCGATGGAAGCGTCGTTGCCAGGTGCGGCTTGAAGAGGCGGAGCATGGGAGGGGAAGCGAAGTGTAGACTGGGCGGGTGGGAGCATGTTGGAAGAGGGCGGCATGGCTGGCATGCGCGTGTGCGGTTGTCTGGATGCCGAGCTCGAGGCCGAGATGCCGTCCAAGGACGACCGCGCTGGTTGCATGCTGATAAGCTCCGCCGATGGACGACGGAATGCTGTTGTACGCGTTTAAGGTGCTCTCCAGGAGGACTACGCAGCGTTCGTGCGCATGGAGCGGGTGCACATCGCCGGCGGTAGTGAGGCGTGCAGAGAAGCGAAGCTGAGCGTTGCAGCAACGAGAGGAATGGTGGCAGGTGTTGAAGGCGACAGGAGGTGGGCGCTCGGATCGCTTCCTTTGTGCCCACGCCATCAGCTGGCTCGCGCATGCACCGAGACCAACACCTCCTCTTGGCCGCTTCAGCTCCGCTCAGCAATCCAACTCAACGCCTCCCTCCACGCCTTGTCCTCCACGACGCGTCGGGCTTCGGCCTGGTTTGCACTCTAACATGGCTCGGGATCATAAAAATGCGAGCTTGTTAGACCTCGGGGTGAGCGGCGTTCCTGAGTTGGCGAAAAAGGGTGCTCGTGCGCAGGTCGGCGTCAGTTCGCATGCAAAGCAGGCGAGGAGGAGGCGCTTAAGCGGGGCAAGACAGCCGCCCCACTGCTGCAGCACCACATGGGAAGCATGCAACAGCTCTCTCCGCAACTCAGCCAAGCCCATCACACCTGCCCTCGACCACCCCCGACCACGCGACTGGTGGATCTTCACTTCCCACCACTCACCCAACCCACCGCACCTCATCCGCCATTGCCGACCACACACCCCTTTCCAAGTGCAACCGTGACCGCCACGCTTCTTATCGCTCGAGCCGGATCTTGCAGCGACCACTCCACTCCCTTCCATGCTCAGCTCCCCTACCTTTTCGCTGAGCTTGCCGTGATCCCACCCCCAATGGCAGCTTGACCATGTCGGCCAATCCGTCGCGTGCTTCCACTCGGCCTTCGAGTGAGGTCGACCGGCTCTCCTACGACAATGGCAGCGCCACCCCTCGTGACAGGACTCATCGCCGCCAGCGCTCCAACACCTCGAGCTCGCTCCGCTCCAATGGCACAGTGCGTGCTCCCTCCGTCAACATGGACCACGACACCTCGCCGCTCGCCAAGATCGGCATCAAGGGCGACGGCCTCATGCTCTTCGTCACCTGCTTCGCCTCCCTCGGCGTGTTCCTCTTCGGATACGACCAGGGCGTCATGTCCGGCATCATCACCGGTCCTTACTTCAAGGCCTACTTCAACCATCCCTCCGCCTACGAGATCGGCACGCTCGTCGCCTCGCTCGAACTCGGCGCCCTCGTCACCAGTCTCGCCTGCGGAAGGCTCGCCGACATCTTTGGCCGCAAGAACACCCTCTTCTGGGGCGCCGTCATCTTCTCGGCAGGCGGCGCCATTCAGACCTTTACGTCCGGCTACGATTCTATGCTCACAGGCCGCGTGGTCTCGGGGCTCGGAGTTGGAATCCTAAGTATGATCGTGCCCACCTACCAGTCCGAGATCTCGCCAGCAGAGAACCGCGGAAAGCTCGCCTGCATCGAGTTTACCGGCAACATCATCGGCTACGCCAGCAGCGTGTGGGTCGACTACTTTGCGTCGTTCATCGACAGCGACCTCTCGTGGCGACTGCCGCTGAGCCTACAGGTGATCATCGGTACGACGCTCGCGTTTGGTTCGGTGCTGCTGCCCGAGTCGCCGCGATGGCTGCTCGACAAGGACATGGACGAGGAGGGCATGCGCGTGCTCGCCGACCTGCACGGCGCTGGCGACCCCAACGAGCCGCGTGCCAAGCTCGAGTTCCGCGAGATCAAGGAAAACGTGCTCTACCTGCGCAAGCAGGGCGACAACTCGTACCGCCGCATGCTCACCCAGTACCGCTTCCGCACGCTCATCGGCATGTCCTCCCAGATGTTTGCGCAGCTCGTCGGCATCAACAGCGTGTGCTACTATCTGCCCATGATACTCGAGTCCGCTGGGTGGATCGGACGCGATGCGTTGCTCATGACGGGCGTCAACGGCATCATCTACACGCTCGCCACCGTCCCCACCTGGTTCCTCGTCGACCTGTGGGGTAGGCGCGCCATCCTGCTTTCGGGCGCCATCGGCTGTGCGGCCGCACTGTGTTCGTGCGGCTACTTTCTCTACCTCGACCGCGACTACACGCCCCAGGCTGTGGTCGCCTCGATCATCGTGTACAACGCCGTATTCGGCTACAGCTGGGGTCCGATTCCGTGGCTCTTCCCGCCCGAGATCATGCCGCTGGCGTTCCGCGCCAAGGGCGCCTCGCTCGCCACCGCTACCAACTGGTCGTTCAACTGGCTCGTCGGCGAGCTCACGCCCATCCTCATGGAGAGGATCGGATGGCGCCTGTACATCCTGCTCGCCGGCTTTGCGCTGCTCGCCTTTGTCACCGTGTACTTTTGCTACCCCGAGACGTCCGGTGTGCCGCTCGAGGAGATCGGTGCGCTCTTCGGCGACGAGATCAATGTGCCTCAGGACGAAGACGACGAGGACTCCGACGAGGACGACGGGGAGGAGAGCGGAGGTGCGAGGCGAAGGAGTACGGAAGGTTCCGACGGTGGAGGGTACAACAGGCCGATTCGAAGGTCCATCTCGAGCCACCCGCGGCTGCAGTCGGAAGAGGAGCGTGCCGCACGTGCTGCGGCAGCCCGAGTCGCGGCGGAAGAACGCCGAGCTGCCCAGTCGTTCTTTGGCCTGGGCGCAGGCTCGGGGCCTTTGCGATGGCTGGGTAGGCTCATGGGTGGGGGGAAGAGCGAGGCGGCTCCGGATCGACGGCTGTACGAGGAGGTGCGGCGGGATGAGCATTAGGAATTCGGCCCTTTCGGCCCCCAGCGCACGCGCACCCACGCCATTGTGAGCAACGACACTGGATCAGCGGCGATCGAGTCGGAATCTCTGCTCATGCACGAGATGCGTTCGTCGGGGAGGAGCCCAGCGCAACCCCCGCGTGCAGGGGGTGGGGTTGGGGATGACCACGATGTATTTGCACTGGGCGAGGAAGATGAAGACGATATTGGCTGGGAGCGAGGGGGGATGAAAGGGCCCTAAAATCACACAGGCATATGGTCGAGACAAGAACGAGATTCAATTGCGAGGAGATGCGACAGAACACGATTCAATTGCGAGGATTGCGCGATGCTTCAAGAAAACGTTGAGATTGACTGTGGGTTTGGGATTTTACTTTGCGAGGGATCCGTCTGGGTTTCTGGTTCCGTCGGCGAGTTGTTGGGCAGCGCGGTGTTTGGAGCCCTTGAGCTTGTTGAAGCCGTCTGGGCCAACGTCGATGGTTTCCTTGCGGTGGTCACGGTCGTTGTGGCCGATGAACCACCATCCGATGAATCCGACCATGAGTGCTACGGATGGCACGAGCACGCGGACGGTGGCGCGGGTGCGGGCGACGTTGATTTCGGGCGATGGATGCGCACCCGGTACAGGGCCATGAGAATGATCATCGCGGAAACCAGACATGGTGTCGGGACGTGCTGAGAGAATGCGAGGTGTCGTGTGAAGCCCGCGCGAAAGCTGCAACCCCGCCCGGCTGACAAGTCGTGTAGAATGCATCATTGTTGTAAATGAGTGGTTGTGGTAACGAGTGATATGAAAGAATCCGTATCGAGTTGGAATGCGATGTTGTTTAGCGTCAAAAGCGCGAAGAGGTGGGGGTTGGGGGCTTATATACATGGCCGCGTGTGTGGATGGAGTGCACGGACGGCCAGGTGTTGGTCAGCGATGACGGAGACCCCCGCCCTTGCTCGGCACGCAATCCAGCCTCGCCTACCGACCGCATCGGCTGGTTCTCTGGGCGCGCTTCCAGAACCACGGACCACACCTGACCGCACTCCCGCCCACCTTGCCGCATCGAAAAAGGGTAGCATTGCCTAAGGCGCGCATTGCCTAAGGCGCCGCGAAAAAGTGTGGGGTAAAAAAATACGCCGACACCGGTTTGACGTCAGTCCGATGCTTAGCGAACAACGCCGCCTTTCCCTGCGCGCGCGCGCGCTCGCGCGACCGTAGCTAAAAAATCACCGGCTTTGCTCAGCTCAGAAATTGCTCCAACTACTCCACCTCGCCAATCTCGGGCTCATACCCACACTCTCACCTCGCCTAAAACAAGCTCTCTCCCACGCACAGACTCACATCCTCCCCGCTCGAGACCATTCTCGTACGAATCAATCTCCCGACGTCTTTTCTATTCAGTGGCGTCGTGGAGCTACGTGGCGTGGCGGAAATAGAACTGCGGTCAAAGGGATTGCATTTACACTCGCTGAGGACAGCAGCATGCAACTAAAAGTGGGAACAGATACGCGACGATTTACTGGGTGAGCGCCTTGGGCGAGAGCGGGGTGCCCATGTTGGCAGGGAAGGCATAGTCCGGGTCCATGTCCTTGAGCCTTCTGCCGCCGACGAGCACGGGGCCGTTCTTCTCCTGGTACAGACGCATGCGCTCCTCGATCTCGGGGCGGAACCAGCGCAGCAGACCCTGGATCGGCCACGCGGCCGCATCGGCGAGCGCACAGATCGTGTGGCCCTCCATCTGCTTGGTGAGCTCGTAGATCATGTCGATCTCGCGGTTGTTGCCGCGTCCCTCCTCGAAGCGCTCCATCATGTTGGCCAGCCAGGTGGTGCCCTCGCGGCACGGCGTGCACTGGCCGCACGACTCGTGCTTGTAGAACTTGGCGAAGCGCGAGATCGCCTGCACAACATCCGTGGTCTTGTCCATCACAATCACCGCGCCCGTGCCCAGCGAAGACTGGTTCTCGCGCAGCGAGTCAAAGTCCATCAGCACCTCCTCGCACTTGTGCTTGGGCAGAATGGGTACCGACGATCCACCGGGCACAATACCCAGCAGGTTGTCCCAGCCTCCGCGCACGCCACCGCAGTGACGCTCGATGAGCTCCTTGAGCGGAATCGACATCTCCTCCTCCACCACACACGGGTTGTTCACGTGGCCCGAGATGGCGAACAGCTTGGTGCCCTGGTTCTTGTCACGGCCAAAGCCGGCGAACCACGTCGGTCCGCGGCGGATGATGGTGGGCGCCGCAGCGACCGTCTCCACGTTGGCCACGGTGGTGGGGCAGCCAAACACACCCACGTCGGCGGGGAAGGGCGGCTTCAAACGCGGCTTGCCCTGCTTGCCCTCGAGCGACTCGATGAGCGCGGTCTCCTCGCCGCAGATGTACGCGCCGGCACCCTTGTGCACATAGACGTCAAAGTCGTAGCCCGATCCGCACGCGTTCTTGCCGATGAGGCCGTCGGCGTACGCCTCCTTGATGGCGTGCTGCAGGTGCGCCACCTCGAGGTAGAACTCACCGCGCACGTAGATGTAGGCGGCGTTGGCGTTCATGGCGCGGCCGGCGACGAGGCAGCCCTCGATGAGCTTGTGCGGGTCACCGCGCATGATCTCGCGGTCCTTGCAAGTACCGGGCTCGCCCTCGTCGGCGTTGATCACGAGGTAGCGCGGGCGCGGGTCCTTCTCCCAGCCGGGCTTGTTCATGAAGCTCCACTTGAGACCCGAGGGGAATCCGGCACCACCACGGCCGCGCATGCCCGAGTCCTTCATCTGCTGGATGATCCAGTCGTGGCCCTTGAGCAGGATGTCCTTGGTGCGGTGCCAGTCACCGCGCGCCTTGGCACCCTTGAGGCCGTGGTCGTGGCGCATGTAGGCGTTCTGGAAGATGCGGTCCTGGTCGCGCAGGCCACCGAACGAGCGCACGGGCGTGTCGGTGACGGTGGCGAGGCCGCGCGCCTGCGACGGAGTGGCGCACGCGATCTTGGCGACATTGTTGAGGCTCTTTGCCGAGCGAGCGGCGCCTCGAGCGACCAAACCTGCAGGTGTGGCAGTGGCGAGTGATGGCATGACGGTGGTTGGCGAAGTCGGGGTCGGTGGCGGCAGATTGATTGATGAGATGTCGTAGGGAAAGGTCGAAGAGACACGGTGCAAGTGTGGCGATAGATGCGATGGTCGGTGCAAAGATCGATCAATGGTCGGGGTTGAGTTGGAGCAAGGTTGACGATGGTCAGCAATCGATGCAATCGCAATGAGTCACGACAGCAGAAGGTCTCGAGGCCATCAGGACCCTCTGAGCGATGAAAGCACTTACTAGCTCGCTGCATGACGTATGATCTGTAGGATGGAGATGGTGGTGAGGAAGCGATGAATCCGCGAAATCACATATTCGAGATCCAGACGAACGAGTTGCGCCCGGGTGGCACTGGCGGCTGCTCGCAGAGGCGGCGACGGCTCTCTGGCAGGCGGTCGGACGCGCGATAGACCTGAGACTGCGCTGCTGTGGGCCGAAGATGTGCTAATGCGAACTGAAGGCTACCGTACGTAGCGGCTGGTCGCCACTTGGCGGCCTTGCAGTTGGAATTTCGCGAGGATTTTCCTGGCTTGCTGACCAAAGCACTCGCTCGCCTTGACGCGCGCAGTGCCGCCAATCAGCACCCCTTCAATGCTCACCCGGCCTTCGGATCCGTGCTTTCCCGATCCAGATTGGCCGAATCGGGACAGTGTTTGGTGCCATCTCGATTGGCAGAAGCATGCCCTCTCGCAACAGACTGCACTTCTACTACCCGCTCACATTGCGGCAAAAGCTATTCTACAGGGCTGTCGAGCTAGTACTCATAACGGGAGCTTGCACGTCGCCCGCCAGTCAGGGCGGCTGACGACGTGTCTCCGTCCGCGCTGTTGGAAGCAACCCAAAGGATCGTCAGCTTGGATCGTTATAGGCCGCAGTGATACCGGGGCGCACTTACTCTTCCTCGTCGTGTTCCTGCAGCTGCTGCAGTGCGTTACGCTGCTTTTGGCCATAAGCACGCTGAACATAGCACATGTACGTCTGTCCGCAGATCCGGCTCCCTTTTGCGTCAGTCCATCTGTCTTCAGCCTTGTCGTTCCGATCTCTGCAGAAACATACCTGAGTCAGGAAGAGGATGAGCGTGAGGCCGCCCATAGCTGCCGTTTGGGCCCACATGACGTAGTTGCAGATATGCTCGCCGGGAGCAAACGACTCCAGCCCTGGGACCGACACGCCGTTGCTCGAGTTCAACGGCGGATTGCCGTAGATGCGCGTGCACACCTCGGTCGACTGCTTGTGCTTGGTCGCAATCACCACGGTGCCAATCGCAGCAGTGGCGGCGGTGATGAGCACAAGCAGAAAGTTGAGCCGGATGTACAGTCTGTAGATGGAGCTCATCTCGATCCGCACCGTCGCCAGCCCAATCACCTGCCATGCCAGTGTGATGATCGCAAGGATGAGCAGCACGAGCGAAAAGATGTGCGGCAGCGTATCGACTGCAGCCACGATCGTCGGCGTTGTAGTGCTGAGCACGATGATGCACCCTGCTACAAATCCGAACTCGAGCGGGATCAGGTACGCTCCCGCCTTGACGAGCGGATACGAAAGACAGCAAAACTCCACCCCTCGACCGCTTCGTCCTCGCTTCTCTGGTCCTTCCGAGTCCATTGCGCTTATTCAGATGGAGCTACGAGCCATCCAGTGTCTTTCGTCGAGAAAGAGCCTGTTGATGTGCGGAGCTGCAAATGAGGTGTCGGAAGTAAGCGCTTCCGGGAAAGAATGCGAAGTAGCGACGGACGGCGCAATACCAGATTGCACCTGAGCGAGCCAGACGAGAAGCTACAATCTACCAGAGATTGTCGAGATGGCCTTGAATCAACGAACGAACAGAAGGTAGAGACGATGGTGAGGAGGGAGAGGATGCAGGAAGCGTTGACCCTCCCTACAGCAACTGTGAGCCTTCGGGAAGCGCATCAACGGCTTCCATTCTCAGCTATCGAAGCGTCTTTCCACTCAGGTCACCAAAGACGTGGGCGGCTTAGCCAGAGGAGGCGAGATCAACTCTACGCTGATCATCATGGCCGGGGGCGTCGGGTGCTAGGTGCGGCAACTGTCAAACTTGGCGGTGCGAAAAAACCAGCGCTGTGCTGGGCTGCCGATTTTATTTTCCCCCAAACCCGGCGCGCGGCTTTTCTCGCTCGTCGGGCTATGTCAACTCTAGGCTGCACCATCGAGCTTGCCGGCCCGCGTCATTGGCACGAAAGCTCAAGCGGAAGTCTTGAACTTGTCCGGAACTGCTTTTCCCGGTCAACGGCCAAGACCAGCCCGATATTGGTCAGATTCGGCCTTTCATCGGTCCGCCAGGCATGTGCGAAAAGCAAAGCCGTCAGGGACGCTGCAAATCAAGACGCCGTTTGCAGCCGCCATGTGCGACTTGCAGCGGCATGGAAGCTTTCGGCTGGCGACTTGGATCCTTGCTTCAAGCCTGCCACTACAATGCAGCTGCATGGTCGCGGTTCATCCCTACGACGCCGAATGTCGTTTCGATGTTGAGCAAATCCCACGTAAGGAGAAAGTGGAAGACATTATGGTTGCGAGTGGCGGTGTTGATTTTTGGAAGATGCTACTGTTACAGGCGCAGAGAGTGGGGCAATCACGACATCTGTCCTCGCTGTTCCTGCAGCTTGTTGACCTGTGAGCGAGAAGATCGAGGTGTTGAAGGTCGAGTGTCAGCAACCAAGTCCGTGAGAGAGAAAGAGGCCGCGTGCCAAGCATTTCCACCACTACTTACGATGAACAAGGAGGTATCCAGGAAGCTGTGGGTCCGGAGCAGAGCAAGAATGCACAAGGTCAAGCGAATGCACGATATTAGCGACGTTCGTCCATGGGCCATAGAGGCGTCCTGCGAAGGACCCGGAACGTAATGAAGTGCTTACCGTTCGACGCAGTTGCTCAGGCAAGCCTCCTCGCCCCTGCCGAAGCTGGAGCCGATGGACGACTTGATGCACTGGTCCCAGCATCGGTCTGTGAACGTGTGGATCGACGACTGCACGCGAGCCTTGGCCTGCTCGGCGTCGAGGAACGTCTGCAGCTCTACATTCGCAGCAACCAACGGAACGACGAAAGACGTGTCAGCGCCTGTAGCGTCAACAAGAACACATGTAGCGAGAGGCGGACTTACCTTTCTGATCAGCGTCGGCGAGTCCGGACATGTTGGCGAGTCTACGTGGAATTGAGGATCGGGATGATGTCTGGAAGGCAGGCAAGGGCTTGATGGAAGGCTCCGACTCTGGGCGAGGAATCTTCGCGTTGCGGATTGCAAAGTGGAGTGGAGCAGTCGCCTTAGTCATGCTGAGTGGATGAACTTTTGGAGTCAAAAGTGCCGTGGAGGTTTGACGGCCAAAAATTCCAAGGCGCCGGTGCGGTTTTTTTCCCGCTTCTTCGCGGTAGAAGAGAAGCCACTGAACCCTGAACGCAGCACCGAAACCCTTTTCCTCATCCCGCGGTACCACATCCACCCAACCACTACAACGATATACATTGGCAGATATGGCGGAGGCAAAGCTCACCAAGAAGCAGCAGAAGGCCGCACAGTTCAAGGCTGGCAAGAAGGGCAAGGCCGCCGCCATCGCGGACCATCCCGCCACCCCGGATGATGTTGTGGATCCAGACGATGCACCCTCGACCAGCGCGGCAGTAACCAGCACCAAGGAGGAGACGAAGAAGGAGTCGTCCAAGAAGAAGGAGAAGGAGTCTAAAAAGAAGGCCAAGGAGTCGGTTGCGGAACCCTCTGCTCCGGCCGAGGCGGCGCCTGTCGAAGCGCCAGTCAAGGAGGAGAAGCGTAACAAGAAGCGCAAACGTCTTGCGGCTGAAGCCGAGGCGGCGGCCGCAGCTGGCATCGTCCCCGAGCCCACCCCCAGCAGTAGCAGCACCAAGGCATCCAAGTCCGAGTCGAAGCCCAAGACGAAGGCGACCAAGATCGCACCAGCAGCGCCTGCCACGAAGACGACGTTCGGTGACGACGGCGAGGTGGCGTCGGAGCAAGCCGTTGCTGCTGTTGCTGAGCCGGCACCCTCAGCCGCATCAGCAAAGGGGTCCAAATTCATCCTCTTCGTTGGTAACATGGCATTCACCACCACGACGGACAACATTGCGAAGCACTTCGGCCAGACGTGTGGCGAGGTGCCCACGGTGCGCCTGCTCACGCGCAAGGCGGACCCGAACGCACTCGCCAACCTGCCGGCCTCGAAGCGCAAGTCGATCGCCAAGGGCAAGGCGCAAGACCCTACGCAGCCGCAGTCCAAGGGATGTGCGTTTGTCGAGTTCAAGTCCTCCGACGCCCTGCGCAAGGCACTCAACTTCCACCACACCATGCTCGAGGGCCGCAAGATCAACGTCGAGCTCACCGCCGGTGGTGGAGGCAAGAGCGAAAACAGGCAGAACAAGATCAAGGAAAAGAACGCCGGGCTGGAGAAGGAGCGTCAGAAGCTGCATGGCAAGTACGTGGCGCCCAAGAACGAGGCTCGCAAGCAGAAAGCGGGTGCCAAGGAGGGCGGCGATGCCAGACCCGCCAAGAGGAGCAGGACGGAAGAGGCCGAGCAGGCGGGTCAGGCGGCGTGGAGTCGTAACAGCGGCAAGGAACGCAAGATGCCCAAGTTCATGGCTACGGGCGCCAACGCCGTGCGCGTTGCGCCAACCTCCTAGACAGCGACTACATGCAATATACCATCTCTGCTACAGTCACGTGTCGTGGCGGAAATCTGAGCATTCATGAGAAACGAAGAGTGCAAGTGGGGACTTTCGAAGGCGGATCAACAGCAGAAAAGAGTGAGGATGCGACATAAGGTAAAGGTGGACTAGCTGCTGGGAGCGGCGTCATCGACGTTCCACAGACACATGCCGTTGTGCGGTGGCTTGGACTGGCCGCCCTTGTCTGCGCAGTCAGCGTTGAAAGCGGTGGTGGCATCGTCAGCGGCCATGTCAAAGTCGAGCTTGCAGAATCCGTAGGTGTACGAGACCGCATTGGTCCACATATCGCTGCAAGCCTTCTTGGTCTTATCATCGACGATGGCGCCAGCGTCGCCGTTGACGGTGGAGTAGCCATGGATTTTCTTGGCCCCGGTGATGGTGGGAAGCATGCTGGTGCACTGCGACATGAAGACGGAACTGGCCACCTTGCGTTGTGCGCACTTGTACTTTTGCGGCTTGAGGATGGGCGCGGTAGCACCACTGCAGCATGCCAAACTGCGCGTAATGGAGTAGTCGACGAGCGAGTACATGAAAGTGCCCTGCAGCTTGAATCCGTCCTTGTCATTGGTCAACTTGCCCGTGGCATCCGGGATGGTAGGAGCGGGTGCAGGTTTGGGATCATCGGCAGGAGGAGTGGCGGGTGCAGGCTTCTTGTAATCGTCCTTAAAGTTGGGCCAGATCTGTGGACAGTAGTTCTTATCGGTTTGGATTTGTTCGCCCGTGCCTTGCTTGCAGACATTGTCAAAGGCGTCCGTAGCAGCTTGAGGGTCCGAACCGGGCAGATGGTGGCAGAATTGGATGCCGACACGACGACTTCCAGGAGCCGTACCCATCTGAAGATCCTGGTGATCAAAGCACTGATACTCGGGTGCGGACCGAATCTCGCCAGATAGACCCATGCAGCATGCTAGATCACTGACCTTGGTGTTGTCCGTCAACACAATGTTGAAGTCGCGCACCACGTACGCATTGGGATCTTGCAGTTGACCATCCGCTGCCACCGAGGGCAACCAGTGCGAAACCGCACCCAGCACCAAAAGCCATGAAAGTTTGGTCTGCATCGTAGAATCGAGTTCGTAGAGTAGCCTTCGGAAGGAGAGAAAGAAGCACAAGGCAATCAGGAGCAAGCCGCCTTATGTACACGACTCGCGCCAAACTCAAACCCACCTCACCACGGCCGCCCCACCGTCCTCATGCGTAGGTCAGATGAAGTCGAGCTCGACATTGACTCACTTCCCCCACATCGTGCCGATAGCGTCGTCTCTGCGTATCCACCCGCCTGCATGCATATGAACCAAGGTGGGATTCCGTCGCTTCGCATCCACCAGCACTCGCCCACATGAACCACACAACCATCAATCACACCACACATGGCGCCGATCAAAAGTCCACTTGAATTGCTTCTCCACTGGCAAAGTCTAAAGGGGCAATCCGCAGATCTCGCAGTCGCTCGCCGAGGATTCATTGTGGTACGTGCAGTGGGAGCACACCTTGACGCCCGCAGGCGCATCCTCTGCGCTCGCGGCCGCAATCGCAGCCGCTGTAGCTGCGTCCGTGTCGGCGGCTTCATTCCGTGCCGACGCGCGACGCACGTGCGAGATCTGCACATCGTCATCGTCGTCGCCCTCGCCGTCGTCGTAAAAGTCCTCGTTGGCATCGTCAAAGCCGACATCGTCATCGGAATCCATGCCTCCGTCATAAGTGAAGGGATCCTTGGCAGGTGCAGCAGTGTTGTTGCCACTGCTGCCGGATTGCGGCGCAAGTTCTCGGGCAAGCGCCATGAGCGTCTGCCAGCCCGGACGAAGAAGGAGCGCGTCGAGTGCGGCGCCCGAATCATGCGCAGTGGCGAGCTTGCACAGCGCCGCCATATCGTCCTGGTCGAGGAAGCCGCTGGTGTCGAGGAAAGCCAGCAGATGCCAGTCGCTCACGATGCCCACGAGCTTCTCGCGCACCTGGTCGTCGTCGGCCCTCGACTTGCCCTTGGTGCTCTCGACGCCGTCGCCGATGGGGAACAGCTCCTTCTGACACACGATCTTGCCGATGCTGGTGAGGGCTACAGTGAGGTCCTGATCGTGCAGGCCAGGTCGGTTCTCGATGGGGAAGGCCGAGCTGAGGAAGGTAGGGTTGGGCGCATTGGGGAAGCCGTGCGTCGCGTTGACGATGAGGTACTCGACGGGGAAGGTGGGCTTGGCGCTCTCCTTGACGTCGATCTTGTACTCGTTGGTGTAGCGGTAGAAGACTTCGGGGACGTATCTCTCTCCTTCGCTGGGCTTGACGCGGATGATGTTGGGGTTGACGCTCGCCTCGATCATGTCGGCTTGAACCATGCCCATTCCCTGCTCGCTGATCTGGTAGGCCGAGACGTCAATGGCGCCCTCATCGGTTCCGCTGAGGATGCAGGTGACGAATTTGGAGTTGAAGCGGCCCGAGGAGCTGAAGCGAGAAGGGTTGGGATTGCCGAGCTGGAGCTGGGCTGCAAAGATGGTCTCGATGCCCGAGAGGAAGAAGCTATCCTTGTGGCGCTTGCACATGACCTTGCCGGCGAGCGACGAGTCTTTGTGGGTCGGGTCGGCGGGGCTGAGATCCGAGTAGATCATTCCGACAAACTCGAGGCCACACATCTTGGCGAGCTTCTCGATGCGAGGCTGCTCTTCCCAGGGCACGCCGAGGGTGAGACCGTCGAGCTCGCCCTCTTGTGGCGGCTCATGAATCGCCTCGACAACAGCCTTGATGCCCATCGGTACGTCGGGATATGCCTCGTAGCGGCCGAGAAGGAAGCCGAAGCGCTGTGTTGCGGTGCTACGCCAGAAGGCGAGGATGTTCTCGATGAGGTCGGGATGGGCGAACTCGACGTGGTCGACCATGCGGTACGGCTGACGCTGAAGCGTGATAGCAGATGGCTGACACTTTGTGCAGATGCCTGCGGGCCAGCTGGGATGGGTGGCTGATGGGCATGGCTTCTTGACGGTGTAGTCGACCTCTTCGAGCGGCGGGATGAAGGACTGGGCGGGCTTGTTGGTGGCGATGTCCTGCTTGCGCAGGTAGGCGTGGAAGGAGAGATGCTTGATGTTGTTTTCGGTCTGGTACTTTGAGTCGTAGGGCTCGAGGGGCATGCAGTAGTCGCACATTCCCATGGGACCGTGTCGGCAGAATTGCGAGTCCTTTTTGCGGGTGATCTTGCCCTCCTGGGCCTCCCAGTAGGTGTCTACGCTGTGCTCCTTGGCGGTCTCCCACGGCTTCTTTGGCCGAGATGCGGCAGAGGACGAGGGCTGCCCCGAGGAAGAGGTGGCCGCGGCCTGAGCATGAGTGGGAGCAGTAGACGACGTGGCGGAAGAAGACGGCGCAGCATCTGGGGCTGACGAAGAAGCAGCTGCTGCAGCAGCAGCTTCAGTGTACGCGGCGAAGAGCAGGTGGCCATGGCCGATACCGAGCTCGCTGAGAGTGCTGCCCTTGAGCGTATCCGCCTTGAACTCTCCACCTCTTGGCTGGTTCGAAAAGGTGAGAGACTCTGGATCGGCGCTGGGCATGGTGTCGAGCACCTGTTGGATGAGCTTGACGGCGTCATCGGTGGGCTGGAGCTCGAAGCGGAAGTTGCCGTCCTTGGAGCGTACACGCACGATCATGTTGAAGGTGCAGCGATGACCGCGGGGGATCCGAGTGTGTAGTTGGCGAGTGGTGTGATGTAGTTGTGGTTGAAGTTGGATGTCGTGAGCAGCTCAGCCGAGCGGTACGCGGATGTGAGCGTGGAAGAACAAAGTGGAGGTTTGCACGCTAGCAGGGGCTGAGCCGTGCATCTGTGCCGCCCAGGGTCTACGACGCAGCAAATCGCGGTCGATCACAAATTGTCAAAGATGTTACAGCGAAATTCTCCACAAAGCCTTTTCTCTTTGCGTTTGTGTAGCCGCTCAAAGCTAACACTGTAAAGAAAAATCCAGTCGGCTGGCTCGGGCGAGCGTCCGAAGAGTCGCGCTCGAGATCGCGACGAAGCCCTCGGACTCGGAGGGGAGGCTTCCGTCCATGCTTGCTCCCCGCGTCTCTGTAGCTCATGGCAACACCAGCGGGATCGCATAAGGTCGACATAGGGAGCATGAAGAGCCAAGTCGGCCACATGCGCTGGTCGATGTGTCGAGTCATGAGCCATGTCTGCTGTGGTCCAGCAGGGACAGCCATCACCCCGGTTCGTGTGATGGTCTTCCGAGCGCGGTCAAGTCCCATTCAGGCACGCTCGAACTCAGTTCTTTGAAAGCACAGTGGTCATCGCCCCACAAGACCAATCTGTCGTGGAAGAGATGGCAAGGTGAATGGGCGACAGATGTGTAAAGTAGTTGTGGAATGTCCGAGCCAGTCGAGGCAACGACCTCCTAGTACGAGCGAGGAGGTATGCCCGGAAATAGGGTGCGTCTGATTCGCGGCAAAGAGGTGCGCTCCGCGGACATTTCCTGCAGGGCCCACTGACCGGAAAAAGGACGAGGGCGAGCAAAGAGGCAGCATGCTCGGCCGTTCCTCCTACGTTCCGCCAGCAGCCATAGGTCACCCCCACCACGTCGTTCCATTGTCAGTCGCTTGGCTCTGGCTCTGTTGGATCGAGAGCAAGAGAAGCGAGAGACAGGTGCGTGCGAGGTTGGAATGAGCGTGTTCGTGACCCTTAATACCTAGCCGGAAATTCCGATTTTGCCGCTGTCAAGGCTCGGGCTTGGACCTCTCTGAACAGGCACGAACGGGCGTGCCTGATTTCCACTCGAGTTCAACAAGAGTGGATGATGCTCTACGTTTTGCTGTATGTCGTCGTCGTCGTCGTCGAGCTGCGTATTGGGAAGACGACAGTTCCGCGGTATCGATCCTGAACACCGCCAGGCTGGTTGAACCGGCTCCTTCGGTTCGAGCTGCACGGGGAGGACGCAGGGACAGCCGGCGGTGAATGCGTGTCCGACAGCCGACAAATTGGAAATTTGCGAGAAAAGTCAGCCATGCGGTCGCTATGCATGTCGTCGTTTGCGGTTTTTTTTTTTTTTTTTTTTTTTTTTTTTTT